AAAAAAAAACTAGAAAACATAGCCTCATGTGTGTGGTAATATGTCATATCATATGACTATATGAGTATGTGCTCGATTGACTAAAACAGCAAATTCTAAATATAGACTGTCAAAACCCTATAAGTACAAACAATTATAATACAATTTCACTACTGTTCTGAAGACCAAGAACTTACTCGATCAACCATACAAATTGTTTATTATATATTATTAAAGTGCGTTCCAGAAAACAATAAAATATTTGTCTGCTTCCCAACTATCACTCTCCACTAGGCATTCAGTAAGAAACAACAAACAAAAAAGTTTAATAGCATGATTGGAATTTTTGTATAAGTTAGATTACAAAGGATTAGCGTTATATTAACATTTTTACCAAAAAAAAGGATTAGCGTTATATAATCGCAAAAAAAAACTACACACACAACTTTAAGTTTGGCTATATTAATTATAGAGACTTCGTTAAAAAGATCAACTCCATCGAATCGTGTATTTACGATCTCGTTACAATACAATTGCACATCAAAAAATAGTTCACTGGAACAAAAAGAACGGATAAGAAAGTACTAAAAGGCAGATGGGTTGTTGTCGACAAAAACGAGAGTAAGAAATCAGATGGTGTTTGGTAGGGCAATTTGCACAACTCTCAATGTTTTTTTCTAATCTATAAGTAAAACTAAAGTAAATTAATTTTTTAGGCCAAACCCGAAATTGTATCAAGAGAAATAACAGTCGGGGAAGCATTTTTATGTTTAGCAAAATCTTTGTTGGTTTCTTTTTATGATTTTTCGTGCAATTATTTATACTTGTGTTTTTTGAAAAGTTTTTTTGTAATCTATTTTTCTCCATCAGAGAATACTAAGTTTTCTTATACACATTAAAAAAAAAAAACAATAAACGAATTCTTGTATGGTTAAGCAGAATATTAACTGAAACCGCTCATAAAGACATAAACAGTGAAATAAGTGAGAGGGAGAGAGAGAGAGTGAACCTCCGTTGAGCCAGAGGACGAGAGGACGACCAGAAGAGTTTTGTTGGGCTTCGAAGAACCAATAGAAAAGCGCCTTTTGCTTCTGTTGAAGCCCGAGATCCACGTAACCGGCATAATGTCTAAAGTTAACCGGTGGTTGACCGGGTAAACCGGTCACAAGGTCATCCTCCTTCCTCCCGGACGAAGACGTTACCTTCTTCTCCGGTTTCCTACCACAGGCTATCGCCGGTAACACCAGAACGCACAGTAGCCAAAGTGCGTTCTTCTTCATCGCCAAACGCTCTCCTCTGTTTTTTTTTTTTCTTCTTTTTTCTCTTTTCCGAAATGAAGAAAAGCCGTAAGCAATTTGTTTACACTTATAGTATTTGAGACGACACAAAAACAAAACAAAAAACACGTATAGTATTTGAATATCAAAAATCTCTGAGGATGCTTTCTCTGTTTTGGGGTCAAAATATTAAAGGATGACTTTGAGCCCAAGGAATATTGGCAGACCCAAACATTTCTGAGCCCAAAAATATAAAATTGTTTAGTTTTTAAAAAGTTTTAAATAAAAAAGGTAAATATACTTTTGAAATAAGTAATAGCATGAATTATGACTCAGCTGGTGATCACCCAAAAAAGAAGAAGCAGAAGTAGTAGAAATGACGACAATGAATGAAAACAATTGCGGGAGGAGCCTTTTGGAAATTTACAGCAACGTCTTGCTGAAAACAAAGATATGTCCAAAGCTAATTAGGTTATAGTCTCTGATTAGAAACAACAGGCTTGAATAAGGTGAAAGAGCGGGTTCTTGAAATTGCAGCTCAGGATCTTGCTGGTGGTATAAGAAGATAAAATCTCAGTCTCACCATTGATCTCAAGCGCTCTCACACTCCTTGAACTTGTCCTCTGCTTCTCACACGGAATCTGATATCGCTATTTGCCATGGCAAAGAACAACAAGGCGCCTGAAACATTTCACAACATTGATTTCTTAGCTTCTTTTTGATATTCATCTCTGTTTCTATTGTTTTTTATTTTTTTGTTTTTTGTTTTTTTGCTAAAAAAATATCTGTTTCTATTGTTTCTCTGCATTATGTATGTAACCCTGCAAAAGATCTCAGTTACGTAATTTTTTATTTTATAATAGAACCAATTAAGTGGACTAACAAGGTATATATATATGGTCCTTATACAATCCTAAAAATCACGCAGATATATGCAGATAACTTTAACCTTTAAATCAAACAACCACAGTTTGACCAACAGGTAACCTAGTATTTTTTTGTTCAATTCTTTGTTGACTACTTTAACCTTTAAATCAAACAACCACAGTTTGACCAACAGGTAACCTAGTATTTTTTTGTTCAATTCTTTGTTGACTCGAATTACTGGGAAAATCATGCGTATTTTGGTAAATCTAACAATTTGACTAGGGTAAAACAAATGTATACACTAGGTAAACCCCAAATAGATAAGAACTTAATTAGGTGATCCGTCACCACTTATCGGTCAACTTCTCCTTTATCCCCCCCAATCTTCATATTCTAAAAGTAAAACCCTAATGTTAATTATAATTGAATGTTTTGATCCTAATTTCCTAATTAACTAAAAAAAAAAGATTCGTCCTTTCAAATTTCCAAAACCAAAACACGAGAATCAAGAGCCACACGTATTAAAAGACCGTTAGAAAAGAAAAGCGAACTGTTTAGCTCACCAAAACAAACCCAATTTCTCACAATGAAAGCCAAACACGAAACTCATGCGTCTTAACTCGTTCCTCTCTCATTTCACATTCCTCACCCACTAATTAACTAACAGCTTTCATTATTTGTAAGCTCTCTTTCTCTCTCTCTCTTTGCGAATCATTCATTTCTCACATAACACACACTCTGTTTCTTTATTTCCTCTGTGTCACTATGAACCATAATTTTCCTTCTTATAATCTCACGGCCACTGCCGTTTTCTCCTCTTCTTCTTATTCCGGCAGCGACGAGCCTCTAATTTCAGGGAGGCTGTTTTTCCTAAAATATGTTCAGATTCTTGAAATCTTTATTGCCCTATTCGCGTTTGTGACAATACATTCCTTGCGCCAGAAGAAACATCAAGGTGTACCCGTCTGGCCGTTTTTAGGGATGCTTCCTTCGTTGATTTTCGCAGTCCGAAGCAACCTCTATGAATGGTTATCCGAGGTTCTTATTCGCCAGGGTGGAACTTTCCGATTTAAAGGCCCTTCCTTTAGCAGTCTCAACAGTGTCATTACTTGTGATCCAAGAAACGTTGAGCATCTTCTCAAAACTCGGTTTTCTATCTACCCTAAAGGTTCTTACTTCCGTGAGACCGTCCGAGATCTACTCGGAGACGGAATATTCAACGCCGATCATGAAACGTGGCAGCGGCAAAGGAAAACAGCGAGCGTCGAGTTCCATTCTGCTAAATTTAGGCAATTAACAAGTCAATGTTTGCACGAACTCGTGCATAATAGACTCTTGCGGGTTCTAAAAACTTCTGTAACGATCGATCTTCAGGACATTTTGTTGAGACTTACTTTCGACAATGTATGTATGGTTGCTTTTGGGGTCGACCCAGGTTGTCTTGGTTCAAATCTACCAGAAATTCCTTTCGCAAAAGCCTTCGAGGATGCAACAGAAGCAACATTTTTTAGATTTGTGATGCCTACGTTCGCGAGGAAGCTCATGAGGTCTCTTAATTTAGGAAGTGAGAAGAAGCTAAAGGAATCAATAAAAGGTGTGGATGATTTCGCTGATGAAGTAATCCGGACGAGGAAGAAAGAGCTATCTTTAGAGACCGAAATCGCAAAGAGATCAGATCTCTTGACGATTTTTATGGGTCTACGAGATGACAATGGAGAGAAGTTTTCAGATAAGTTCTTGCGTGATATTTGTGTGAACTTCATACTTGCTGGGAGAGATACTTCGTCTGTGGCTCTGAGCTGGTTTTTCTGGTTAATCGAGAAGAATCCAGAGGTGGAAGAAAGAATCATGGTGGAGATTTGCAAGATTCTGGAACAGAGAGATCATTTTGGAGATGCAGAGGAGAAGATAGAATACGAGCCTGTGTTTAGACCAGAAGAGATCAAGAAAATGGATTATCTACAAGCTGCTTTGTCTGAAACTCTCAGATTATATCCTTCTGTTCCAATTGATCACAAAGAGGTATCTGCTCTGTTTCATTTACTTGTCCCCCAAGAGACTATTTATAGTTCTAGGGTTGTCAAAATTTTGGTTCGGTTTACGTTTTGGGTGCAGTTTGGATTTAGAGACAAAATAAAAAACTTGTTGATAAAAACCAAAAATAAAAAAAACTATTGATCAATATAGTACCCATCAGATTATAAAACTTTTGTTTAGTTTCGATTTTAAGAGAAATATATAGTACCCATCAGATTATAAAATTGTTGCTATTTGAATCTTTCAATATATCCGCTCTTAAAAAAAAGTTTTTATAATTGTCAGGTACTTGAAAACGATGTGTTTCCGGATGGGACCAAACTAAACAAAGGTGAAAAAGTTGTATACGCGATATACGCGATGGGACGTATGGAGACGATATGGGGTAAAGACTGTCTCCGATTCAGGCCAGAGAGGTGGCTAAGAGACGGCCGGTACATGACTAAATCGGCCTATAAGTTCACCGCCTTCAATGGCGGTCCTCGACTCTGTCTAGGCAAGGATTTTGCGTATTACCAGATGAAATATGTGGCGGCCGCCATTATTTACCGGTACAGGGTTAGGGTTGATGTGAAGAGTGGTCATAAGGTTGAGCCAAAGATGGCTCTAACTATGTACATGAAGCATGGCTTAAAGGTTAATATGGTCAAGAGAAGCGTCTCTGAGATAGATCGTTACTATGCTCCGTTTCAGAAAGGAGCGTATAACAATGGTGTATAGCTTAATGATGTTTTAAGGTTTATGAAACATAATCAGTGATTGTTGTAATTTGGTGATTTTTTGATGAACTTTCTAATATTGTTTTTCTTTATAGTTGTACATATGTATATGGTTTTTTTTTTTCCTGTTCTCTATTGTTCGTGTGATAATAGTTTAGGATTTCACTTAATAAGAAGATAAAATAAATGTTTAAGTAATAAAACAATATGTTCTCTGACTCTTACATAAACAATTGTAAGATATTTAAGATTGTATTTTTCTTTCCAAAACTAATGGTCTTTTTAATTTCGCTGTTTGCTGGTTTCATAACTCATAAGCCCTCTTTTGTAAACCTTACGGGGTCAGTCAGATGCCGGTGCTTGAAGGAAACTGCTTAAATGGCAAAGCGTGGTCTGACTTAGCCACTTGGGCTAGTAAAATTAAAGGTTTTCGTAAGTAACTCTGTGTTCAATATTACATGTACATTATTTTATATATACAGTACATTCCAGAAAAAGAGTCCCGGCATTATATTTTATTTTTATATAATTTTATACATTTGTATAGGCAGGGCCGGCCCAAACTCCCTGTGCCCCTAAAGCCTAACTTCAAAATTAGGGAGTTCGAAAGGGAAGCAGAAATATTGTTCAAACCACTACACTAAAGGAAAATTTGTTAAAAATGATGCCCTTAAATTTGTTATATAATTTGGCGCGTAAAACCCTTGCTTTATGGGTTTTAGATCAGGGCCGGTCTTGTGTATAAGACCGATCTTGAATGTGATGAAATGGAGTTAAACAAAAAGTGAAGGGTATGAAATGAACTTGGACCTCTGAGTGGATACAGGTGTATGAAAAGATGTTACAAGAAGGAAAATCTCCACATATATTATTGGATTAAGTATGACTTTACCAAATGCCAAATAAAAAATTTCCGGATTAATTCGAATGAGTCATAGAGAAAACAGCTAAACGAAGAAGTCCGACGTAGAAGTTGGGAACGTGGGCACTACGAAGCGTATTTTCTTCTTTTAACTTTACTTTACTTTCGTTTTATTTTATCTTTGTTTTTCACCTTCTTATTCAATTAATAACCCCTTCCAAAAACGATCCCTTCGTCCTAATCTTTTCCACCGTATCGAAGAAGGTGGTATACGTTTTTTTAATTGATATTGTCTGATTTGGTGATGTGATAAAAGGTCAAGTTTGCATTGTCACTATTTTTGAATATTCCAATTTATACCGATTACCCTTAAAGACTGTGCTTGATCATATAATGTAATCCTTTTCTTTTTTTCCTAATACAAATCTAATTTAACATGTACTATACATTTTTTAACCTTATCTCTAAAAGATCCCCTTAACTTACAGTGTTTTGTCAACAAATTCCCTAGGCTACATTGTTCTGCTAAAAGTAATTTTTTTACTGGTTAAATTTCGGATATTTAAGTCCACCTTTTCATTTGTCTTACATTTCTTTATTTTTTAACCTCTTAGTTAAACTATTTTTTGGGTAAAATTAATTCTTAAAATATTTTGATTTTCGTTTCGCTTATAATTTTTGTTATTTCACTCCCGTTACTAATAAATTTTTCTTTTCCCTCTCTTTTTTATTTTCTTTTGTTTTACCTTACGAGATTTTCGTAACATTTTTTTTGGGATACTCATATACACCTCACTGTAGAATAATAAATATCCGTTTTTGTTTATTATGATTAGTAATATTTAATGTCACCGTGTTCATTCCGTCGTATCTTCTAAACTGTGTCAACAGTGATAACTATTATTTAAATCCAAATTAAAAAAGGGGATAAAATCCAACCGCTCCGAGCGATATTTCAAAGTCTTCGCACGAATGCACAGTTTCTCTTTCCTTCAATTTGACTGCAATGGCGAGAACAGAGAAGAGAGCCCGAGAGAAAATCGGGTCTTCTTCGTATTTTCTGAGATGTTTCGGATTTTCACGGAAAATATACTCCGACAAGCCGATGGCTCCGGCGGAATACGGTGTTGAGAAGAAGATGAAGAAGAATAAGAAGCCAAGTCGTTGGTTTTTGTGTTCTAAGTTTCGCCTGAAGAACGGCGAGATCAAACCGGCTCCGATCGAGGAAACAGAGAAACCGACTTCTAGTGTAGAAGGTGAAACTGATAAGCAAACTTCCGTCCCGGTGATAAGTCGTATCACTGATCGTAAGAATATCCCGGCTGATGATAAGGCCGTGAATCAGGAAACAAAAGAGGTAACTTTCGTTGAACCTCCTAAAAAGAGCTTTTTTTCGTACAATTTAATGATTGTTTCTTTTAGTTGTAGAAAGTTAACATACTTTTTGCTTTTTATTTAGTAGATTTTCAGATGTGACAACAAAATCGTTACTTGATTTTGTCTGAATTCATTTTTGAAAATATCTTCTTGTTGTTCGTTTGCTTACTTATTCAGAGGAAACCGAAGGACTTACGAGACATAACCACCGACCGGCCCATTGAACCGCTGTGTTCCTCTAGAGAAGACACGTGTCTGAACCGGATATCTAATTCAACCCGTCATGGGAAACCCGAAATGAAACCGTCTCGGGCGAAAACCCGGTCCCGGGTTGAAAAGTTTGACCCGGTAATAGGGATCTCGATCATTATATTGACGTTGATGATCATGTTAATATGGGGTCGCCTCTGCGCAATTCTCTGTACATCCGCTTGGTGTTACCTTCTGCCTCGTCTCAAAGACGCGGCCGCGTTGGCGAAACGCAAACGCAGTAGTAGCGACGGTTCTGCGTATGTGCCGGATTTGAATTCAGAGTCTTATAAAAGAAAAGTCGTTTTGGAAGGGTTTCTTGGGCGGCAGAATCGCGTTTCGTTTTTGTAACGTTTTTTTTTTCATTCATTTCTATATTATAATGGCTTGGGTTTTTTTTGTTTTTTTTTGTTTTTGAAAACAGGGAAAAATAGTGTCTCCGTTTAATAAACACAATGAGTGATGAATGGAGTCAGTAAGTGAAATAATATGTTGTCTGTAATTCTGTAGAAGTCAATATTTAGCAGCCTACTGCTGTAATCTACAACTGCGCAATTTTACCTGGTTTTTTGTTTTTGTATTTTTTACCTGTTAAAAACATAAGGGCTTCTCCGTAACCTAGTCGTCGATGAATTCCAACGATAATCGATTTATCAACTAGTTTTCTTTGTGGGACTAGTGAAAGTCTTTGAATAACTTTGAATTTCAACTACTTGTTGTAAAAAAAAATATATTTAGTTATAAGAAAATTATGACTTCCTTCAAAGTTTTCTCTCAAGAATTCTAATAGCGCCTCACGAGAAAATATAGTTTGCAAGAGCAACAATTATCGCACCTATTAATTTACAACAATCATTTAGCGCACAAATAACGTTGTTTGGTTTTATATATTTGTTATTTGGTGCAGACGTTTTCCCGTTATTCTTTGAACATTATATGTCAAGTATTATGATAGTGACATAGTCAACAAATAAATAAAAATGGTAATACATGACATAGTCAACAAATAATTAAAAACGGTGATACATCATGGGACCTAGAGTTTTAGATGGTAATGCATCAATTCCATAAGTTGATCATTTTCGCACGCGTATTTCCCTTCTTCCATATCCGAGACACTGTAACATTTCTTCTTCCTTAGTCATCCAAACTTGAAACCATCATTTGATTATATACATATATATATATTTTTTAACGGACTAGATTTGATGATGTTGTTTAAAAGAATTCGAAAGAATTCGCAGAACTTTTTTTTGTTCAATATAATCATACAAAAAATGTCTTTCGTTGCAATTGTTTTTTTTCTGATCATCGTTTGTATTTGTAAAAGATTTCCGGTTATCCAGAATTTTAAAAACACCTTTGGAATTTGTTTACTCTTCAGTACGAACCACAAATTCGTAGCTTAGCAGACATCTTTAGATTATGGATATGACTCCTAAAGCGTATTAAAACGGTACATGGTTTACTATTTAATAAAAATCACCAGAACGGTAAAAGTTATCGGTACAAAACACGGTATTGTTCAATTTTTTCTAACCGATATGTTTTTGTGTTACAATTCAGAATTCCAGACCACATACAGTATTTTCGATTTGGTACAAGTCAATAACTTTTGGTAAGAAGGCGGTAACGAAAAAAAATAATAATGAAAATGCATTCGCTATTCGCCGTCTCCTGCTCCTTCTCCTCTCTCTGAGAAGCGGAGCCCTAGAAATTTGGATCATGAGGGGTCTAATTTCCGGCGCGAAGAGGCTATGGACTCCATCTGTTACGGCAACAACCACCGCCATAGCGAGAAGACGCTACAGTGTAATCCCAATGGTTATCGAGCATTCATCGCGAGGCGAGAGAGCCTACGATATCTTCTCTCGATTGCTCAAGGAGCGTATAATCTGTATCAATGGTCCCATAAATGACGACACGTCCCACGTCGTCGTGGCTCAGCTTCTCTACCTCGAGTCCGAGAATCCTTCAAAGCCGATTCATATGTACCTTAATTCACCTGGCGGTCATGTCACTGCCGGTAACGCTTTATCTCATCTCTTTATCTTAAACACATTTTCCATTTCTGCTTATGAACTTATGATCTCTTTAGCATGTTCCCAATCTCCATCGATTTGATTGATATGTTCTTCAGCCCCGGGTAATTAGATTGGAAATTGGTTGTTACTCGCATTTCAAAGGCCTTTTGTTGAACTGCTTAGTAGAACTCAGAGGATTTATGGAACGAAATTTCTGCAATGTTGGATCTTTGTTTAAGGTTTTTCAATCAATCCTCGTCATGTTGGTATGTTCCTCTTAGTTGATAGATATTAGATGTTGATCCGTTATCTGGGGATGCAGGTCTTGCAATTTATGATACTATGCAATACATTCGATCGCCAATAAGCACGATTTGCTTAGGCCAAGCTGCGTCAATGGCTTCTCTTCTCTTGGCAGCAGGTGCCAAGGGACAAAGACGGTCGCTCCCAAATGCGACCGTCATGATTCATCAGCCTTCAGGAGGATATAGTGGACAAGCTAAGGATATGACAATTCATACAAAGCAGATTGTTCGTGTTTGGGATGCTTTGAACGAGCTGTATGTGAAACACACGGGGCAATCCATCGATGTGATTCAGAAGAACATGGATAGGGATCATTTCATGACTCCTCAAGAGGCTAAGGCCTTTGGTATAATCGATGAAGTTATCGATGAAAGACCCATGGAGTTGGTGAAAGACGCTGTTGGAAATGAAAGCAAAGATAAAACTTCGAGTTAGAAACAAAAACTGGTAATCAAAGTAATAAGATTTTCCTCTCTTTTCTCTCTTTTTTTTTTGTATTTTCTTGTTAGATTTCTTTTCCATTGATGATGATATGCTCTGCAGAGGGATAATCTCGCAGACCCTTTTTCTGTGAAGCTAAGTCGATAAAGATTGGCTTTCGGTTCTCCATTCCAATTACAGTCTCATCAATAACAACTGTAGAATGCTTGTCTCTTTTAGAAAGGCTAATGCAGTTGTTTATCTGTTCTCCATGCCATCATTATGTCAAATTCTTATAATCATTTATCGATTCTTGGCTTGAAGTTTTGACCACCCTCAGATTATCTCAGACATTCTGGGTTACATAACCCTTTAAATCGTTTATGCTCCTCACCACTGAGTAGCACATGATCTCTTGATTCCTTGATCACCTACACTCCGAAAATGATTTTACTCTTTTTTCCCTTGATGTTTTGAGATTGTGAAAAAAAGGCAAAAATTAGGCAGAAACAAGTTTATTAAAATTAGGAGTTATATATCTTCTATAAAAAAAAAAAGAAGTGATCTCCTTGAGAGTACATATATGATCACTGTAAAAAGGTGAGGGAGAGGAAAAAGCGGCGACGTGAGTAAACCAGTTTCTCTGTTGATCTAAAAACAAAAAAAACAAAAAAAACTCCGACGAAAAACTTTCACGTTTTTGCCCTAAATCCTTTCGTCTCTCTTTCTCCACCGATTCAACTTCTCCCTCTCGCATGCTTCGTCGACATTGCTCGTTATGTTGAAGTAGTCCTAGCTGTCTCCATTTCTCAGCGGGTTTCTATCGGCGGAAAAAATCTCCGGTGAAGAGTCGGGAGTTTCATATTGATTCTCCGCGTTTGATTGGAATTGGAAATTCCGTTCGGTGTTCCTATCTGAACTCAAAATTAGGGTTTATAGGCAGTCTCGCCAATGGCTCCTGGGCGTAAAAGAGGAGCGAACAAAACCTTGGCGAAAGGAGATTTGAGACTGAGTGATTTGGTACTTGCTAAAGTCAAAGGCTTCCCTCCTTGGCCTGCTAAGGTGCGTCTTCTGCTCTATCTCTCTCTCTCGGCTTCATCACGTTTTGATTCATGATCGTGATTTTTTGGGTCTTGCACATACTATTGTTTAGTAGTTTTCTTCTGCTCGTTTTTATCTATTTTATAAGCCTTATAGTTCCTACTTTCATCTTCTTCTTTTTTTTTGAGGGGTTAAGTTTTTTTTTCTGAAAGAAAAATTGGGTTTTCTTTGTGTTAGTTTTGTTTATGTGTTTTTTTACGGGCATATTGAATTTCTCTTAGGTTTTTCTGGATAGCTCCAAAGCTCTGTTCCCTCCTTGATTGTCTCACCTTAGTAGACTGGTTTTTAGTATGCCAAAGCAGCCTCTTTTTTTGTGCTGAAGTTTAGTGAAGTTTGAATTGCTATGTAGTATCCCGTATGTTGAGAGTGTTGAAATTGCTGTTATTGCCGATTGAGCTGCGTGGGATTGTTCATTTTGACTTAACATGGTTTGAGTTTCAGATCGGCCGGCCCGAAGATTGGGGTCTTGCTCCAGACTCAAAGAAATATTTTGTTCAGTTTTTCGGAACACAGGAAATGTAAGCAGGCCTCTTCTGTGTTTACTGATCGTTAATGGCTTGAGATGTATCTTATCATGACTTAAAGCTATATGCATTTTCGTTAGGTAGTTCCCTCCCTGATTGTAACAGCACTTCTTTGTTTTCCCTTGTTATTGGAGTGTGTTTTTGTTTTCTCAATATTAGTCATTTACCAAGTTATCTTCCTCTAATGCAGAGCTTTTGTTACGCCACCTGATGTTCAAGCCTTCACTAGTGAGGCAAAGAAAAAACTATTAGAAAGATGTCAAGGTAAAACAGTCAAGTTCTTTGCCCAAGCTGTGGAGGAAATCTCCGCTGCATTTGAAGAGTCGCAGAATCACAAGTCAGATAGTTTGGGCAACGAGGATCTTTTGATTGCTGTTGAGCCAAGTTTGACCAAGACTAAGACATTGGATGGAACAGATCATAGAGAATCTGGTAATGATGGAAATTCCGATAAGTTCGACTCTAGGGCGAATCCTTGTCTTCATAAATTAGTTGAGAATAATGGTGCAGAGGCAAAGCCTGACATAGGAGAGGAAGATTTATCTCCATTTCTGAAATCAAATAACAGAAGTACGTCCCCAGGTGGTGAGCCTCTGAAGCACGGATCACCTGACCCTCTTTTAAAGGTAGCAAGTGATGGTGTCACTTGCACTGAGCATCGCGATGGTGCTGGAAAGAATTCGGTCAACGGTGAGCGAATAATAAAGAAGATAACGGGTGACTCGGAGAAAAAATGTAAAGATGAGGTTCATAGAGCCAAACGTGTGCCTGATAGCCGAGCTGCTACAGATAATAATCTCATTGGTCCTAACCAGAAGTTAAAGGGCAGTAAGAATGAAGCTTTTGACAGTAAAGTGGTGCCGGATCTTAATATCGCCAGTTATAAAAAGTCAAAAAAGTTGCTGAAAGAGAAACCTAGCGCCCGAGTCTGTAGTGATAAGAATGAGTATGCGCTTGACTGTAAACCTGGGATTTTGGGGAAGAAAAAGAGGCTTGAAAGTGAACTCGGAAAGTCTGCATCAAGAGCAGATGAAAGTAAACGTGCTGCTAAGAGGCAGCGATCTGGAGATGCTAATGATCAAAAACAATGTAAGACCAATGGTCTTCTTTCTGTTGGTGAAGGCAAAGCTGAAGGATCTGATTCTACTGGCGTTGTATCACCCCGGGGAAGAGAAGTTCAACCTGATAAGAAAGTGGTCGCTTATACAAAGCGCCGCAAACAGACAGTGGAGCGTACAAGCGTTTCCTCTTTTTCTGGGTCTCGTGATAAAGAGGGGACAAAACATCTAGAGCGGAAGATTAGTTCATCTTCTGCTGGTGATATGAAGGTTCCAGCTGCTCAGCTGCCTAAGAGACGGAGGGCGGTTTATATAAATGACGAAGATGATGACGAAGATCCAAAGACTCCAGTGCATGGAGGACATACCAATGTTCATAAAGCTACATCAGCTTTTACTGATGGTCCGAAAAGTGCTAATGCGTCCCATGATGCTACTATTAAAACGAAGGTATTCGCTGGATCTGCAGAAAAGGCTGAAATAGGGAAAGTACCTCTGTGTAAACATAACAAGGATGGTTCACTTGCACTACCTAAAAGCATGGAGGGCCTTTCGAATTGCTCGCCTATGGGAAAACCAGTGACCGAGTTGCTCCCAAAAAATGTCAAGTCGATTTTGAGATCTCCTAAGAAGTCCTCTCAGCTGGTTTCATTCAAGAAACAGGTGACAGGACAAAATAAAACTGCTAAAGTCTCTGGTGCGGGAATGCCAGATATCGTGGAGGGCCTTTCGAACAGCTCGCCTATGGGAAAACCAGTCATCAAGTTGAACACGAAGAAGCAGATCGTGAGATCTCCTAAGAGATCTCCTCAGTTGGTTTCAACTAAGGACCAGGTGGCAGGACAGAATTTAGCCGGAAAAGTCTATAGTCGGGGGATGTCAAAAATATGTCAAGGCGATTCTTCTAAGGATGCATTGGCTGGTTCTGATAGAGTAAGCTCTTCTCAATCTCAGACAGCAAAACAGAGAAGCAAACCAGCTTTAGGGGAAAAGCTAACAGACACTCCAAATGTTGCAACTCGTTTGAACGATGCTGGAGTGTCAAGAGACACTTCTGTGAACTTGTCCACTGGAATGTATGTTTTCGTATATTCCTATGTCATTGAAATGTTCTTATTTCGCTTGGAGGTTATAGCCTTTGCGTTTTTCCTTATTATAGGATTGATGTCAATCAAGGAAATGGAAGTGCCCCATTGACCAGTTCTGGGATGCCAGATTCTTCTTCATCTATGAAGAACCTGATTGCAGCTGCCCAAGCAAAAAGAAAACAAGCTCACTCACATACTTCACCGTTTGTGAATCTAGACCATACAATCTTAAGCATCGGTGAAACTCAGATGAGAAGTCATAGCCCTTTAATGATTCAGAATGTTTCATCTCCTGCCGGCGATGCCATGCTAATTATTGCTCAGGGACATCAAGAAGATCCGACTCCGTCAAATCATGTCCACCAGTCCCCAGCAAGTAATTTAGCGGAGACTGAAGAGAATGATGAGAGAAGAGTTAGCTCAGGGCATATGTCAGTTGGGGACGCTGGAACTGAGGCTGCGATTTCTCGAGATGCTTTTGAGGGAATGATAGAGACCTTATCCAGAACGAAGGAAAGTATTGGACGTGCAACCCGCCAGGCAATTGAATGTGCCAAGTATGGGATGGCCAGTGAGGTAAGTTAATTGTGTTTTGGCGACATTTTTCTTTTCTCTTTTTTGGTTGTCCTCAGCCAGGATTTTCTTTGATAAACTTAGGAATCTATTGAAAATGAAGAATCAATTTAGAAATGTACTTTTCCTGGCTCAAATCTCTTGTTCGTGTAACTTGGTCAAATGTTTTGACAAAACTTTCTACAGCATGTTATGTGTGAAATTCTCAGGGAAGCTTTTGATGGAAAAATTTTGTATTGTGTTTTGTAGGTTGTGGAATTACTCATACGAAAGTTGGAAATTGAACCGCATTTCCGCCGTAAAGTGGACTTATTCTTTCTCGTTGATTCGATCACCCAATGTTCTTATAGCCAAAAAGGTAAGGCTTCTTCCTGAATAATCAATTTTCCTTTGTTTGTCTTGTGTATAACTACTAATATTAAATTGAAATCTTCTTTAGGTAGAGCTGGCGCTTTGTATATTCCTACTGTGCAGGCAGCCTTGCCACGCCTTCTAGGTGCTGCTGCTCCTCCAGGGACTGGTGCTCGTGAAAATCGTCATCAATGTCGCAAGGTTCTTTTGCTTTTTTGCTGTTTCGAGGACATTCTCATGTTTTAGTTGTTCAGAGTCAGTGATCTCTTGCTTCTGCTAGGTGTTAAGGCTGTGGCTTGAGAGGAAGATTTTCCCAGATTCTCTTCTGCGCCGTTATATTGCTGATATTAGTGCCTCTGGTGGTGATGCAACTGTTGGGTTTACCTTACGACGCCCTTCTAGATCTGAGCGTTCTGTAGATGATCCTATAAGGGTAATGGAAGGGATGCTTGTTGATGAGTATGGGAGGTATGCATCACACTTGTATTGATCTATGGTTTGCTTTTTTAGATTTGATATATTTTGTTGAGGGCATGTAGAAGTATAGTTGGAAATTTATATTACTGAATGGTTGTTTAAGAAAGTTCTAGTGCGTTCTGAATGATTATATGTTAGCTAGTTTTCTCTGCAGCAATGCGTGTTTTCAGCTGCCTGGATTTTTATCTTCTCACACTTTTGGAGATGATGTGGAAGACGAGGATCTTTTAATCACATCAACGGAAGTTGTTAACACACATATCGAAGAACCAGTCGATGCTTTAGGCAAGTTAGAGGCACATGATGGTTCGAGTGATAAACCTTGTGTTTTAGAGGCTGTCAATGGTGTGCTTGAAAAGGAAGATGTGTCTTACCAGCCGGGAGATGAAGAACCTTCTTATGTTTGTGGGATTGAAGCAAAGGTTGACTCGCCGGCTGCTACCACTGCAACTGAGCTGCCTCCTTTTCCAGAGTGTTCTCCTCCGTTACCTCATGAATCGCCTCCATCTCCCCCTCCTCTACCTTCTTCTCCTCCACCCCCATCTCCGCCTCCACCCCAATCATCTCCACCGCAATTGCCACCACCACCACCACCTCTCTCCGAGCAATGTTCACCTCCACCACCAGCTCCATTGCCACCTCGACCACCCCCTACACCTCCACAATCTATAGCTCTACCAGAATCATCAATAACTCAACCGTCCAAGCCTAGCCATCCGTCAGTACCACTTCAACCAGAATTCGTTCCCCCAGCATGTCCATTATTGCAACATGAATACCAGACATCTATGCAGCGGTCTAGCATTGCCACTGTAAGCCCTCTGATTTCTCTCGTTTTCTGATTCAGTATACTTGTAATTTCTCAAGCTTCATTGGCCTGTAATTTTAATTTGTATGCAGAGTAATCAAATTGCCCAAGTGCTCGTAAACGCTGCACATGGAAGGCATGCTGATGGCGACGTGTTTTTAAAACATGAAGCTTCTTTACAGAACCAACGTCTTCAATCGAGCAATACCTCTTTTATACAGAGTCCAATGATTAGGAATCACGCCCCAGCACCATCCAGCCATTTTTCGCTTCCAAGCCGGATTGTTCATTCACAACCTCAGCGGTCCTCCTTTCCTCATCCTTGCCCTTTTTCTTCTCAGCTAGTTGATGGGCGACGGCATATGAACGAGGACCCATGCCGGAGGCCTTTCAGTGGACGTAGTGCAGATACTCAACATGGAGCTTGGATAAGTGGAAGAAACCCACTTCCAGGCCCTCATACAGTTACAGATGGTATGCATATGCGAGAAACTCTTCAAACCTTTGTATGTCAGTTTGTTCATATACATGTCTGCCTGTAGGATTATGCTGCATCAGTTGGTTATGATTCTCCTTTAGCTGATATTGCTGATCTTATTTGCAACGACAGGTTTCTTTCAGCCACCTCCAGAAAGACCACCAACAGAGACAATGAGCTATCAACTTGCTGCTAATAACTTGCAAGCTGGCCCTACAATTTCAGGTGAGATGATCTAAATCAATTCAATCTGAATAGCCGCTCAGAGATGAAATTGTGGGATCCTTTTCCTGCAATATATAACATTTTAATCTGCCATTTAAGGTCATACTGCTACGCAGATGTTACCATCTCGGCCAGACATACCTTCTGCGGCTCGTTGGAGGCCATCTTGAAGTTAAGGTAGACTACCTTTTGATTGTTCCTTTACACTTCGATTAGCAAGCTGCTAGTGTCTCATTAACATGTTACACCTTCTTTGTCACTGATTTCTTATTTCTGGATTGTTATCAGACAGTTCGAAATAGACTGCCTTCCCTTCCATGAAGGACTTTTTGGGCGGTATATTCACTTCCAGGGGCATCAAAACTCTGCAGACTATTGTCAGGATACTGCTCTATTGTAATTTTTCCTGACAAATTTATCACCGGATCATGTTCTTCACAGTATATGCCCTTGTTTCTAATTTGGTTAGTACTTCCGTTCCTGAGATAACTATGTCAATAACTTGACACAGCTTAATTTCAAGCTTTCAAGTCCTAATATATCGGGTCAAATCCTGTCTGATAAGAACTACTTAACTTAAACCTATCTTTACTGGTATTTGAGACACGACCTTAAAATACACACCCGACAAGTGTAGTTTCTGCGCAGAGAAGTAACTAAGTTTCAAGGTAGTTTCAGTAGTGATGCAGTGAGAAAGTTAGTTTGCTCTTTAGTACTGGCTCCCAAAATGGAGTCCTGCTTGTTTGTTTCTTGTTGTTTGTGGGTAAAAGTCACTTTGGATTTGTTTGGTGAAGTCTCTTCAGTTCCTCCTAGACGAGATTATTGTATGAGAACTCGTATTGTTAAACCTCTGTATAACTGTTTTCTCCAACGAATCGTTAGGCGATGATGCTACTCTTGTATTTCCTTTTTTGTTGCTCTTGACAAATGTCTCTTCTCTGCAGAACCTAGGTTGTCCTGGCTGGAAGCCTTAGCAGGATCATGAAGCATCCATTATAAGCAATCGGAACTCCATTCAGCCGGTGTTACATGAATATCCATATTGAATCTTGCGCACTGCTTATCTGAAGTATGTTGAGGACTTGAGGTATTGGTTCCTCTTTGTGTCTTGAGAAATTTAACTTCACATCAAACTTGTTTATGGCTGGTAGTTCAATTTATAACGTTTCCGACTCCCATAAACTTATATCCTTTCAAGTCATATATGTGCTGGTGACACATAGAGAATTTTTTTGTTCTATAACAACAGTTAGTTGTTTATGAAGAACCTGCTGTTTTCACTTTTGTGCATGTACGGATTTAAAATACCAGAAGAAACAAAATCGGTTGTGATGGCAGATTGGGTTAGGATGTTAGTTACCTGAGCGATTATGTACTCATTACTTTCATTAGAATAGACCAACTTAACGAGCATCGTGCATTTGTGTGGATTTCTGATAGTGACTTGGAATTTTTTTCTCTATGAATGATTCAGTCTATAAATGGTCTCTATGCTGTCTACAGATCTCTTTAGTCTATCTATTTGGCTTTCTGATTTTTATGTTGACTTCCATTTCGAGTACATAAACACTCAGCTGCATTGTCTCTTGCCAGGTCTACACGTTTGAAAACGGAGTGGTGAAGATGAGCGTCCTTGGACCAAATTTAATCTCGAGGTAAAGACTAAAGATTCTAGAGACTAGTCTTTGACTGTTCAATTCTGAAGACAAAGTTTGAATTTGAAAACCGGGCTCATCTGAGAATAGAGATGTTGCTGCGAGCTAGAGCAAGTCAAGCCCTGTTATTCTTAAAGCATATATTTTTTTCATCATGTGAAAACGATAAGAAAATTCTAGAATAGAAAATATATTTTATTTCAAAGAAAAAAGAATAGCTCAATCCAGAGTCATAGAAAGAATATGGAACTTTGATCAGAAATAACTAGTGTTTTCTACCCCTTTAGTTAATATATCATCATTTTGAATGTATAATTGTTTCGGCTCTAGCGTATATCATTCCATGTTGCCAACAAAAAAAAGAGCATGTGGTTCCACTGGTTAAGTCGTTATTGGAGAATGTAAAATAACTACTCGTCTCTTTTTTTTTTTACAACTACTCGTCTAATTATCCACGGTGTGGATTTTTGTATCATGCCTTTTAGATGTATACGGGTTCTCCAAAATTCTAGTGTGGTCTTGTTATTTAACCACTATCAAATTTTTATGTATTTTTTGAAGAACATTTATCTAAAAAGGTGGATTATTATGGTTTCTATTTTGTTATTTTTGTTTTTTTGGTAAAAATTATATTTTGTTGTTGATAAAGTATATTTACATTTTATTTACTTAGACGCGCTCGTACTTATTGATTCCGGGATACTCAAAACGGTAGAGCTAACACGTTGACACGGTGCGTTTGGTATTTAGTCCACGATCCGACAACACAACACTTGCGTTCTGGAAAGCATTATATATTTTTTTCTTCTTCTTTTCCCCCAAAAATAAAAGAAAAAACAGTTGCCACTGTTCTACAAATTGTATTTTTTTAAAGTACAAATTGTATTTGATAATAAAACAAATTAATAAGCACAAACGGACAGTACAAACTTACAATGTAGTTCAAATCGAGTTGCGGTTGAATACTAACTGATGCAGCAACCTACCAAGAGCCTTTTTTTATTTTAGACAAAACAATATTCTTAGATAAATGCATTGAAAATACATTTTAGAAATGTGTGGCAATGTTCATTTAAAAAAAAGAAAAAATTGACTACGCTACAGATTTCGCCGATAAAACCTTCACCCAGAGCCAGAAAATGTTACAAGATATTTGATAACTTACAAAAAAAAAGGAACCATATTACATCACTATCACAATCTTTCTTCCTTCTTCATAATTTTCAATTTGGAAGGTTTTCTTTCTTCCTTGAAATTTTCTCTAATATCTTTCTTACTTCTATTTACTCCGCATTAAGCCTAAATAGCTTCTTCTGCTTTTGATTTGTATAATTTCAAAAAGAATGGGGCAGTTAAATAACGAGAAACTGACCTTTTTGTTTAGTCCATAGCCGTTTTGTTTTTCCGACCCGTTAAAGGCTTTGGTAATCCATCAAAAATAGAGCTTGTAATAGCCGCAGGTGTAAGCAAATCAGGTTTTAAGCTCCATTTAGAAGTTGGCCACAGAGACAATGAACCGTTACTGCTGTTACCGTCTGGATCTTGTAGACTCGATGCACTCGACGATTTTCTTACACTGCTGAAGCTGTCTGAAACTGGAGCATCCATCAAGTTGATTGGTACCGGATTGAAATTACCGGTCTCAGATTCTGCTGATAGATTGGTTCTGCTTGAGGCTTTCGATCTCAAAGCTAATCCTTTTCCGGCTATTGATAAAAACCCGCCATTGCTGCTACTGTTCTCTTCTTTCAATAGAAGTTCTGGAGTCCGGGATGTAAAATCGGCTTCAGATTTTTGACGTCTTCTTATAAACTTATCCGAATTCTGCTCTTGGTGGGTATTGTTATCGGGTGATTGGTTGACCTCTTCGAGAAGTGCATTGACCAAGCTTCTTGATTTCCTGTGATGGTTCAAGGGAGTGTTTGTGGATGGGAAAGGTCTGAGATACTGATTGTCACCGTTGATCGAGAGACGATGAGAAGTTTCTATCTTGTAATGTCCCATTTCGAAGCACCCTCCTTCAGAAACTGTTCTGTTTGCTGGCTTTAGCCCATAATAACCTTGCAGTGAGTACATGGCTGGAGAAACTTTCTTTTCCGAAGGTTTCAATCTCAGGGACTGGAATGAGTCAAACACGTCGTTGTTGCTATGGTTTGGTGATTCCAGTTCGTGGCATGAACATCCCTCTCTGAAAACAAAAATCCATGTATTAGAGCCATGAAAAGAGGATTACTTGATAGTGAATATGCAGCTGAACCCCAACACACACAGCCAAAGACTCTACTTTTTTTGTCTCAATTATCAGAGCAACAACATAAGATGTTTCCTGTAGAATTTCGAGTTCTGCAGTAACATGAATAAAACAGGATCTGCTCTTAAAAAAAAAGCTTATTTAACGTAAACTGCTCTGCAATAAGAATCCGTGACTAGAAACTTAAAACCGACCTCGCATAGGTAAAGATGGGCATAAAATGAAAATTTTTTTCAGAAATTATTATAAGTACCCATGGTTTAAGGAGCCATTAGATAAACATGGAGAAGGAGGATGTCTTCCAGGTAACGGGATCTGGAGAGACTTGAGAGCAAACATTTGAAGATCAGTAACAAGGCCATTCATCTTTTTGACATCTGCGACCTGAGGTAGATAAATTTCATAAAATAACAAAAGAAAAAGGGATATTAGAATTTAAAACAACAACTGGAACAATTTATCATCAAAAGCATAACTTTTCCCTCATGTGTTCTTCATCATGCGTTCATTCCCAAAAATAAAAAAGAAGATAAAAAAATGTATTAGTGCCTTTTTTATACTAGTACCATTAATTCAATTTCTACCTTTATCTCTGATTAAAATACGGTTGTATGTCAGTCAAAGTCAAATATTCTCGAGCTGGAATTAGCAATTGCTACAATCAAACCTAATCTCATCGCCAAAATCGCAGAATTTTACCTCAACGCCGTATTTAATGGCAATGCCGGCGAGTGTATCGAACTTGGAGACGCGGTGCTCGATATAGCCACGGTCGGGAGAGTTTGGACCAGGAAATGGCGGGGAAGAACTGGAAGGTGGAGGAGAAGAGGTCGGCGACGGGATCCGGAGGATCTTCGACGGAGAAGATCTAGAAGGACTCCTCTCGCGGCAATTCTCAGATCGATCTAAGAATCCGTAACCATTGTCATCGCGGAATTTCCCGTTGCTATATTCTGGAGTCCCATTGCGACCAGAAAGCCTTCTCTCTCGATCCATAAACATTAACTCTCGAAGAATCCTACCTATTCTAAAACTAGATCTGATCAGAATTTCATCATCAGCTAGAGAAAATCGAAAAACGGTGAGGGAGAGATGATTAACAATGAAAAAGGGGGAAGAGAATGACGAATTAGGCGTCAAGCGATTAACGAAAGAGAGGTGAAAAAAAAAATTCGTGGACTAGAGAGTCGAATTTTCTCCGAGGATCCGATGGGAAATTTTCTTCTTTTTCCCAGATTTTCCGGGAAAAACGAACGAGAGATCTCTGTGCTCCTCTCTCGTCGCAGCGGTGGAATTATACCAAATTGTATTTAATATGACCTTAAAAATAGAAGAAAAACAATATCGGATGGAAATTATTGCATTATTAAGAATCTAAGAGTGTGCTTTAAAAAAATAAAACGCTTTACAACAACAAAACCAAAAAAAAAAACATGTACAGTAAATAATTGAACTGAAACAGCAAAAAAGTATTTATTATGTATGCTAAATTAACCCAAAAAAACGAGACCAAACAAAAAAAATACTTCAAGTTACTACATAAATATTTTTATATTTTTATATTATCAATTTTTGTTAAAAGCATTAATATCAGTAGCTTTCAGAAATTGTTTTTAACGACCAAACAAAATATTAAAAATAAATTGTTTTTGTTGACAAAATAAATAAATAAATAAATCAATTGTTTTTAATTGAATTGTATTTTCAAAATTAAGTAACCAGCTTTTTTAATAATAAAGTTTTTGAATACTTAAGAAAAAAGGTTGGTTAATTGAAGATTCTGATTGGGACACAAAAAATAATCTAAGTAAATACCAGCTTGCTTCTAGTGGATAAAATAAGAACTTTTTAAAGTCAAGAAAACAAGTCTGTATGTTTGACAAAAAAAAGTCGGTATAATGTCGGCGAGGACATGAGAGTTTTAAACAAGCCCACTGTTCTTTGCCTAAACAAAATTACACAGCTAATCAATAAATAGAACAATTTATTAGAGACGTATACAGCTTTACTTAATCTCGCTCTGATAGTGGTCCAACTCCTCCTCTGGCTCTGCGGTTTAACTGCTTGGTTAGAAAGAAATCAAGAATATAAGGATACAGTTTCGAGTTGTTTGAGAATTCAGAGTCTCACATCACATGAAAATCCTCACTCAAAGGTTTAGTTGAAACAGAAGAAAACAAAAGAAGAACTCCATTCAGGAGTAAAAGACTAGAGCCTATTTACATTATAGTACTCTAAACCACCGGAGATTGTTGTGCAAGACCATTTCAAAACGGCATAAAACTATGATCATATTATGGAAAAAGAAAAATTATTATTATCTCTGTAAGAATATATGAAACTTTCGAATTACCGAAAGGTTCTGTATAGTATAAAAACCATAGGACCAAAACAAATGATATCTTTTTATTCAAAAACAAAATATCATCAACAATGGGGATGTAGCTCAGATGGTAGAGCGCTCGCTTAGCATGCGAGAGGTACGGGGATCGATAGCCCGCATCTCCATTTTTATCCACATTTTTGGACTCGACCATAACCGGACTTCATTACAGGTACATTTTGGGGCCTGAATATAATAATAACTACGGCAGCCCAACCTTTTGTACTTTGTGCTTTGCACGTATGTATTGGGCTGTCGACAAAAATATTTTTAGAAACTAAAAAAATGGTGATCGTGCTTATGTAGATTCACGCCAGATTTCATTTGGAAGTCAATCTTCAGATTAATTTTGAAACCGAATCTAGCATTTAGAAATTAGAACAATTAATTCATAAACATATGAAATAAGGATCTGGATCTGAAACATGACAATGCTTACTAATTACATCTGAATCACCAAGTGATTTTGGATTCAAAAGAAGATAAAAAAAAAACAAATCTAAGTTAAAATGTAAAGAGCATATCAACACCAAGACGAGGAATTTTTGCACTTTACAGAGAGATGCTAGAAAAGGAAAAAGTCAAAAGGATAATGTTAAAAAAAAGAAAAATTTGCCCTCTTACGGTATTTCTTGATTAGCTTTGTAGATTTGTCTGTTGGGTTTCTTCTAGTTGCTCTGGTTGAGGAACTGAAACACCTCCATTCATTCTTGCTCGAGCTTCTGCAAACATTCTCTGTTGTTCCGCTGCTGCTTCCTCCTCCGTCATCTCTGCTCCGCTGTTCATTTTCACACTTCTCTGTGAATCTTGCTGCAGAATTTGCAAAAACGCAGGAAAATAATTTAGAACTTTTTAGTGTTTTATTTCCACGTCTGGCATTTAAGTAAATGGTGAAATGGGTTTACCATGGTTTCATATTTATGTTGCTCATAAGCGGCGTAGACTTCTTCGACGTATTCCCCAAAGCCGAGAACCTGTTTCATGTACAAGTTAAATGAACCAACCCACGATCACGAAAAAAAAAAACATATCTATAGTTCTGATGGGTATGTAAAACCGAACCTGTAGTGCTTTGAGTACATGCTCAGGTGCAATTGTTCTTTTATCCTCTTTGTTACAGACTTCATTAGACTCTGAGGATATAAGATTGATAAACTCTGCCACAATGTTTGTATAACGTTAGGAGGTTGAAACGATGATAAGCTTCATATAGCTCAATGATAAAGGGGATCTCTTGAGAAATCAAAAGACTAATCTTACCTACACAGCACTCGATCAGAAGATCTTGAGCATCTCTAGCAACACGAACATCTGCTGGTAACATCTCCTTTATAATTTTAGTCATGGTAGCTGAAATTGACAAGAACAAACACTGTTTTAGCAGACAAATATTAAGAATTAGAGGAAACAATGTCAACGATTCCATACTCCCAAAGAAGCTTATGATGCTTTCTTTTCACATCATGGGATTGAGTAACCTGAAGACATGGATAGAGCTACGCTTTACAAAAATCTAATCAATTTACCCACCAGAAAATCTTCAACTGCTAATTCTAGAGAGTGGAATCAAACTAGCGATACGGTTCAATTGACGGAAAAAATCTCCATAGATTATTAGCATGAAGATCGATCGAAAAGAAGGACAAGAGGCCGAACCTTTCGGTAGCGAAGCATCTTCCTTAGATTTTCCAACTATATCCATCGGATCCATCGTTTAACACTACAAGATCGCAAATTTAAAGCGAAAATCAGATATCACGGAACATTACTTGTACATGTGCATATAAAAAGAGAGAGATGTCGAGTACCGACTAACCTAGTATAAAACACGAATCAAAATCGGAGACAACGACGGAGATCCGGCGAGAGACGGGAAGTCGGACGGATTGTACGGAATCTTATCGGCGGATTTTCTCTCTCCTTCTCGCCTTTCTCTACGCAGAAGTCGATTAGGGCAAAACAGAAAAACCAAAAACAAGCGCGTGAATTCCACTCTTACTCCCAAGGTGGTTGACGGCGCGTAAGATTAGTACTGTATTTTCTTTTAAAACAAAATGGGCCTTTTACTAAATTTACATATATATAGGCCACAGTCTGACCCAAATTGAAGCTTACCCGACCCGTCTCAGCGCTCTCTTTATTTTCTTCTGTTTTTGATTTTGGAAAATCATCCAGTTCAAAAGACTAACTAGGTTGTGATGATGAAGTAGTGAAGGAAAACTTAATCTATTGTTAGTGATGTGGATAGTGACTTCAGTAATTTAACTAGATATTATATGGAAAAGTGAAGCAGAAAATTATAAGTTATATAATCATTGATTTTGAGTGAGCTATTCCAGATACTCTTTGCTCTTTGTCTCGACAATGTATCTATGGAATACCCAATACGGACGGTTCAACGAAGCCAGAATTTATATAAAAAAAAAACGTGTCCCACCATGCACAGACTAGCCAAGACATGCCAAGATCGGTTTTAGAATCTTTCAACCTTTCATTATTGTATATGCATGTATAAATTCTATTATAGCATAAATCCGACTAGCGTACATATTCATGAATCATGTACATCATATTTGATTCGGTCATAACATTATATTTATTTATTTTTTGTTTGGGGGTATACCTACTATAGAGTATATATGATACGAGTTTAGAAATCAGTGTCGGCACTAGCACACAAAACTACTAAAATACAAAGTCAGTGTCTGGTGAGCTCGCTAGCTCTGATCATCGGCTGCCATGATCCGGATCATATGGGTCATCAATTAATAAATAAAAAAATCGCTATAGGATCTTTAAATGTGTTGTTCTGTTAAACTCGTAACCTGATCCACATTGTCAACAAAATCGTGTGAGAGAGAGAGAGAGAGAGCTAGAGAGAGAGAGAGAAATAGGCAAATCACAAATGGTATCTCATCAGATTCTGGTTGACTGTTTCAAACTTCATCACTCTGTTTCCTTATTTTATTTTTTTACTAATTTGGTGTGAATTCATATAGTTTACATCTACTCCAAAATCTCAGATTCCTCTTTGTCCCAGTTTTTTCTGTAGATTCATCATGCATGTGTATTTATATAGAGTAGGTTTTGGTCCATTTGCGTTTGTCTCGATTACTAAGGTAGTGAAGATCCAGCTATTACTAGTTCTGGTTCTTGTTTTGACCATTTGATTTTTTCAGATCTGAGATTTATTGTTTGCTCCAACTCGGAAAATTTATTCCGCTTTCTTTTTCCATTCTATTTCAATGGACATCAGTTTGAGGAAACTATAGAAAGAAAAAAAAGAGTGAAAGTCGCTGGAGGCAGCGGTTCATCGATCTCTTCCTGGGATTTTTTGTTTTTTTGGTTGCTGGAAAGAAATTCAAAAGCATGAACAGATCGATAAACCTCTGCATCCAGCGTTTGCCTCTTTGTCAACCATCATTTTTCAATCCGTTTTAAGAATAGTTTTTTTTTTTTTGTTATTGACTTGCGAATTTACAAGCACTTCTTCCGCTCACTGATTCTCTCGTTTAGCTACAAAAAAAAAAAAAAAAATTGGAATTTAATAATTCCCCATTCGTTTGTTTTTGAGAAAGTGAGGGAAAACAGAGTCCAGTCAGAGTATTTTCTGGTAAATTCAACTGAAGATAATGGAATTTGAGAGCAGATACATATGTGACTGTTTCTGGCGAGAATTCAATATATGTTCATAGTTGACTGATATGCCTTTTGCTCTGACTTAATGTTATCCAGTGGATTTTGAGTCAGATATATTAAAAAAAAAAAGACTTCAGATTCTTTTGAGAGAAAAGAATATTATAGGTTGCTTTCTTGGTCTGACCCAATAATGTGTCTTGAATGATTTCTGTTTTGGTTTCATGTATCAAAGAGTCTAAGCTTCATTGTAGACATTCTTCGTCTAGGAATGTGTTTGAACTCCATGGATTCTCCGGTTTAGCTGATGCAATAGAATCTGTTTATTTTCTTTTTACTATTATCTTCCAGTTTTGCTCCTTTAGAACCGGTTTCTCAATGACTGTGTTTGATGTAATCTCTTGGTTTCATAAATGTATACAAGTTTTACCACATTGAGATCCCTTACTTTTGCCTTCCTTTTTGGTCAATTCCTTACTTTTTGCCTTCTAAATCTTGTTTTCTCTCTTGTCTTCTTTTTTCGTTAATTATTTTTCCAGTGAAATTCCCCTTTGGAATATGCAACGCTACTTCTTGTTACTGAAGCATTGCTACTGTATGAAAGATGATTTGGTGTTAAAATATTCATCACCAAGAATCAGTATTCCAAAAAAAAAATTAGCGCCGCCATGCTTTAAGATGGTTCTAGTTATTGGTTGCTACATCAAAATGTAAACGCCAACATTTATCATATATCGGCCAAAGTAATGAAGTCCCTTACTTTTTTGCTTGTGTGTTTGAACATAATATTTATCTTTTTTTTTTTAAAAAAAACACCTATAAAATTGATGGCTAATGAGGACTTACGGCTTGTACTCGATCAAATACACCTTTCAATTCCTTTCAACATAAACGCAAAGTGCCAAAAAATTATTTTCAATTCTTTAAACAAAATTATGATTTTCCTTTCAATAAGGAATAAACTAATCAATGATGTTGAGTCGAAGTTCGTAGCAAAAGTAAAAAAAAAACAATGTTAATTCGAAGTTGTATTACGGCCCGTTATACGTAATCACCTTACCCACTTTACAAGCCCATTACATGGAGTTAGGGTTTCCTACATTCTTTTCTGGTGAAGCAGTTCTATAAAGCCCTAACGTCTCATGGTTTGGGAACGATCTTCATAAACCCTACTTTGTTGCCGCCACTCTTGCGCCACTTTTTACTTGAGCTAGCTAAAAAAACATGGGAAGCGATACCGAAGCAGAGAAGTCGATTCAAAAGGAAAAGAAGAGGGTTATTTCTCTTGCGCCTATCGCTAAACCTCTTGCCGGAAAAAAGCTTCAGAAGAGGACTTTTAAACTCATTCAAAAAGGTACGAATCGGAAATTTATCTCTATTTAATAGTGTTCATGTTAGTTTCCTTTGTAAGGTTTCTTTAACAAAATTTCCTCTCTAATATGTATTGGTTTATAATTTTTGTCAGCTGCTGGACAGAAATGTTTGAAGAGAGGCGTAAAGGAAGTGGTGAAGAGTATCAGACGTGGCCAAAAAGGGTTAGTTTTTCTTTTCGCTTTCATGTGAGTTTTTGCGTCTTGAATGTGGCATATGATTGATTGTGTTGCCATTTCTTCTAGTTATAGTTTTTTGGTAAAGTCCGTGTACAATTAAGCCGATGCTCTGGATTAAACATAATGAATGTAGCATGGTACTGTGCACGAAAATTAATCTATGGATCGACATGTCTGCCATCTCTGAGATCATTTGATGATGAGACGGCCTGGTTTAGATCCACATTGTCTTTGTTATTTGTTGATCATCTTTAGTATGCATACTGGTTAGGTTTCTTCTGTCTGAACATTCATTGTAGTTGCATCTATTATCCGTGTACAATTAAGCCGATGCTCTGGATTAAGAATGAATGTAGCATGGTACTGTGCACGGAAACTGAGCTTAAGCGGATCGACATGTCTGCCATCTCTGAATTTTGTGATGAGAGGGCCTGGTTTAGATCTACATTCTTTGTCTTTGCTTTTGCTTAGTGTCTGAGGTCATTAGTTGAAATCCATAGTTGCAATGTTTGATAAACAGCTACGATTTGTCTTGTTTATATTCGTGTACAACTAAGCCGATGCTCTGGATTAACCATAGAATGAAGTTAGCATGGTACTGTGCACGTAAACTGAGCTAAAGCGGATTGACATGTCTGCCCTCTTTGAGTTTCTTTGATTTGAGGGCCTGGTTGAGATCCACATTATACGTTTTTGTTTGTGATTATGTTTGTAAGTATGTTTTCATGTTCGACAATGGCCATTGTCATGTTGGCAATTTCCTTTTCAATGTGAAATCCGTGTACAATTAAGCCGATGCTCTGGATTAACCAGTATGAATGTAGCATGGTACTGTGCACGGAAACTGAATCATGTGTTTGAAATGTCTGTGCCCTCTTTGAGCGCCTCATTGGTTCTTTGATTTGCGGGCCTGGTTTAAACTCACATTCTCTTGTTTGATTTTGGCATAAAAATGATTACTTCAACTATTTATTACTCGAATTTGTGTTTTCTAACCGATCGTTCTTGTGCAGATTATGTGTTATAGCTGGAAACATATCTCCTATTGATGTGATTACCCATCTTCCAATCTTGTGCGAGGAAAACAGTGTTCCCTACGTATACGTACCATCCAAAGAAGTAAGCCCAACTGTTCTTCCTTTATTCAAATCTTTCTTCTTATGGATTGGTCTCTCGCGTCTAAGACAGTCAATTAATGTATCAGGATCTTGCGCAAGCTGGGGCTACAAAAAGACCAACTTGTTGTGTTTTGGTCATGCTTAAACCGGCAAAAGGAGAACTAAGTGCTGAAGATCTTCAGAAGTTAAAGACAGACTACGAGCAAGTTGCTGACGATGTTAAAGAGCTTTCATCTTCTGTAATCTGATTAGAAACTAGAATGAAGAACAAAAAGACACACTAACATGTGTTTCTGTTGTGCCTTGAGGGTTGGTTAATGAATATGATGTGATTTTGAGGCCTTGAAGTTGCTTTGCACAATTATTCAATTTTACGGACGATTTATAGTTTTAGTTTTGTCTTTTGTGGTAGTAGTTTGGAAATATAAAGAAAAGTTCTGAAAATTTACGACTGTTAAGATTAGTAAATTATAAATGTGGTATGAAAAGTGAATGAGAAAGCTTCAGGTGAAAGTAATATTTATTGAAATGTAGTGGAGTACTAATCGATTTCTTCATCGATGACCTGTTTTAATTTTCTGTTGGACCCAAATTATATTGCGTATATATCTTAGGATCGTTTTCTTGAAGTCTGTTGAGTAGAAGTATTTTATTTTCCCAATGTTTTTATGATCATATTGAATAATAAATGTATACTGTTGTAAGTTAAACAGATGAAGAAAATGTCTTTAATAACTTTTGTCCTGTTTCGCCACCTGGTTTAAGATTCTGATTCTGATTCCACTCGGGAATTGGAATGTTAGAGTAGAATAGTAAAGTAACTGGGTCCAACTGTAAATAACATAAGTTATGTGGGTCTCCTGCGAACAACTTGAAAAGTAATAAGAATCAAAATGCTTTATTATCTCAGTTAAAATATTTGACTTCATTCACTTCTCCACACAGAGATTATTACTTGAGGATGGAGGAGGCACGAGAATCGCCGGCGGATCACGGCTTTTATATGCCGGCGGAGTGGGAAACTCATGCCCAAACTTGGATCGGCTGGCCTGTAATTCTCTCTCTTTCTCTTTTTCGTTTTTCCTTTATCAATAGAGAATGTTTGTTCCTTGATAAGCGAAATTAAAAGAAATTCGACGGCGATTCTCGAGAACTGAATCTCGCTGCTCAAACTTCTGCATGTAACCTTCAATTTCATGCTTTTTTTTCTGAATCATGCTCGTAATTGTTCTATGTTTCGACGAGGTTTAGCTTCTAAACACTTGTCTATTTTTCCCCTAAGAATGTTTGTGAAACGTTTCAATTCAAGTTAGCACATTGATATGTTATGCGTTGAGATCTGTAACATTGAATCTGTATACAAGCTCTTTGTTACAGATTCTGCAAACAAAGCAGAATTTATAGTATTTTTAGTTTAGGTTTTATCCATGTTCTTTTGCCCATTCTATCTAGAATACTACATATGATATCTGACCAAATGATTATGTTAGATTCGTGTGATCGCTGTTAACATGAATCAAACAGTGTTATTTCTAACTCCAAACCGATTTGTGATTCTTGATCTGGGTTTTAAGCTGACATAAATGGCTGCAGGAACGGCAAGATAACTGGCGGCACAACGCTATACCGGCACAACGAGTTTTTGCAGATGTTGCCAAGGCGATCTCAAAGTTCGAACCTGTGACAGTTTGTGCAAGCTCGGCTCAGGTTTGTGCAGAATCATACCGGAAACAGAAAAAACATCTTCGGGTTTCTATAAACAAATGTACTAATCAGTCTTTGCTTCCATGAATGTGTTTGTCTTTAGTGGGAAAATGCAAGGAAACAGCTTCCAGAGGATGTAAGAGTTGTTGAGATGAGCATGAATGATTCTTGGTTCCGTGACTCTGGACCAACTGTGAGTTCTTAATCTCTTCCCTTTTTTTTTTACTGTTACAAAACACCTTCTAACATCTCTTGTTACAACCCTTTATCTCACTGAACTTTGTTTGTTTCTCGCTCTCTATTTTACAGTTTGTTGTGCGGAAAAGACCTTTAAAACTCAGTTCTCTTAACCGTAACATCGCTGGAATTGACTGGAATTTCAATGCCTGGGGAGGTAAGGAATCCTTTTTCCATTCTCTAGCATCTGTAGTGACTGCTTGACACATTTTGGACTTTTGCAGGAGCTGATGAAGGTTGTTACAGTGATTGGAGTCATGACCTTCTAGTTTCAAAAAAGGTTGTTTTTCCGGGAAATAAAACCCACTCATAATTGGTATTCATATTACTCTCCTTGGCTTGTTTCAAATATTGATTTGCTCTTTTCTTCACCAATCCACCAGATTCTCGCTGTTGAACGAATTCCAAGATTTCAACACTCGATGATTCTTGAAGGAGGCAGCATCCATGTCGACGGGGAAGGTTTGTAAATACATTTCATTGCAACTTCAAAACTGAATAACGAGAAAACCAGACTATTTGAGTTTATTATTGTTCACAATTCTTTTGTCGCTTTGCTTATTCCGCCTCCTGTTTCTACATTCTTTCAGGAACCTGCCTTGTCACAGAAGAATGTCTTTTGAACAAAAACCGGAACCCTCATATGAGTAAAGAGCAAATAGAGGAAGAACTCAGAAAGTATCTCGGAGTACAAACATTTATCTGGCTTCCTCGTGGTCTCTATGGTAACTCCACTTCGCTCTATCTACCATACTCGACATGACTCTCATACGAATTCGACAGAAGTTTTCAATCTTATCCAAAATTTGCTTTTGGTATATCGATGTTACAGGTGATGATGACACAAACGGCCACATTGATAACATGTGCTGCTTTGCTAAACCGGGAGTTGTGCTATTATCTTGGACAGACGATGAAACTGATCCTCAATACGAAAGATCCGTAGAAGCTCTTTCGGTAATCTCAAACTCCATTGATGCTCGTGGCAGGAACATTCAAGTCGTCAAACTTCACGTCCCTGGACCGCTTTATATGACCGAAGAAGAAGCTTGTGGAATCATTCAGGCAACGAATTCTAACTGGAAAAAACAAAACAACTTGGAGCTGTTTTTTTTTTTTTTTTGAATCGAGTTGAAAATGTGGATCACAATGTTGCAGGAAGGTGAAGCTAAACCAAGGCTTGCAGGGACAAGACTCGCAGCATCGTATGTGAATTTCTATATAGCTAACGGAGGAATAATCGCACCGCAATTCGGTGACGCAGAACGCGATAAAGAAGCGATTCGTGTCCTCTCAGAGACATATCCTCATCACTCGGTATTTAACTATCTCCGATTCATATAAAGAGAGTAAATTTTTAACCGTTTTGATTTTGGTTCTTATTCCTTCGTGTTATGGGGTTTTCTGGAAGGTTGTGGGAATCGAGAATGCAAGAGAGATTGTTCTAGCTGGAGGAAACATACATTGCATTACGCAGCAGCAGCCTGCGGAGCCTAACTCCGTAATCGAAAACGGCCACTGACGGTGTTCTCCACGCGCCGCCAAGGATTGAAGATCGTTCGTTTTTATGAATCCTAGCCGTTAATTTGGTTTGAACATTAATTTGATTCGCGAGAGAGAACAAGAACCGTACGATCGTTCCAGACGTAAATGTATTTATAGTTCGTTGACTAAGAAATTCGATGTATCGGTTTTAAGTTCGGATCGGTTTGTCCTATTAATCATAGAAAACCCAATCTGTCGGTTTTAGGGATCAAATAAATCTTGCATAATGAACCTTTTTTTTTACAAATTACAACACATAATGAACCTATTATATCGTTATTATTTGTAATTTGTTATATTAGTTCATAATTCATACCCCATGATGGATTTTGTTATGTCATTACGAAATGAGAGTAGCTAAGAAAGCTGATTTGTTGTCTTTTGGTACGACTATTAGCGTAATGGTTATTCACCCAAACCAATTGAGTCAACCGTAAATTGACTAAGAGTGTATTTGATTAATAAAAAAAACACGGAATGCTGTGCCCGTCTCGTATAAGCTGACCTGACATGAATGCTTCAGCTCCAAATCTCTTCTCTTCCTCCATATAATTAAACATACAGAATAAGAAAGCGAAGAAAAACTTGGGATCTGGAAAATGCGAATCTGAAGGATCTTCGAATTGTGCAATCTTCAGATCGAAAGGTCAAGAGAGAGAGAGAGAGACTGAGGAAGGAGGTGCGTTTTTAATTCGTGAGCATGGGCTGTTCGTTTTCGGGGTTGAATGCGCTTTACGACGCCGTCAACGGTGGAGGCGACGTCTGGATCAATGAAAATCGGTTCAGGGTCGTTAGGCAGCTCGGCGAAGGCGGTTTCGCATTCGTCTTTTTGGTTAAGGAGATTGTCGCCGACGCTTCCTCCGCCGCATCCGGTGGCGGTCTGGCGAAGAAAGTCAAGGATCCAGCTCATCTCTCCGGTTAGTATTGATCATTTCTCTGGATGTTTCTCGGTCGTGATCGCTGATCTGGTAGTCCTTGATCTGCGTTTTTTTTTATCTCGATTGAATCTGATCTCCTGTTTCTGATTAGATTTGTTTTCCTTTTCGTTTGCTATCCGCTTGTGATATTTAGATCGGGCAGTGGGGTTTGAAGATTGAGAGTTTGTATCTGCAGGAACAATGAGAAATTGTTTCAGGAATCTAATCTACCTTTTATCAATGTAGGAATCGTATGATTGTTTTTAGCTCGAAATCTGCTAATCTTGCTCCACAGTTTGACTGTAGGCCAGGAAATTTTGATCTTGTATAGCTGTATTGATCTGAAATTTTGGTCTTCCTGATCTTCGTTTGTAAGGTCTTGCTGTCGAATTAATCATTAATCATCTAGTTGAATTAGGATGATAGACAAAACATTGTGATCACGGTGGGTAAATCCAGTTTTGGCTTTGAATGTACATTTTATAGCTGTTTGATCCATAATGCATCTGAAATTATGGTATTCCTGAGCTTGGTTTGTCATAGGTTCATTGGCACTAGATATTGACTGGTTGAGCTGGCTTGGTGCTTTAACATCTTTCATATTTTTCCCTTGACTAAGCTCAATTTATCCCTGATTTCCTTGTAGCTGATGGAACCTATGCTATGAAGAAAGTTCTGATTCAGAACAAGGAGCAACTGGAATTGGTGCGGGAGGAGATCCGTGTTTCGTCATTGTTCAACCACCCTAATTTGCTTCCTCTCCTTGATCATGCTATTATTTCTGTTAAGGTAGATAAGCACTGGGTCTGGAACTTTCATGGTTGATGCTTTTTATGTGCTATTTGTTTCTTTAGGTTTCTCATGTAAAGTCTGGTTTAGAAAGTGTGGTGCTTTTGATTTGGTTAGGACGGCCAAGAGGGTGCTTGGAAACACGAGGCATTCTTGCTATTTCCTGTACACTTGGATGGTACCTTGCTGGATAATTCCACATCGATGAAGGCTAAAAAGGAAACATTCTCAACAACTGATGTTTTGCATATATTCCGTCAGGTAACAATATAAATCCATCTTTGGTTTCTATGGTCTAGCTTGTTAGTTTTTAACTTTGGTTTTCTGCAGTTTTCTTCTTCGTTTGCAACTAACGATTATGTTATATATATGCCTGTTTCGTTTAGTCACTGTATGATTAGTCATAAATTGCAAGTCTTTTGATCGGCAAAAGAGTTTCTTATTCCACTGCAGCTTTGTGATGGACTCAAACACATGCACTCTCTGGAGCCACCATATGCTCACAACGATGTCAAACCTGGAAACGTGCTCTTAACGCGTAGAAAAGGACAGCCTCCTCTTGCGATATTGATGGACTTTGGGAGTGCTCGTCCATCACGGAAGCAAATCCGCTCCCGTCAAGAGGCCTTACAGTTACAGGTTCTGTATCCATCCTATGTTCATGTTTGTATATATTTCTTAAAGTTGTTGTCTTGCAAACTCCTCAAGTTTTTCTGGACTTTTGTAGGAATGGACATCTGAACATTGTTCAGCACCCTTTCGAGCTCCCGAGCTCTGGGATTGCCCAAGCCATGCAGATATCGATGAGAGAACAGATATTTGGTCACTAGGTTGCACATTATACGCAATAATGTAATACAGTCATCCCTCTAAGATTAAACAAGTCGTAGTTAATTGAAGATGGAGTTTTGTGGATATTCATTTTGTTTTTTTGGGTGTGTGCAGGTACGGTGTGTCTCCATTCGAATACGCACTTGGAGAATCTGGTGGAAGTCTTCAGCTTGCAATCGTGAACGCTCAGATAAAATGGCCAAACGCTGGACCAAAGGCTTCTTATCCTGAAGCTCTTCACCAGTTCGTGACTTGGATGCTGCAACCGCAGGCTGCGGTCCGACCGCGCATTGACGATATCATCATCCATGTCGACAAATTGATCGCAAAATTCACCAAATGATTCCTAATTCTGATCGTTTTCTAAAATGGTGAAAGAAAAGAAAAGGATTCCTATACATTGCTTTGGCTTTTTCTTTTTATATATATATATATATATATGTTTAGCTATTCTTAAAAATCTCAATTTAGATACATATTTAACAGTCTGCATTACGTCGCTCTCTTCGACGTCTTCGTAATGTATTTTGAAACTATTAGGATTCGTGCCGGGGGTGCTTTGTTTCTTTTTTTTTTAACTTTGGGAAGCAATAAAAATTTCTGAAGGACAATATATATACTAGTATACAGTACTTGTCTTAATACTGTTACAATGATTTCTTTCTGTCTCGTTACGAAGGATATTATTTACTTTCTGTTTAAGTTTTCCTTGGTTGAATGTTGAGATCAGACTATGACCGGATGGTACAGATATTGGTTATAAATGTGCACCGAAAATGCTGAAATATTGGTTATTTTAGCTGTAACGAAATTTTTTTGAAGATTTTTATTTAGATTATGATCAGACAGGTTTCTTACATGTTTACTTTCATCATGTGTTTAATTAACACTAAAGACATGACTTACTTTCCTCTGTCGATTAACTCAATATCAGTGTCACATTATTGTGCTCTTTTCCCAACTGAACTAATAAGAGTGAAACAGAATTTTTGAAAAATGACACAATTTGCAGTAAAATTATAGCTTTTATTTTGCATTATAGCTATATAAACTTATGTAGTCGTTTAAAACTGGATGAATTTATGCGATTGTTTTTAAAATGAATGAATTTACTGATATCATATTTTAAAGTTATAAGAATTTGTAGATTATTAAGTACTGGTTTTAATTGATTTTGATGATTACTGGCCAAAATGTTGTTAATCGATTAGAGGATCTTGAATTTTATGTATCAATTCTAAAATCAACCTCATTTTATATTTTAATCTCAACAGTTAAATTATAAAATTAATCCGATTGTCCAAAATCATAAAGCTGTGGAAGAATTATATTAGTCTGTGTAGTTCTATAACTTTTGTTACCATTTTGCTTAGGTATAAATCATTTTCCCAATATCATATATTTTTATTCACCAGTCTCAAAATCTCAACCAATTTAGGAGAATCACTACTTTATCTTTGTTGTCAACTACTACAACTTGATAGAAAATATGTATCATATAAAACTCGTCTAAGCTATAGTGGAGTATGTTTTAAGATATGTATAAAGAGAGAGAGAAAAAAAAGATATGTATAAAGGATTGTTCACTAGGTACAGTGGTACACATAAATACGTTGCCGTAGATACCCATAATATGTTGTTGAAGGAGTTATTATTATTTTTTTGGATGAAGTTGTTTTTTCCCCCTTATATATAGAGAGAAAAGGACAAAATTCCACATACATATGCGTACGACCTTTTACTTTTACGGATTTGAGTCACTTCAAAGAAACAAAATAAATAAATTACGTTAGTCAATTTCTGGAAGATAAATGTCTGATCACTATTTATTTCACTCTCAGTAAAATTATTATTTAAGTGTACACTTCTGTCTTCTGTAACTCTAAAAGTAAGAATATCTACAGTTCCCCACTTCCCCCACCACCCAAATTATGATCATACCTCATACCTATACGGCTATACCTCTATATTTCCATTTTCATAAACCAATAAAACCAATTTTATCTAATAATAGTTACAAATAATAAAGAATTTAGGTTGACAAAAATAATAACAGGGAATTTCAAACATTTGGATATAACATGCCTTTTTCAAAATATACCAAGTTCATCATTTTTGATGTAATAACATAACTGAAAATTTTAATTTCTGCGATATACATATATATATATATATATATATATATATTCATACAGTTATTAGACATAAAATTCTTACGTTACGACTACAATAACGAATAGTAACTTTCTCTTTTGAATAATGAAAATGACTCGTTACGTTATAAAGCAGTGTTAACAAACCACAATTATGTTGTAAGAAAACATTCCACAATTATTTAGCAATATTAGTAAATAGTACCTATTGTAGATTTCCAATGATCATTCATACTATTTGTAAAGTTATACTAGTCATCTATCTAACTGAACTAGAAAACTATCCTTTTATCGTCATGAATCATTCAACATCGTTTTTTATCAGATCGTATTAAGTTTATAATTATTCTACATCGCTGCTTGATCTTGAACTGGAATTCAAGTGATAGCCTGTAACAAAAAAAAAAGGTAACATTTAATCCAAAAATACGCGTGAAGAAAACGAAGTTAAATGAAACCTAATAGAGGTGCATTTTCTGTATTTTTAAAAAATATATATATTTATTTTGCTGCTGTGACAAAGTAAGCGAGAGATGTTTGAACTTTTTGAGGAAGAGAAAGGACTTAACAGTAGTAAATTAAAGGAAGACAGAACAGCGCAAGTCACAGGGATATAATCTTTGGTACTCCTTATTTAATGTTCATTACACATTTTCCAACATTTTCTCACCAGATTAAAATCATTCTTTCCCAACCATATTGATTCAATTGGAGAGATCAATTCGCAAAAACAGAAACATAGTAATAAAAAGGTTGGAAACATTCTTCCTTTGCACTTTCGTTCGTTATAAGTGTTGTCCTCTATATTCTTTCATATTAAAATATAACATCGATTAGTATTGGTACATTGTATATGTACATACTACATTCTCGTTTTGAATACACTCTCGTAAAGCATTGATATAAATTTGGCACTCCTTATGTACATCATAATTTTTTACAACTTTCTCGCAAATTTAGACAATAATGTTTCATTGTTGTCAAAAAAAAAAAAAAGACAATATCGTTTCACTAGGCACTCTTTATAATATCTTCTATCCTAATGTGAAAGTCTAATGTGCAATAGGCCAACTCAATGACAACTAAAACTACATTTGTAAGTAATACTTGTTATTTTTTAAAAAAAAAAGATATGACGTTTAAAGTTATTGCATTTAAAAAGATGCTACCTCTGCGAGATGAGAGATTTCACTTTCTCTCCTTCACGGCTTCTAGCTGGACTCTTGCTGTTCTCATCAACTCTCTCCATTTATGTCTCTCTCTCTCTCATTTTGTTTTCTTAACATTCAATTTTTACTGAGTTTTTCTTATTTTTTGTGGTAAAATTCTTGTTAAGGCTTAAACTACCAAAGTACACATGAATGTAAGAGCCTTATGATTATGCAAATGAGAAATTGACTAGTTTAAGTAAAATAGTTTTCGATTAGTTGAACAATGGTTTTCAAATACCCGAACACGTCACTTTGTAGTGAATATTGCTCTATGTTTTCTAAAACCTAACCCATGTGTGTTTCGCAATACTTAGAAACTTTTTTTTTATCAACCTAGAAACTTTTTTGTTAGTCGTCTAATTAATTAGAAATTATATATGGATTGACCTTTTTAATCTGTAATTAAGAACACGATAAATATTTCAATTTCACTTACAATTATTTGCTTTAACAAATAATTTAATATTAATTCAAGCTCTAATTCGATTGTTTTTGAGCTGTAAAAAAAAGTTTGATTTGTTTTTTTTTTTGCAAAGATTGTCTAATTTTATTTTATTTAAATATCGGATGGGTATGTTTGTCACTTGTCTTGTATTATTTAATTTGTATATATAAATTTAGGGTCGTGAGCTGTTATTTGGTCAGAAAGAGGATGAGAGATAAATAGCAATTCTCAGGTGTTTTAAATACAACCTCTTCTCCATCTCTATCTCTTCCACCCAACTCCTCCCCTTATCTTTTTAAAAGTCAGCCTCTAATTATCTTTTAATTCTCTCCCACCCCCAAAAAAATAAACATTCCACTTTTCTTCTCTCTTTTTTTGGACAGAATATTCCCTTTTTTTTCAAAGTGAATAACTCTTAATTAAATTATTTTCTAAATAAAAATCAATTTTGAAGAAAACCTCTTATCTTGTCTTTTATAATCAAATGAATATACATACATACAGACACACACACGCTTACATCTTATATATACACGCTTACATATATGTCCATATATATACATATGCTTGTAGGATTGTTTTCTTAACATCTCAACTTCTTGTTGTTACTGTCTCACTTTAGGGTTTTCTTTTGTCGGTCTCTTTTGTTGGGTCTCTTTGTTTATTCTTCTGTTTATTTACTATATAGATAGGACACTAAAACAAAAGAAATAAAATCATATTTAAAATGGAGTCAGGAAAGGTCTTTGGATCCGATGAGGATTCTCGCAGCTGTGAATCTGGATGGACAATGTATTTAGCCTCACCCTCTCACTATCATGACGACGACTGTTACTATGATGATGATAATGAAGATGAAGAAGATAGCGATGGTGGTGATTCAATGGATTCCGATGCATCTTCTGGTCCAATGGAAGCCACATCATGTCTCAAGCTTCCTCGAGAGATTGAGGAGCAAAACTCCTTAAAGAAGAAGAAGATGAAGACTAATGAAGAGATGGTTTTGGTGGAGACTAGGGTTCACAGCAACAATGATGGTGATGATGATGATGATGATGATGGTGATGGTGATAATCATGATTATGATCATGATGATTGTAATGATAGCTACAGTGCAGTTCATAGTTACGTTGGTTCGGTTAGACATGAAGGGTTAGTTTGATTTTTATTGACTTTATGTTTATGTTTGATTATTTAATATATAATGTTCCAGTGTTTTCGTTTCACATGATCGAATGTTATGGCCTTTGTGTCGCTCGCTACGTTTTGTTGTTTTATTGATGGAAAACTGTTATTTATTTCTACCTGATAAGTTGTTAATAATTTATTAAGCATTAAGTAACCTATTTACTTAATACTCATTACTCACTATGTTATTCTATTTAGAGAAGTGTTAAAATTTACAACGAGATCATAGTAGTGATACAGCGATGAAGCTAATTAAGGTGATCATGACGATAGTGACTATGATGATGAGGATGATGGATGATGATAGCTTGGGTCTATTGAGATGTACATCAATGCATTCCATCATGGGTTTCGTTATGGTCATAACCACCATAGTACCCCTGCCCCATTATGGAAATACATATATATGCCATCTTACTACTTATTTCTATATTATGTTTATATTCATTTTTTCATACTACTACAGTACTAATTGAAATTAAATATACAAAACATACTATGACATAACAAGATCTTCCCACTGAAATTGTGTTGTTGTTGTTACGGAATAAGTAAAATCAGATAAGCTCGTAAGCTAATTATTTTAGCAAGTGTATTCACAATTCATAAAGAGTATATTATTTACACTCATAATCGCAATTTAGGATATTTTTGTTTACTGCATATCGTCGCATTCATGAGGAAATTTTAACATTATGGAGACAAAAATGTATGACCTATAACGAATAATTGATCAATTGTTTTATCTGTTTTATAATGAACAATTCGATATGCATTAATATACACTGAACCAGAACCGACGAGTTAGTCTGCAACATGTTGAAGCCTCTGTAAATGTTGCCCTAACAACTTGCCAAATAAATGGTATATTACAAGAGTTTGAATTCCACACCTAATAGTGTCATAATCCTATGTATAAAGGATGAATGATGACTCTTGTTGAATGACACTGAAAACTCTTAAAATAACACAACAGTCAATTTTGATAATAAACTTTCTTCATAAGTTACAAGTCCGACGTAATTTCTCTTCAAATTATACTACATTTATTTTCACCAAACTTGCAATTTATATTTTAGTTTGCTTAGATCATATATATGGTGTAGTATTAATTGGTGTTTAGTAGATAATTCTTCAATTTTACATTGCCTCGGTGTTGACATTGTAATGATTAGCTATATTATGTATAATTCAAAAGTAGCGAATAAAACTAGCACGAAAAACATCTACTGGAAATTCATTTTTAAAGACAATAAAATTCAAGCTTACAACATAAACAAGGAAGTAAAGTCTACAAGAAACGATAAATATGTATGTAATCATCAACTACAACAAATAAATGTGTATATAATTTAATTTTCGCCAAACAAAGGAAGAAACTACAGAAGTCTTGACATCTTTTTGTAAAAAAAAAACACACTACACGAATTAAATGAACAAATGTTTAAATTTCTACTAGAAATATGAACATCTAGAATAAATTGTAAAATAATGTTGCATAGATTTGGTTCGTAACTATAGTCACATACGCACACACACGTGCACACAGTGTGAGTTGTATATAATTGAGAAATCGAGACATAAAATAAGAACCCATCATCTTTGGTTGTATCTTTAGTACAGACAGGGAAACATATGTTTTGTGACCATAGGGGACATATCTCTTCTGCACGTGTATGTCTCTGCAATTCTTTTTAGTTTTTTTTTGTCATTTTACCCCAAAACTTTGACAATTGTTCACATGCACCCTCCTGCAGTAATTAGCTTACACGACTACAAACTGATAGTTTGATACTCAATTCGAATCAGTTATATATGAAACTTTTCAATATTTGTTTCCCAACTTATTCGATATATTTAGGATTTGATCCACAGAGAGTGTTTTAAAAGGAAAAAAAAAAGGTCTATGGGTTCCGCATGGTTTCTTAAAGTTTAAGTGAATTCTTATGCCAAAGAAGTAAAAAAAGTCACTAGTTAAAATGCCTTGTTTTTTTTTGTAGTCTGTATAGATGATAATTGTCTTATTCGCTAAAATCAATTTTTCTGATAATTTCGATTACCTTAACTCGAAAATTTTGGTAGATCAGATCCGAATACGAATAGGGTTGGGAATGCGCAATATACTAAGTATGATAAGGGCAAGGGGCGAAAATACTTTGTATATCTTTTCTTGTTGGTGAGTTCATACCTAAAAGGCTAAAACAGAGCTTTATCTACCAGGAAAAAAAAATCATAGTTTTCGGTGTCCATTGGTAGAATTTCATGTGATCAGATGGCCGAATTAACTACCGTATAGTTCCACTATTCGATACATCAAGTAAGGCACAAAGTTAATTGCCAAGATTATGGATATATTAAACTCCCAAACTAGGTTGTGATTGGATGAAAAGATAAATCAAAAGTAAAACTTTGAAACATTCATGATTGAATACTATAGGGGAGTATTTGTCTTTTTAAACAAGCACAAACCAACTGTATATAAACCCTATAGCAACATGTACAATAAACCTTCTCCAAGCTTTTTAAAAAAAATGAGATAAAGCAAACAAAAATATACATACACATATGCTCCTCTATGTAAAGCTAGCCTTCTAAAGCCTGGACCATCACATGGCTCACACAGTGAAGGCGAAATACAAGATAAAATACAAAACTAAGAAAAAGCTTGACTCAATCCAAAGATAGAATATACACATTCTTCAATATTCAAAAGACAAAATCATATATCTATATAGAGGATGTTTTACCATTTACCATATGTCATGACTACTTGTTGTTCTCTGGCTCTTCCTTTGCTCATACTCTGCATCATCTGTAGGCAACTCATAACGACAAACAGGACACGTGTTCCTCGTTCTCAGCCACGGTACAATGCATTCGCTATGGTACTTATGATTACAAGGCAATCGAACGGCTTTGCTCCCGACACTCATCTCATCTTTGCAAACCGCACAAACCGCACCTTCATCGTTCTCAACATCGAGCTCAACAATGGGAAGATCCTTGATGAAAGATTTGGAAGTTGGAGGTAAACGGAGATCGGTGATACCAGCTTCAGCAAACTGTTCAAACAACGTTTCATACTCGGTTGTATGAATGTAATCTTCATGATCACCAACGATATAAAGCTCTCTGTTTTCTACATCAAAGTTGATCTCTAGAGTATGAGAGTTCAGCAAAACTTCCCACCCGAGATTTCCCGAGCCTTCTGTTCTTTCCCCTGTAGCTAAATCTTCTAAAGAGATCATCGGTGAGATGGAGATCGAAACCGAGTTACTATCATCGATATCAGCTTCTGCAAAACCGGTTAGTATCTCCCTATCATCACCACCATCGACTTGTTCCCAATCGAATTCCTCAGCAGTAACTCCACGATCTTCTAACTGGAGTGAATCCCAACAAAGAGGGATAGTCACACTAACATCATCTTCTTCATCATATTCATCTTCTTCATTCAAATCAATCCCCCATATCTCCCTCTCAATCTCTGGGCCATAATCATTATCATCATCATCAGAACCTGATTCGACTGTGATTGACCTGATATCACTCCCCGCCGATGTGAAATCGCGAAACTCAGGCCCAGAATCCCTCCTCTCCACAAAGAAAGCGTCGTCATCAGGTTCATCAAATTCATCAAGGTTGTCAACATCAATATCACTATCATGACCTATATTCTCAGCAAAACCGCTTCCGGATTCCAACCCTAATTCCATAACGACGTCGCAATTTCCCTCTATAACACCCCGAGATTCCGTACTTTCGTTATGATCATCATCGATATCGTCATGAGACAGAGTTACCTGAGACTGCTCAACACGCTGGTGTGACAGATCCATGAACAAAGCTTAGCTTACGCCTGTAGAGAAGAAGATCAAAGACTGAATCGGAGACCAAATTCGTCGCCTGAGGCAACGGCGGAGGAAGAGTAATCGGTATCGGAGAAGTTGCGAGAAATTGAATCGAGGATCTGAGATTACCAATATGTCTCATGCGATGGTGTGAAAACATGAAAATCTCCGCCTTCAGTTTTTGATATTTTTTTTTTACTCCTTTTCTGTATTAAATTTAATTTACATGAATGTCACTCATTTAAATTTCAGTTTCTATTCGGCAATGACATTCTGTTTTTCAAATAAATTTTGTTTAGTTTTCAATGAATTTTACCGATATGGGCCGGTACAAGCCCAAACCAATTCGAAACCCCATTTAAAAAACAATGAAAATTTCTTCTGTTTTAATTGGTCCTTAATATTATTATACAACAAACAGACGGCTACTAGCTTTTGTCCTAGATCTGTCTAGTAGATTTGTTAAAGAGATAAACCATTAGCTTCTTTTTCATTCTAACGATGGCTTGCTATCCGATTAAAAACTGAAATTTAAATTTCGGTTGGTTTTTTGAAAAAATAATTGGGTTAACCTAGCAGGACTTGGTTTAAAATAGATCACCCAAACCAAATAAACAGAAGTGGAAAAAAAAAACAGAAAACTGAGGTTTGTACTCTTTGTACGGACGGGGAGTGGCAGCACCATCTTGGCCCAGTGGACGGCCCAAAATATACCATGCGTTATTTATTTTAATTCTTTCTTGTCAACATGTATCATGCTTTTATTATATTATGACTAGAAAAAGGAATTTATTTTTTTAGCGAGATACTTTTGGACCAACCAAAAAGGAGTATTATACGACACTTGTCGAGCACTCAATGGGCCGCGTCTTAATCGAGATCGCCATCAAATAAGAATGATACTATACTAATCTTTTTTAGAAAAAGAAAGAAAAAAAAGAAGAGAAGCCTAAGACCAGGCACGTGAGAGAAGCACGTCAGCGAAAACAGAGTGGGAACAGAACAAAAGAGAACACATCTTCTCTCTCTCTCTTTCTCTCTCTCTCTCTCTCTCTCTCTCTCTCTCTCTCTCTCTCTCTCTCTCTCTCTCTCTCTCTCTCTCTCTCTCTCTCTCTCTCTCTCTCTCTCTCTCTCTCTCTCTCTCTCTCTCTCTCTCTCTCTCTCTCTCATGGCATATAGTATTAATAACTCCACAGCTTTCGCATTCACGTATTATCAATGACCCATAAACCGACAGGTCACTCAAGAAAGGACAGCACATGCCCTCTCCTTCTATTCCCAACATAATTTATCTTATCTTCATTATCTCTTATTGACCTCATTACATAAAAAGTGGAGTAATTAATTAGAGCCTTTCCATTTGCACATTCTAATTTTCTCCACCTACACTCTTTTTTCTAATAAAATCATCGTCAACATTGACTATACGATAGACTTTTTTGTTTTCTTATCTTCAGTAAAACGGATGCTATTTTGTGAAAGTGGAAAGTGTTGAAAACATCATATATTTTAAATTTTACTCGAGAGAGAGCAAGCACATATTCGCAAGTGTGTGCTATTTATTCACTAAAGGACTAATAAAATAGTAATAATACATTCAAGAATAGGACCTACAAGATTACTTTACATCGAATTCCTAACCCCTGATATTGTTTGTCAGAGTGAAAACGTGGGACCCAATATGAGTAAATTTCACTCACGTGATACCATCACGAGAAAGTGACCGGTCGCCACCGCTTCTCTCTCTTACAAGCACGTGCCCTCACGTCTCTCCTCTCCTCTCATTTGCCCGTACAAAATATCTCACTTCCTTTTCCCAGTCCTATTCCCATACCTTCATTCAAAACGATTTTTCATATATATATATATATATAACTAATCTATATTGATCAATTTTGTGATATTGTCTTTAAATGTTTTACTATGACAGTGTGTTTCTTAGTCTCAACTCAAGTTTACTCAGTCTTCTATAGATTATATCTAAATTGATTATTTTCAACGGAGTTTTAATAGAATTACTTCATGAATAGAAAAGAAAAAAAAAAACAGAATCTGGAAAGTTAACGACAACGGTTGGAATTAAACGGCGTCACGAGTTTCAATAGTGCGGCGACTATATGGAGAGGTAGAAAGAGTGGGTCCCACCGCACGCGAGACGGAAGGCAGTGTGGCTGATTAACGGCAGGGAATGGGCACACGTGACCATGCTGCTCCTCTCGTCTCCCTTTCACCTTCCTTCTTTTGTTTCCTTTTTTAACAACAGTAAAACTATAACTTGTTTTATGAAGTATATTATTTTATTTTTTTTAAATATATTAAATTATATTTCAAAAACCTGTTTTCTTTACATGATCTTTAAAGAGACGAAAGAAATAAAAAACAGAACAACATCATTTTAACAAGAACTTAGTTTTGTGTCCTAATCCTTTAGCTGCGACTCGCAAACCACTAATCCTTTAATAATATGGAGTATATGGAGTATATTATTATATTCTTAACAATCGTTTGGATCTCTTATTTCATAAGTATAACACTCAACATTAAAATCTTATTTGGACGACATCACCATTTTTTTACAACTAATGTTTATGTATAAAAATATTTAACATTAACAATCGTAATATACTTATGTATGAATCTAATAACATGGTAAACGTCTGGAATTGATCCCCTCATACCAAAGTAAAGTCATCGTTCTTTCTTTCACATATAAAGGAATATTTTTTTGGGGAAAATGGTAATCTTTTTGATCAAAGATGTGATATGCTGGAAAAAAAGGTAGATGTTTAGCCGGTTTCTGATGCCAAGTGATCTTGAAAAAAGCTTTTACTACTTAAAGTTTCTCTTTATAATATCACAGTTTAACGACACGTAATTTTCAGAGTACATTCTCTTTGTTTCCCTTGATTACAAATCTTTTGTTTTTTAAACAGGTTTGTTCTGAGAGACTTTTTAATTATGAAATATATACTATTAAAAAAAAAAAAGAGTGAAAACGGGATAGCGTAAAAAATAAATGTGGGACCAGCAATAATCGAGAGGTGTGAGTTGGCCACGTGATGGATGGGAGGCTGAGGTAGGCAGCCAAAAGGTTTCTTATCACGTGATACGGCGCGATTTACGCGGCGCAACTGCCACGTGTCCTTCTCTGTCCACCCATTAGATCCAAGCTCGTAGGTTAACCTAATTTTATTTAATGCACCATTAGTTATTTGAGATAGTTATTTTAATCTCCTGTTTTACCATGGGACACATGATACATAAACTATTTGTTAACTGATCCCTAAGAGGATTCCTGTGCAATGTACAGAGGAATGTCCGTAATGCAAATACATTTGTTTTTTTTTTTATATCCAGCTTCTTATTCCTCTTTTTCATTTATTAAATTTATACTATATTATTAAGAAAAAAACAATGATTAGAGACAACTAATAGTCCTCTTTACAAGGAAACAAAGAAGAAATGAAGCCAGCTAATTCGGATGAGATGCTCTCCCATACACTCTTTTGTGTATGTAAAAGTTTCATAAATTGTTTTAAATTTTATTAACATTATGAAGAAAGCAAAAGTTTGATAAATTGTATTTGATTATATAAAAATCATTGTTAAGAGAAAAAAATTGTTAGCGTGTGCATGAACCTGGTGAGTCGTGATATGAGATCTCACATTGATTTTATTTCGAATTGGATCAGATTTGGTAATTAATGATTCAATAATGTAGCAAAGATTATGTATTATGTCTATTTTTGTTGTTAAAGTCATGTATTATCATTATCTATTTTAGTAGAGGAGCAAATTGTTTACTCTCTTCAAATAAATTCTGATTGTTTGCAACATAATCAATATAATTAGTTTTTACTAACTTTCACTTCAAAGTTCAAACATTTTTTAAGCTAAATCTTAATTTCCACCATTTTATATTTCTATTTATACAATCATTTGTACCCTTTATCTCTTAAGTACCATTTATTATTAGTCTACGATGCTTTTTACAAAGGCTAAATAATACATATAAAGCTTAATTTTTTTAATTATAATTGTTGTATGTATCTCACGAAAAGTTTCGAATATTGAGTGTCTCTGCCGTTGTTTTATGTGCAAAACTGCAGTGACACACATTTGATCGTAATATTAATATACAGATTTGTGTTGTTCGTGACACAAGTTACCCCAAAAAAACGTTAAATAGTGATTATTTAATTGTAGTTATTTTACTAAATATGTGAAAGAAGAACGAAGTACCAACCACTTCTCAAAACAAAGAACAAAGTACCAACCGAACCACGAATGGTTAAGGAGAAGTGGATAGGTCGGTTTTGTGGCCCATCAGCAAACAGTACCGAGTGAAGATGAGTTAATACTAAATTATCCCTGTTAGTTGTGTTCGAAAATCAATTTATGTCCTGACTCTTGAGATTCTACAGTATTTTTCTCACGTGAGTTGCAGAGTCAATTCACGCGGCCCCACTAGACCACGAAAATGACACCACACTAACATCGTCTTCTTCCCGTCTTTCACTTTTGAATTGACCATTTCTTTTTCTCTTCTGTTTTTGACCTTTTCCTTAATCCTTTTATTAATTTTTCATTCTACGTGTAAAATTTTTATTAGACACCATAGCATATTTAAATAATTTCATTCGTTTGGCCCAATCAATTTCTTGTTATTTAGAGAGAAACCGAATCTCAAATATAATACATTAATTCTTTAACTCAAGCTAAAAGCCTAAAACAATTCATCAAATAACCATGAGATTGCGAGTAATATAACAATTCATGTGTCATACATAGAAAAAAAGTAAAGAAAGAAAAAGCGTGTTTAGACACAACCTAACAACTCACGAGACAAAGTGGAGAGCATGTGGGGATGTGTTATTGTTTTTGCTCTTTCCCTATTTTGTATCATTTCCCTCTTCATGTGATCCAACACTATTTAGCTACAATTCCTCACCTCTTCAATTTATTATTTTCTATTTCCAATCATAGAAAAAAAAGTGTTGGGCATAAATTCATTTCTAGCTCGCACGCATCGATGGGACGGTAATTTAAACTCTGTTCTTATATATTTCGATCCATCATGATTTTTTGATGTTTCAGGTTTTAATAATTCAAAACCTTAAAACTTAACATACTCCGCCACAGGAATATTAAAATGTACTATTCGTTCAAATACAATTGGAATCTAAATATTTGAGTTTTCCGAATACGTAACTCAAACTTGCCCATATTAGATATTGTTAGTTTGGTAGATGCTAATTAAACATTTTTTATATATACGTAGTGTAAGTCGTCTATTTGGTTTACTTATATATACAAATTTCGAATAAAAGTTAGCTGTTATCTTAACAAGTGGCATTCAACTAAATTTAAAATGGGTTCAACTAAATCATATGATTAGGGTCTTGATTATGGGTTTTAGATAATTATTAATGGCATTGCACAAAGGAAGAGCTGTCTTTGTTCCACCTAATGTCACATTCATAGATCCCCACTCACACAAACACATAGACGCATACACGTAAACGATTATTCTTGTTCCCCTGCATACCATCATATTACACCGTTTACTAACTAATTCTTAATTTGATAACCATTTTCAGCTGACTCAACTAGCATTCTACCAGTTCCAAAGTTTAGCATCAAACTTCTCCAAAAGGAGGATATATAGAAGAAGAAGCAAATGCGTAATCATTTGAATTGCATGTGTATGAAATGGACACATGCATATATATGAGTTTGTGAAATGACGAATCAAAGTTAGATTCAGCGAATCACTCACTTATCACAATATATAGCAAGCTTAGTTTAGGCAGATCGTGTATCACAAAAATACTCAGTGATTTTGTTTCTCTTCATGATATTGTTTCCCTTTTCGTTTAAGTTTTGGTTTATCAAATTAATGAAATATGAGAATATACGAAGACTTCAATATCAAACACATGGACTTCTTACTTTACTGATTTTTATTTGGTTGCATTTTGCTTCCACGATAATAGTCGGGGTACTTTCCACAATATATAGTCAAATATGAGTGCATTGACACGCCAAAAGCATATATCGAATTGAAAATGTAAAGAAAATGTCACGAGCTGTTTGATTGGAATATGAAACTACGAATCCGTGAAGTTTTAGTGTCCGGCATCGCCATGATTGTGGCATATTATGATTTATGAAACATATGTTTGCATATGTATGCCTATAAATAGCTAAATCAGTAGCTGCATGTGAATTTCATTTGCCGACAACGAATATTGAAAAATGGCCATCAGTTGGTAGAGTGGATGAAAATAAATGGTAGCATATAATTATATAAGGAGAAATTAAATTAGCAAAGAAATTTTCCTTACATTCCCATATATATCGACGATGGAATTTTGTTCTCAACTTTATTCTGCAAAATTGATAGCTTTGATGATTATAAATAGTCGCTTTTTAGAGAAAGGAATTTTATAGAGTTGTTAATTCAGGACGATATGTGATTTATTTCCTAATTAATCATAATGTAATTAGAGTGGCCGGTGTATTTGTGTAAATATGTAATGATATACGTACGCAGACATAAATATTAAATTAAATAAAATATACTCCAAAAGTCAAAACTAAGTTAAAAAAAAAATCTAGTAAACCTATAATTTGAAAGGAAAAAAATACCTCAAAAGTCAAAACAAATAAATGAAATAGGAATTTTACATTTAAGCAAAAGTTTATTGGTAAAACATTTAAGCAAAAGTTATAGTATCTGTATACACTGCTAAGTAGGAAACTTACATTTAATCGATTACGCAGTGAGTTATAAATATGGAGTAGGATAAAACACTAAACAATTTAATGGGGATCGTCGAACACGATAAAAACAAAAGCGTACATCGATTAAACCAAAAACAAAACGAATAAATTATAATATATGTGCGTGACTGCGTGTGGTGTATTTTTTTTTGTTACTTTTTTTTTTTTTTAGCGCCGCTAAACGGATAAACCTCTGTTACGTTAGACTACAAAGCAGCAAACTAGACATCCACCACGTGACTCCGTTAAGAGTTAACGTCGTTTAAACGGAGTGTATCGCTGTTAAAACGGGGAGCGTTATAATGACTGTATAAAAGATTTCCGCCTTCTCATTTCCTCTCAAAACCGAGAGAGAAAGAGAGAGAGAAGAGAGAGAGATAGAGGGAGTGAGAGAGCTCTCTGGCTGATCTTTTTTTACCCGATCAGATCGAAGAGTTTTATCTCGAAATTCGAACTTTCTGTGTGGTTGCTCTGACCAAGAGATCCAAGCTTCACACAATTGTCGTTGATTCATTCTCGTAAAGGTAAATTTCGTTAATTTAGATTTAACTTGGATTCTAGTTTTTGGATCTCCATGCTCACGTGTTGACTTGAATTATGCGTAATTCGGTTGGTTTGAGCTAGAATTCTGCTGAATTATGATATGGTTTAACTTTTGAATTTCTCTGCAAATTTGATGACAGATCTATCGAATCCCAGAATTTGCTGATTACACGAGTTTCACGTCGAATTCTGGAGAATTGGCGAGGAAAACTTGCAGCGGAGGCTGGTTTTGGCTAAATCGACCAGGATTTTATCGAAATTCTAGGAGTTTTCTCGTGAAAAAGCGACTGAGAAAGCATAATTCAGCGACTTTCGAGCTCAATTCCTCTTCTACAAGGATCGGAGAAGGCGAATCTCGTGAATTAGCATACAGATCTGAGTTGGTAGCTACAGAATTCCGTCGAATTCCAGAGGAATCAAGCCAAAATTTTGCGAAGAAGTATCCGAGAAAGACGCAGAATCGTGATAATTCCCGCGCGCAGAGGATAATTCAAAATCAAGAACTGTCGAAGCTTCTGTTGATGGAACTTCCTCAACCTCGTCCCTTCAAAACCGAAGGTAACACTATTATCAGATATTACCAATTTTCCTATACCAAAAGATTTTGTTAATTTTCTTCAAGACTTGAATTAAAAAGGACGATTTTTTATTTTTATTTTTTACTTTTTTTATTTTCGTTTTTAATTTTGATTTTTAGAAGAATTTCCACAGGGAGAAAACCAACACATGATTTTTTATCGCTCTGCAGTCATTCAACCGTCCAGCCAGATCCAAAGCCAACACCTTCTTCTCAAGGTATTTACCCTTTTACCCCCTTTCACATTATTATTATTATTTTTTCATTAAAAGATTCTCTTAAAGGCGTCACGTTTTTTCCGCGCGTGCATCTGATCTGACCTTTAAGAGGAATCATGGATCAAAATGTTGCCATCTGATTGGGCCCTAATGGTCCCAACTCTGTTTAAAGCCCAGGAAAATACGGGACCGTTCATGGGGATACACATGTCGAAAAGCTTGCTGCCTTCGAATAATTTTATAAATATCTTTCAACGCTCATGATGACGGTTCACAATCCACATACATATCATTTCTCGATAGCTCAATATGTATAAGAAGATGGGATTTTAATATACTTTATTGTTGTTTGCTTTAGAACCTGACAAGATACGAAATTATTAATCAAAACGTTTTGTAATTTACTAAACTCGTACAACTTTATATAATTAGAGAACGAGTGTGTGTATACGTACAGTAAATGAGACTAATGAGTATGATATATACTTATGGTTTACAGAAATTTTGATGAAATGTGGAGCAGGTAGCTACTTGAAAACCCATGATTTTCTTCAACCGTTAGAATGTGTTGGTGCTAAAGAAGAGGCAAGTAGGATCAACACTACAACTACAGCGTCCGAGAAACCACCGCCGCCTGCACCACTGCAGCATGTGCTTCCCGGTGGTATAGGGACTTACACAATCAGCCCCATTCCTTACTTTCATCATCATCATCATCATCAGAGAATTCCTAAGCCGGAGTTGTCACCACCGATGATGTTCACTGCTGGTGCGCAAGGGAGTGGTGGTAACGAGAGAAACGTTGTGGACGAGAATTCAAACTCTAATTGTAGCTCGTACGCTGCTGCAGCAAGCGGGTTTACTCTGTGGGATGAATCTCGTTCTGGGAAGAAGGGACAGACAAGGAAGGAGAATAATGTTGGGGAGAGAGCAAACATCAGAGGTAACAAGAAAAGTTGAATCTTGATCTTAATTAGACTAGCTTGCATAGAAACCGCATGAAATGATGGAAATACGTTTTTTGAATGTATAGCTGATGTTGCAACAACTATGGGACAGTGGCCAGTAGTGGAACGACAGTCCCAATCTTTGACAAATAACCATTTGAGCGGTTTCAGTTCTCGCTCTTCCTCTCAGTCAGTCTCTTCTCTCTTCTTTTCCCTGATAATCGGTTTATGGACTTCAAAAGGCTGATATAAGGTCTTACTTTGGTTGCAGAGGGTCTGGACTAAAGAGCCAGAGCTTCATGGACATGATAAGATCAGCGAAAGGAAGTTCACAGGACGATGATCTAGATGATGAAGAAGATTTCATCATGAAGAAAGAAAGCTCATCCACTAGCCAGAGCCAGAGAGGTTTGTGTTTTCGGAGATGTCAGCTTTGCGTTTACTAAACCGTTACAGCTTCAGATCTGATTGATTGGTTCCTTACAGTGGATTTGAGAGTAAAAGCAGACGTGAGAGGCTCTGGTAACGATCAAAAGCTGAACACGCCTAGGTCCAAACATTCTGCTACAGAGCAACGAAGGAGGAGCAAGATCAATGATAGGTAAGTCGTGAATATGTAATGTACGTATTTATAGATATGAAATGTAGCAAAAGCCTATATTGGTTATAAAGTATATCCGGGAGGAGAGGCTGATCAAACATTGTTAATGGATCTCTCTGCAGATTTCAAATGTTGAGACAACTGATACCTAACAGCGACCAAAAGCGGGACAAGGCCTCCTTCTTACTAGAGGTCTAACTATTATTTTTTTGCCAAATTTCCTGTAGCGGTAGATTCAGTCCCATCTTTTCCTAACATCCAAAATATTCTTCTTGAACCACATTTCAGGTTATCGAGTATATTCAATTCTTACAGGAGAAAGCAAATAAGTATGAGACCCCTTACCAGGGATGGAATCACGAACCTGCGAAGCTATTGAACTGGGTATATATAATCTCACGACTCACATTTTCCATCCATACTTGGTTCTTTTTCTTCCTGGTTTGAAACTGATAAAAAAAAAAGACAAATCTTGTAATGTTAATCCGTGTGTGATCAATTTACATTACAGCAGAGAAACAATCAACAGCTAGTACCTGAAGGAACCGTTGCTTTTGCTCCTAAGTTGGAAGAAGAGAAGAGCAACATTCCGGTTTCAGCCCTTGCAACAGCACAAGGCGGAACTATTGATCAATCAGAAACATTGAACCGAGCAATGCCAACGACCACTCCATTTCCTATGTCAGTTCAAAGCAACAGTTTATTCTCTCCTGTAATTGCGGGTAACCCCGTAACTCAGTTCCACACAAGAGTCGCATCATCTGAAACCGTAGAGCCTAGCCCGAGTTCTCGGAGTCTGACTCAGCCATTGAAAGAAGAAGGAGAAGAAGAAGATGAGGAAGTTCATGAGGGTAACATCAGTATATCAAGTGTTTACTCACAAGGGTAAAACCAAAACATTTCCGCTCTTTTGATCTTGTAACAGTTTTTTTTTTGATCTTGTAACAGTTCAAATTAAAAAAGTAAAAAACTTTTTGTTTTGCTTTGCGGAGCAGGTTAGTGAAAACACTAAGAGAAGCACTGGAGAATTCAGGAGTGGACTTGACGAAAGCAAGCATCTCCGTTGAAATCGAGCTTGCTAAACAATCCTCTTCCTTCAAGGTTCTTTTTTCTTTTCTTTACGATTTGATATAAATTTAAACACATCGAATTAAATTTATATATATAGTGTGTGTTTTTTTTTTTTGGGTAAAATATATAGTGAGTGTTGTCCCTGATAGTTTTTAGTTTTGGTTACTACTGATAGGATCATGAAGTTCGTGAACCGATTTCTCGATCCGGAAACGACGACGTAAGGCAAACTCGGAAACCAAAACGGCTCAAGACGAACAATAGAAGTTAATATTTTGAGACCCAAGACTAGTGAGACACACGGTTCTGCTAACCGCATTTTAGACTGTAATCACAAATCTTCTGTGGGATTTTGTTTTTGCTTTTGAGGAATATCATTAAGGGGAAGGCTTATCCATGTTTTCTGGACGCTTCCTCTGATTAGTGAAGTCACTCTTCACTCTATTATAAAGTCATCATCTCACATTTTTTAGCAATTTTTGTATCTTACCTCTTTTTTTTTTTTGGATATTGGTTTCAAAAGTGATATTTATCTAAGCGTTATCTTTTGTATCGATTATTGAATGAACGACTGAGATAACACGTTTATTAAAACGACCGCACATTGCCAACGACGGAAGAAATTCACGTTAGGACCTTGTATTATATAAATTTGTAAACTATGGGTGCCTGTATTTCATTTTCGATAAGAATTTTACCCAATGGTGATTCCATGATCAGGAAAATCCATTCGGCGACTTATACATGGTTCTAATTTCTCATCCTCCAAGCTTAAAGAAACAGCATTTTGTAAACTTAAGGGAACATTCGTCAACAAAAACTTAAAAGGGAACAGAAAGAAGGATATATACTGTAAAGGAAATAATTCAAAAATCTTGGGTCAGTGAAGACAACAGTGAGAAAAGTGAGGGTATATTGGTCATTTTATGTTGGTGGTTTCAGATGAACGTTGGAAAAAAAATTGAGATCCAAAAGCTCGCACTCGAAGAAGAACGATTTGAAAGGAAAAAAATCTAAGTCTTCTGTGTGTGTTTCTCTCTCTCGCTTATCAGACTCTGGTCTCGAAGACTAATAACTGAAGCAGATCTATTCAGAAAAAGGAGAGATGTATGAGCAGCAACAGCATTTCGTGGATTTGCAAAGCGATTCTGGATTCGGGGATGATAGCTCGTGGCTCGCCGGTGATGACGATCTCCGATTATCTCCTCACCAATCTGTCGCCGCTACGAACTCCGGCAACGAGAATCTCGATCGGCGTCTTTTGAAAGATCTCGTTGAGATGGTTCCCCTCATCGAGCAATTCATGGTAATTTTCTCTACTTACCCCAACTCTCCAGGCCTTTTTGTCGAGTTATCAGAGCAGACTATGTTTGGAGCTCGAGGGGATTTGAGATGCGGTGATAGATTGCACGGAATTTCGAAATTTTGTTGGTGTTTTCAATCGACTGGGTGGAGAAACTTGCAGGAATTTATGAACTTTCGATAGATTTGGGAAATTTTAGATATAACTAAATGTTAGAGAAATCGATGGTAGTTTGGACTTAATAGAATTGAAATTTCTGAAAGATAAGATTGCAGGTTGGAATTTAATATTTTTCTTCTCATTGAACGCAATTAGGAACACAAAGAAAAGAGTTCGTTTAAGCGGCGTGGTTCCATGATCTACACTAAGATGCCTTCCCGAGAATCATTGTCCAGAAGGGTGAGTTGTTTGTTTCGATCTATCATCTCATTGTGGTATTTTCTAGTTAGGTTGCAACTTGGAATTTCACTGGTAATTACTTTAGATGGAATGGGGCTAGTGTTTCTTCTCTTTTCCTTTTTGGGTATGAGCTGATATCAGCTTGGCCTCATGGCTTGATAACATTTTGTAAAGGTTATAGTTGTCTTTAATTATTATATGTAGTAAATGTTGTTGTAATAATAGGTTCCTTTTTGTCTTCAGACTTGGTTAAAGAACTTCAATGGGTGGGTTGGGTTTTAATTTCCCTCATTTATCAGATCTATCTCAAGTGGACTTGTTTGTTTTGGGTTCTGCTGTATCAATTGTTAACTTGTTTTTGCATTTTCTCGGTGTAAAGGGAAGAAATGCTTCTCAAACAGTACCAGGAAGAAAGAAGAGAGATGCAGAAGGAAATAACGATGTTGTGAACGATACTAGGGAAGATGGTGAAAACGCCAAGGGTTTGGCTGGCGCAGAAAAGGAAGAACTAACCAAACTTAGAGAGCAAGTGAATGACTTGCAGACAAAATTATCAGAGAAAGACGAGGTTTTAAAGTCCATGGAAATATCAAAGATTCATGTAAACGAGATACAGGAAAAGCTTGAAGAAACAAAACGCTTGGTTGCTGAAAAGGAGATGTTGATCAAGTCTATGCAGTTACAATTATCAGACACAAAGGTAAACCTTTTCCTCTTATGCGTCTTCAGTTGATCCCCCTGTGTCTGTGTGTTTCAAAGGCCGATGGTTTATTGTAAATCTGGTTTAGAAGAAAATAGATAATACACTTCTGCAAATAGGTCGGTTTTAGGAGATGCTAATGCTTTGACACCAATTCGTGGAGGCATACATATTTAAAGATTCCCTTTTTTTTAATATACCATCTTCAGATGTTAATAGCTTCTTTTCGCTATCTTCACTAGATCAAACTTGCAGATAAGCAAGCCGCTCTTGAGAAGACTCAATGGGAAGCAAAGACAACAGGAACGAGGGCAATCAAGCTTCAAGAACAGCTAAATGCTGTTGAAGGAGAAATCTCTTCATTCGCACGGGTATTTGAAACTTTGGCGAAAACAGAGTCCAAGAAACTCGACAGGGATTATGACGCAACCCCATATGAATTTGATCATCTTCCATATCTCGTAAGTCAAGAAACCACGACAATCATCTCCTCTCTTTCTTCATTTTAATTTAGGGGTCATATCTAATGCCTTTTGCAAATACGTTATAAACAGGACGATGTAGATGAAAGTGAACTACGGAAAATGGAAGAAGCAAGATTAGCATATGTTGCAGCTGTGACTACCGCAAAGGAACGAGAAGATGAGGAATCTCTGGCCATTGCTGCTAAAGCTCGAGCCTACTTGCAATCACTAGCCTTTAAATACTAATCATATTGATCATGCCTAAGGGTCAAGTGACATCCTTAATATTCATGTTTAACCAACTTTTGTTATAAACTCAAATCGTATTCGTATTTCGTATTTCGTATATAATTCGCACGTGCCGAAGAAATCATCCGTGTCAAATTCCGCGCCAAAGCGAATCAGTACGACGTCGTGTCATCTCATATCGAAAGTTTAAAATCGACTTATAAAACCCTTTTCTTCGACAACAAAACTAAATTCGACGACGATGACGGACATGAGTCGCTGCGGCGGAGACACTGTTGCGATATCCGTCCGTACACTCTCCGGGGAATCGACTATCGTTCCGATTTCCTCGGACGCGACGATTCACGAACTCAAGATTGCCTTACAATCCTCTTTCCCTCCCGCTTCTTCCTCTCCCAATTTCCATCTTTATTTCAAGGTAATGCTTATGCTCTACGCTCGACTCGTTATAGCTTTTCTGTTGGGCTTTTTGTATTTCTACATGTCTCAGGCCGTGTCTTTGTTTTAAAACGATTTCACATTCATCTTTTGAAATTTCGAATTTCTTGTTTCTCATTCACCGATTTCGAGTTTCGTTTTTTAAAATTAGCACTTCACGGGACGAATTGTGCTCTCTTATCCTTACCATCTAACGATTTTTGTTTTGGTTAGGGTACCAAATTGAGTTTGAACAGTAGAGTGGCTACCACTGCCATTAATGGCGGCGAATTCTTGGTTTTGGTTCCTTTTGTTAAGAAGGAACGTCCACAGACCTCAAAACCTGATTTATCAGAGCCTTCCTTGAGTTCAAGCTACTCAAATTCCTTGTATTCTGCAATGATTCGAGAATCTTCAACCTTGAATCGACCTGAGAATCAATCTGTTGGGGTGAAACGGAAACGGGATCAAGGAACGTGTCCAGTTGAATTCTTAAAGGGTGTTTTGGAGTCTGATTGTGATGGATTTAAGGGACAGAACAAAGAAAAGCTTGCTGAGGTTTTAAAGTCTAGGAATTGCTTGACATCCCCAGGTTTTGCAAAGTGTTTGATGTCAAGGGAAACAAGTAGCTATTCCTGTTCTTGTCCAGATTGGTTGAAATTGTCAATGGAGACATTCGTTTTTCTGAATCTTTTTTCATCTCTTATTGAATCACTTGGTGAAAGATTATACTTTACCCGCTTGGAGGAATCGCTTGCCCGGTTAGCAATGTCTGGAGTTCGTGTCAGTATAGAGGACGTAAAGAATCTCTCAATTATATGCCCCAAGGTGATTTTTCGATATATCTAGATACTCCTACTTATTCAGTGATATATATTTTTTTTTTTGGTATGTAGTGTAACCACAGTGGATTTTGTAGGTAGTAAAGGTTATCGCTGATGACTTTGAGTCTTTGAACTATGACAATGCTATAGTTATAGCTGATTTTCTGGAGAAAGATGGAGGTGAAAAATACGGAAAACCAGGTACAGTTTCAGATGAATATACTTACTTTCTTTATCCGAGCGGTTGTGACTTGTGAGTTATCTGTTACGACTAATAACTGTTAGCTTTTGTTTCAAATAATGGTTAAATAGGTCTGAAAAAAACTCCACTTGCAAAGGTCTTTAGCTTTATGAAAAAGCGGGAGACTTCTTTTAAGGCTGAATTGTGGGGGTCCATCAAATCGCTACTGGTATGTTTATTACTCCAAACCTATCAAAGTCACAGCTTAGGCGGTATTCCATTACTTTGGCTGTAGTATTATGTTTGTCTGAAGTATATTTCTGTGTAGGTAAAAAGTCGATGTAAGAAGGGAATTTCTGTTTCCTTGGAGGACATGCTTATATTCGCCAGGGAAGGTAAAGGTGTTGGTGGAAACGAAGCTAGACAGGCTGGAAAAGACAGTTTTCCTCACTCTGGCTCTCATTCATCCCGGACTTTGTGTCATGTAAGCGTATGTTCCAATGTTGACGCTGTAATTATTCCGTTATGCTCTAGTTTCAATTGAAATAGACTTTTCGAAATACACCTGTTCTAGATTTATAGTTCCTGAATGAATACCTTTTTATGTATGATTTTGGTTTTGTCCCTTTTGGACATCTTCTTACTGCATCATATGCAACAACATTCAGTGTTTTAGCATTCGTATAGTTTTTAAATGTTTTTATTTAATTAACAGGACAAAAATTCGTTGCTACCAGCGGAGATGGTTGAACATCTCAGGAATGGTTTTGGATCTAAAGGACAGGTACTTTAGTCTCCGTCTCACTCTTTTACTTTGCTCTCCTTTCGTTAAAGAACTTTAATTCTTTTCTGTTCTGTTGCAGATAGTTCACGTTGAAGATATCAATGCTAGAAAAGCTGTCTACGTCGAAATACCAGACGAGCTCTCAGAATTCACGAAGTCTGCCTTGAAACGAATTGGAATCAATACATTATACAGCCATCAGGTACCTTGTCTTGTAATGTATGTCTGTGTCGATGAATTTCAATCTTTGGCTTGATACCTTAAACCCTTTTTTTTTTATAATCAGGCTTCATCGATTTCAGCAGCCTTGTCTGGGAAGAATGTTGTGGTTGCAACTATGACTTCCAGTGGAAAATCTCTTTGCTATAACGTGCCAGTCTTTGAGGAATTGACCAAAGATACGGATGCGTGTGCCTTGTACTTATTTCCAACCAAGGTTTACTCAGCTTGTCTCTTTTCTAAAACTTTTTCTGTTTTGAATTTCAATAATTTTGGATATTCCTAGAATAGAAAGAGATTTACTTTTTGCTTGTACAGGCCTTAGCGCAGGATCAATTTAGAGCGTTGTCTGATTTAATAAAAGGATATGAAGCTAGCATACATATAGGGGTGTATGATGGTGATACTCCTCAAAAGGAGAGAACAAGGCTGAGGAATAACGGGAGACTGGTAATTTCGTACTTTCTTTCTTTTCCAACAGAATTAGTGATTTTTAACTTAAATCTAATAAGGATATAACAAGGCTGAGGAATAACGGTAGACTGGTGGTTTTTTTAAATATGCCTATCAAAAAAAGGTTGGCTTCAATTTTCTAAAAAATAGCCCTAAAACTAAATTTTCTCAAAAATAGCCTTAAAAATTAAATTTTATCACAAATAGCCCTAACACCTAATTTTTCTCAAAAATAGCCCTAAAATTAAATTTTCTAAAAATAGCCCTAAAGTACATATTTCACTAACTAGAGTTATTGAACTATATGACTGTAGCTGATCACAAATCCTGATATGTTACATATGTCAATCTTGCCTCCCCATGGACAATTCAGCCGGATTTTATCAAACCTTAAGTACATTGTAATCGATGAAGCCCATACTTACAAGGGAGCATTTGGCTGCCACACGGCCCTTATACTGAGAAGACTACGCCGCCTGTGCTCTCACGGTAACAATACGGATGATCCCATGGTCAAAACAGTAGTCTCCGTTACATATTTTGTATATATAGACTTTTAGTTGACCAAGCACATCTTAATTTCCAGTATATGGCGCCAATCCATCATTCATATTTTGTACTGCAACTTCTGCAAATCCTCGAGAACATTGCATGGTAGGCCTAGAGTACTCATGATTATCTGGATATATATCCGCTTATTTAAATCCATGCTACGGGATCAACACATGGCTTGGTGATGATGCAGGAGCTTGCAAACCTATCTGAGCTCGAGCTGATAGAAAATGATGGAAGTCCTTCCTCTCAAAAGCTTTTCGTCCTGTGGAATCCCACAATCTACCCAAGAAGTGTATGGTTCAGTATTCTAGATTTATTTGAACTAATTCTGAGACTTTAATTACTTCTTGTTTGTTTTTTATCTGTTGTATTACAGAAATCTGAAGATAGTTCGAAAGTGATGAGTGGTAATGGAGATGCTGCGGATACATCAAGGTATTTCTGGCCATTTGCTTTTTTTTTTTTTTTGTGTTTTGCTAGAAATCAAAATTTTATGGTCATAGCTAACATTAGATATATATTTCATTTCTTCTCAGCCCAGCTTCTGAAGTCTCACACCTTTTTGCAGAGATGGTTCAGCATGGCTTACGTTGCATTGCTTTCTGTCGGTCTCGCAAATTTTGCGAACTTGTTTTGTGTTTTACGTACGTCCTCTTTTAACTCGCTGATTAAATTTTCACTCTAGGCTTTGATTCTTTGACTATAAAAATGTTGAGAAAATTTTCACAAGTTTTCAAAAATAGCCTCTAAAAAACTAAATTTTCTCAAAAATAGCCCTTAAAAACTAATATTTCTCAAAAATAGCACTAAAACTATTTTTTCTCAAAATAGCACTAAAACTAAATTTTCTCAAAAATAGCACTAAAACTAATTTTTTTTCCAAAAAGAGCCCTGATTTTTCAATCGGACGAATTTTCAATCTACAATTTAGTTCTTTGACTAGAAAAATGTTGATGTAGTTAAAGATTTGCCAAATATGCTGTAGGCGTGAAATTCTCGCTAAGACTGCTCCTCACCTTGTTGAAGCCATATCTTCATATCGTGGAGGTTACATTGCCGAGGTAAATATCCTTTTTATGTGTCTGAACTTTAATGGTTGTAGATGGATATTTTTTAAACCAGATTAATAATTTACAGGATCGGAGGAAAATAGAGAGTGACTTATTCGGTGGAAAGCTTTGTGGTATTGCTGCAACAAACGCACTTGAGTTGGGGATTGACGTCGGTCACATAGACGTAACTTTGCATTTAGGTTTTCCAGGAAGTATTGCCAGGTAAATCAGTCTTTTGTACTTTTCCCTTTTAAAACTGAAGATTCTATAATAAGTTATAGCATAGCTTTCAATGACTCTGATCTCTTCTGAGTTTCAGTCTTTGGCAGCAAGCGGGTCGGTCTGGAAGACGAGAAAGGCCCTCTCTTGCCGTATATGTTGCCTTTGACGGTCCTCTTGACCAATACTTCATGAAATTCCCCAACAAGCTCTTCCGTAGCCCAATTGAGTGTTGCCATACTGATTCTCAAAATCAACAGGTTATTAATCTGTGATCGTAAAATTCTATTCTTGTTTAGACTCTAGCACTGTGACCAATACTGACGTACTTTGCTACTTTGCTTCTTGCAGGTACTTGAGCAGCATTTGGCCTGCGCTGCTCTTGAGCACCCATTGAGTTTGCAGTACGATGGAAAACACTTTGGTTCTGGCCTAAGCAACACTGTCGAATTGCTCAAGAAGAGAGGAGTCTTAAGTTTTGATCCTTCCCGTGATTCTTCTGCTAGAATATGGAACTATATTGGTCGAGAGGTATATCCGGCATTATACTCAAATTTACAACCCGAAAACCAAGTTTTTCCTTGCCTTAAAAAACCTTTGCTTGACGACTTTTTCCTCAGAAAAAGCCTACGCAGAGAGTCTCTATCCGGGCGATAGAGACAGAAAGATACAGAGTCATGGAAGAAAGAAGTAAGGATGTCCTCGAAGAAATAGAGGAAAGCAAAGCCTTTTTCCAGGTCTATGAAGGAGCTATTTACATGAACCAAGGAAGGACCTATCTGGTCACGAGTTTGGATACAAAAGAAAAGATAGCTTTGTGTAAATTAGCAAACGTGGATTACTACACGCGGCCTCGGGATTTCACTAATATCCATGTAACTGGTGGTAAAACTGTAAGTACTCTTGGGCTTAACCTTAACTGTGGTTCCCTTCTCTTGTGGTTTATAGTTCTTATTTCATTACCGTGTTCATGTTTCAGGCTTATGCTTTCAAGGCTGCTAAGAATCAACTTGATAAGACAACAGCACAAGCTCATACCTGTACGGTGACAACAAAATGGTTTGGATTTTACCGTATCCGGAAAAAAACAAATGTAGCATCTGATGTCGTTGATCTCTCACTCCCAAGTTACTCTTACCAATCACAGGTTTCTCTTCAACCTGCAGCCTCACACACATAAAAAGGGGTTCCCTATCCGGTTTCCTGTTTTTGGACTTTACGGTTTATGAAATTGATTTGGTTTCTGAATCGGTTAAGCCGGATTGGGAACTTGTACACATACACACACACACTTACACGTTTTCTGTTTCCGCTGTCATAGGCTGTGTGGATTCAAGTCCCAGAGTCGGTAAAATCAGCAGTGGAGAAAGATAACTTCCACGCTGGTTTACACGCCGCCTGTCACGCTCTTCTCCATGTTGTTCCACTGTACGTACTACTATGCATTTTCTATCTTTTTTTCTTTCTTCCTCGACGTTGCAGATTGTAAAACTTCTTTAAACATTGTTTTTTTTTGGTTATTTTCTTGATGGTGCTTTCTCTGGCTAGATACGTGCGTTGTAACTATTCAGACTTAGCTCCGGAATGTGCAAATCCGAATGAAACAAGCTATTTTCCGGCAAGAATCTTACTATACGATCGTCATCCTGGAGGAACCGGCATATCCGCGCAGGTAAATGGAAAGAAACTCCATTTTGAAAAATGTGAGAGTTGTTTTCTGTGTGTTGAATTTTGGATAATACATCATAGTAATTTCTGAATACTAAATTATTTGTTGGCACGCAGATCCGTCCTTTCTTCACTGAGCTTTTAGAAAGTTCCCTTGATCTCTTAACGTCTTGCTGCTGCTCGGCTGAAACCGGTTGCCCAAGTTGCGCTCAGAGTTTTGCTTGCCACAACGAGCTCATACATAAGGATGCAGCAATCATGATCATTAAGGTTAAAAAAAAACTACATAACTTTCTCACTTTTTTTTAATATTTATTATTGATTACCAACTTTTGGTTATTTTAATACATAAAAGAGTGATCATATATTAAATATGATGATTTTAGGGCGTTTTGGAAGCGGAAAAATCACATTTTCAAGATGGAACTTGAAGCAAAGCTTTACAATGATGAGACCTTCTCAAACACTGTAAACGTGAGTGGACTTGTTGAGTAGCTAAACTTTTTTCATTCTTACTACAAAAGAAATGTAGCTGATTTTTTACTTCAAGGTTAAATAGATTTGATAGAGAAACTGCTACTTGCAGAAAAAGCAGAAGACGTTACTTAATTGAATTAACGTTGCTATCTCTTTAATACCGTTTAACACCACCGGTATGTTCTGGGCTTGTGCCATGTAATATGGTTATACTGAGATCGCAATCTGGCCAAAGAACTGAAATCACTAGACGGACCTTTGGAACTGAATGTAAAAATTATTAGTGTTCTGGTTTGATTTTCGATTTAAAAGAAAACTAAACGAAGTGAAAGTAAATCTTCGTATATATCTGTTTGAAACAGATTTTTCTTAGGTGTTCTTTATTAATTATGCCAATAAAAAAAAGTTTGGTTTTAATTTTCTCAAAAATAGCCCTAGAAATTAATTTTTCTCAAAAATAGCCTTAAAAAATTAAAATTTCTTAAAACTAGCCCTAAAACGAAACTTTTTCTCAAAAATAGCCCTGAAAAAAATATATTTTCTCAAAAATAGCCCTAGAAATTAATTTTTCTCAAAAATAGCCTTAAAAAATTAAAATTTCTTAAAAATAGCCCTAAAACGAAAATTTCTCAAAAATAGCCCTGAAAAACATTTCTCAAAAATAGCCCTAAAAACGAAATTTCTCGAAAATAGCCCTGAAAATTAAATATTTTCTCAAAAATAGTCCTAAAAACGAAATTTTCTCAAAATAGCCCTAAAACTAAATTTTCTCAGAAACGAAATAAGTTATCTAGAAATGTTTCAATAATTTTCTCAAAATAGCCCTAAAAATAAGTTATCTTTTCATTTTATTTACATCTGAAAAGATTCTACAGTGAAAAAACGGAGAAAGAAAAAGAAGATAAAAGATTCTAATCATCTGTTTGGATGTGGCGAGTAAACCATTTTAAGAGATTCTCCGGCGACTAGCGATGGTTGGGTGGGCGATAGCGCTACACGGCGGAGCCGGAGATATTCCGATTGACCTTCCGGACGAGCGGCGTATCCCTCGCGAGAACGCTCTTCGTTACTGTCTCGATCTCGGCGTTTCCGCCCTCAAATCCGGCAAGCCTCCCTTGGACGTCGCCGAACTCGTCGTACGCCTCTCTCTCTTTCTCTCTCGATCGATCGGATTCTTTGTGATTCATTTCATCATTTCGTTTGTAACAATCCATCTTAGGAAAATTTCTAAAAGTAATCCCAAATTTTCAAAATCAAGACGATCACAATTTCTAGAATAATCCATTTAATTATCTATTTTTATATGGAAATAGTCTCAAAGAAACCAATGGGTATGCGTTTCGAGTCATCACTACACTCAAGCTTGAAAATTCTGATTTCTGAGTTATCAATTTTTTAGGATTTTTGCTTCTATGAATGATTGATCACTCTTATGAAATTTTGATTTCTGAGTTATCACTCTTTTGGTTAATTATACCTATGTTGTTGTTCAGGTTCGTGAATTAGAGAACCACCCAGACTTCAATGCGGGTAAAGGATCAGTGTTAACAACGCAAGGCACTGTTGAAATGGAAGCTTCCATTATGGACGGGAAAACGAAAAGATGTGGAGCGGTCTCAGGCTTGACCACTGTCCTCAATCCCATCTCCTTAGCTCGACTCGTCATGGAAAAAACTCCTCACATCTATCTTGCCTTCGATGCTGCAGAAGCTTTCGCTAGAGCTCACGTCAGTGTCAAGTGATCCTACTTTTTTTCCCTTCTTTGATTTCTACTCATGTTTTCTGCTAAAGCTTTCTCTAGATTGTTTTGGTTTTCTAGGGCATTGAGACGGTCGAATCGAGCCATTTCATAACTCCTCAAAACATTGCAAGGCTAAAACAGGCCAAAGAGTTTAATCGAGTCCAGGTAAAAATATGTTATTTGAGGTTTGTGTTTGTCTTCTTGAGAGACCTATTCAAGCTCCCTTTTTTCCGTGTTGTGTTTGTAAAAACGCTTTGGATTCTTCAAAATACAGTTGGATTACACAAACCCCACCACGAAAGAAGCGGAAAATTGTGGTGACAGTCAAATAGGAACGGTCGGATGTGTAGCCGTGGACAGCTCCGGAAATCTGGCTTCAGCTACATCAACGGGCGGTTATGTCAACAAAATGGTTGGCAGAATCGGGGATACACCGGTGATTGGTGCAGGAACATACGCTAACCACCTTTGTGCCGTCTCAGCCACGGGTAAAGGAGAAGAGATTATCCGTGGAACCGTGGCTAGAGACGTTGCTGCACTCATGGAGTATAAAGGCTTGTCTTTGACCGAGGCTGCAGCTTATGCCGTTGACCAATCCGGACCCAGAGGAACCTGTGGACTCGTTGCTGTCTCGGCCAATGGTGAAGTCGCAATGCCGTTTAACACCACCGGTATGTTCAGGGCTTGTGCCATGGAAGATGGTTACACTGAGATCGCAATCTGGCCAAAGAACTGAAATCACTTGACGGACCTTTGGAACTGAATGTGAAAATTATTAGTGTTTTCTAGTTTAATTTTCGATTTTAAAGAAAAATAAACAAAGTGAATGTAAATCTTAGTACTGTATATATCGGTTTGAAACATGTTTTTCACAGGTGCTTCCTTTATTAATTATGCCTATCAAAAAAGCTTTGGCTTTCTTTTCGTCATTTTCAGTCAGATATAATTCAATACTTAAGATGCAAGAGAACAAAGTATCTTACTCGGTCAATAGTGCTATTTCTAGTAATGTGACGATGACGACCATAAAATTTAGTGCTATTTTTGTAATGTGACGACCTTATATTTCAGTGCTATTTTAGTGATATTTTAGTGCTATTTTTGTAATGTGACGACCGTAAAATTTAGTGCTACTTTAGTGATACTTAGTGCTATTTTTGTGATGTGACGACCTTATATTTTAATGCTATTTTAGTGATATTTGTGTGCTATTTTTGTAATGTGACGACCATAAAATTTAGTGCTACTTTAGTGATATTTTAGTGCTATTTTTGTAATGTGATGACCATAAAATTTAATGCTATTTAAGTGATACTTTAGTGTTATTTTAGTATTGTGGCGATTGTTATGCTATTTTAGTGCTATTTTTAGTAATGCGACGACCATAAAATTAATGCTATTTTAGTGCTATTTTATGAAATTTATTCCTTCCTTCGCGAGTCCACTTGAAATTAAACAAGTATGCAATAGAGAAATTGGTTTGTTTGATCCAATTAAAAGAATATAGACTTTTGTTTCTGTTTTTGTTTTTTCCCGTCCCTTGGTAAAAACACAAACTTCACACATTTCGTAAACAAAACACTCACTCAATCAAAGCCGTACATATGGACGGATGTATTTTTTTACACATTCTTCTTCGTTTCTTCAAGCATTCTTGTTTTGCCAAGGCTTGAGAACACCAACAACGATCACTGCAACAACAATGAGGAGGATGATGATTGCAATACACATCCATTTTCTTGAGTTCTTCTGCAAGCTCTTTGCTCTTTGAAGAGCCGTGTTTCCTGATTGCACGTGATCTACTGCACTTGAAACCTAAAATTGCCAAACAAGTCAATCATCATTTACTATTTCAATGCCCTAGGAGTGTATGAACTTTAAGGTCAATCCAAACTTTTGTGAGGTTGTTACTCTTTTTAATTTAAATCTGCCAACAGCTTCATATGTAATCCAATTGAAGCACACAACCAAAAAAAAATATATATATATACCTGAGATTCTATGTTGTCAAGCATTTCTCCTTGTGCATCAACCAAAACTGCCATATCCAAGAAAATCTGCAAAAAAGGGTCCAATAAAATATCAATCATCAAACAAACAAAAAGAGAATATCCATCGTTTAAGAGATTGCCTGAAGCTGGGTTCAACGATATTCATTATTTAAGAGAATATGAAATCAAACATACATTACCTGTTGCAAGTCAAGAAGTTTCTTTTCTAAGTCTCTGACAGCATCATGACGTTCTTGAATTTCTGCTAAGGTATCCATTACCTGGGAGAGAAATAAATTGCATGTTCAAATCTTGGAATGTTTTGAATACATTTTAACACACTATATAATATCAAAATGTCCAGCGCAAGTGTTTCTCAAATAAATGGAAAAGCTCAAACCTGTCCTCTTCCTTGCTCCTGAATTGCTTTCTGGAAGATCTGTTCGCTGTCTCCAGTTTCAATTAATTCATCAATTGTCTGAAAATCAACAAACGGTAAGGCATGAGTTTTATTCAAACTTCTGAGACCACAATAAAACAAAGAGTCTACTTTACTTACATCTTCGTCCGCTCGCTGTCCAGTTACTAGTTCATTTAAAACACACAAAAATAATAAGACAAAAGATAATTGAGAAAGGAAAATCCAAAGCAATCACATAGCATCAACTTACATACCAGTAAAAACACGCCTCTCAACAACCTCGCGATACTCTTGTTGGATGTTCTCTCGTAGAACCTAGAACAAGTCACACAATCTTAATTTGAGAAAATAACAGTTTCCATATTATTTGAAGAGTCATCATTATTTCTTCCTAACGCACCTGAAACTCAGCCATCTTGTCTTTCAACTTCTTCTTTAAAGAACTGTTGCACAAAAAGAATAAAGGTCATACTAAAGAAAGTTTACATTAAAAACTGATGACTGAAAAAACACCACCCTGTTTGCAATAGAAACCAAATTCTAAACATTTCAGGTCAAATATTTTCTTCTTTAGCAGATAAACCTCGACGCAAGAGGATGGAGAAGCAAAGCCTGATACTAACGTGTTCAAGATGAATGTCCATTATTAAAGTTTCCAGAGTAGTATGGCCGTGGAAAATCTTTAGAATGAACAAGATGAATTTAAGGAAATAAAACCGAAACAAAACCTTTGATAATATTAACAGCATCTGTCACTAGATACAACTCAACCCTACCCCAGAAATATAGGTGTCTGATTGAAATGTATTAATACTCACAGAGTCGTTGCTGTTCTTGATCTATCCACACCAGATCCTTTCGCACACCCAGGTTTTTGTCTATTGGCCAAGTTCTACAATATTTGAAATAAATATTCATATAAAAGAAAGAGATCAAATCAACAACTGTAAGATTACAAGACAAAGAGCTAGTGATTCTACCTCTCTGTCCAACTCCTCTAGTTTCCCCTTTATGAAACGGGCAATACTTCCAACTTCATCAACGTCCTTTTCCATTTTCTTCTTTATTGCTGTCCATAACATAAGGAGCAAACTATAAATAAGGTTATGGCAATCCATTAACACCGATCATAACGGTTAAGTTTCATGCGCATGAAAACCAAGAATCGTGGCTGCTTGAAGTTCATCTAAGTTATGCTCTATCGTTGTCGTCTAAGAAATATCCAGACTTTTTGCGAAATATAAAACTGTCTAACTCAAATTCTCAGACTGAATGCTTTAATTCATCTAGTGCTTGGTTCTTAGTTCCAGCGGAAGACAAGCTTTTGTTAAAGTTCATTCTATCCACTACTAGTGCAAGCAAACCCTGATAATCATCGAACCTTAGTGTTTTTATCAATAAACCCTAAAAGATATCAGAGATTACTTTCACTGGCGTGAAATAGTTCTGCATGAACATGAACATGCATGACCATAAGATGAACAAAAAAAAACAAATTTACCCTTCATGGCAGGAGCTTTGGTCACAGCCTTCGACTCCTCATGGGCAGCCTATAGGGTTTACAACGGTAATACAAATGAGAAGCCACAGAATCATAAACCTTTAAAGGGAAAGCGAACAATCTTTGTAACCAAAAGTTCTTGCTCTTAATCTGATGCAGTGTTCACATTAATGCTATATATAGTACCACATATCAAAAGAGATTAGCAGACAGCTGATAGCGTAAGGTTAGAAAAATAGTAATCAGGTTATACCTGAAGTTTCTTTAGAAGCTTATTGAGCTTTTCATATTGTTTGTCAATCTCTTGAACCTAAGAGGACAAAGAGGCAACAGTTAGCTAGAGTAATTGGTAGGGCAATAACAACACTCTTTTTTACTTTTCTTTCAAGATTACCTTTTTGAAGAACTCTTCTAATCCTTGATCTCCTCCTTGTTCCCCTAGTTCGACATCCCCTTCTCTAGAAGATTGGCCTCGAGGAAGCTCAAACGAACCCTACAATTCAACAAAATTCGACACAATAATCGATTACCATAAACCATCACAAGCATACCCTTCGAGTTTACATGATGAAGAGCAGGATATGCTAAATTTAGATCAAATAATCTAATGTATTCAAATATTCACATAAAGAAAAAAAAAGATCCATACAGCATTCAGGTTCTGCTCAATGTGAAATTATAGGATGGTCAAACTATACGAATTGAATTTCAATGACAATGAAAATGGACTGCACGGCATTTATAATACATTACATAAGCAAATAAGATTGAGACCTCATGAGTAAAAATTCTCAAAGCACCCACATTCGATGATCAACCAAATTCAAACTCAACAAAACCCTAAATGTCTGAAAGGGGAAAAAGAAGAAACAGTTGCAAAAGAAGAATCTCACCTTAAGAAGATCGTTCATCGTATAGTGCGATATACACTAAGTTTGGCTTCGGTTTAGACCACGGACGAAGAAGAACACGACTTCGATTCTGAGAAAGCGAGAAGAAGACTTGAGAAGACGGAGATTCGATTCTCGAGGGGCAAGCGAGAAACTGAGTGAGACAGAATCGAGAGGAAGTGGAGGATAAACGGATCTGGCTCGGGCTCGACGACAATGTGAGGAGAGAAGAGGAGAGTGGTAATCAGGTAATCTAAATCTAGGGATTTTAATTTTTCCAACCCGGTCGGTTTAATATTCAGAACTGAATTGAACCGAGAATCGTAGTATTTGCAAACAGTTTTTATCTGTAAACCGAAACTAAATGTTTGACCCCGTTCAGTTTGGTATGATGTATGAACACACACGGAATTTTCCGACATGCCGTCCTTGTCCAGCTAAAGACAACTCCTTTAGCTGCCAGAATAAATAATTAAATATTGTAAACAAAATATAAGGGTACCTACGTCTTTTAACATCAGAAAGTTATCCTGTGCGGCGCATGTGCACTGACGCCGATACACCTAAGGAATATAAAAGTTGATTGGAATATATGAGACATTCGTACGTATATGTGGCCCATGTGAACCAACGGCGGATATTCTCGTTCTAGAATTATAATCAAGAAAACATTAGCAACATTAACTCACAAAAAGGGGATGTAGCTCATATGGTAGAGCGCTCGCTTCGCATGCGAGAGGCACGGGGTTCGATTCCCCGCATCTCCATTATTTTTGACATAATTTAATATTGATTAATTGCTGTCTGTTTTAAATTAATTAAAGTTCACCAATTATATGACATCCTGTAATGAAACATCTTGAGCCATATGCTTTTTTTTTGCGTCCGATTTCTTACCAAAACATATTGAAATGAAAATATTAATAAATACGGTTAGGATAATATAATCTTTTGGTTCTAATATAAACAGGATTAATGGGTAATTGGTAGCATGAAATTTAGTACAGTATTTAGTAAAATATGTTAAAATCGAAGTAATTCATTCATCAAGTCTTCTGAGGGTACTTGAACAAGTGAGTGCGTGCATTTTCTACATATGTATTTACAACTGGTTTTTTTTAATCTTCAAAATATTCAACTATATTTGATAAATTTAAAATTGTTTTGATTTTGTGGAAAGCAAAATCAAGAAAGATAAGATAGGTTGGGGGGGGGGGGGGGAAAGGAAGAAAAAGAAGAAGAATTTGCATGCCTAGTGAGTGAGTGAATAATGTGAAAATGAAAAATGTGTGACTTTTTTTGTTTCTTTTTTTTTTCCTCTCCTAAGTTTGAAGCATGCCGGTGAGGAAAGTAAAGTTTATAGTCGTATGGACCATTTATATTCAATTTGCTGTTCGTAGTCAAATTTGTAAGATATGAAATTTACAAACTTGTAAGATGAAATTGTACTAAAACCAAAGGGAACCAAAGTTTGAGAGAGAGAGAGAGAGAGAGAGAGAGGAGACAAAAGAGAAAAGAAAAAAGAGCGATATACACTTAAAAGAAGATAAATAGGGATCAGTGCTTGACTGCAAATTCAGTTGCTGCATATAAACTGCTTCATCTTTTTCTCATTTTCATTCTTCAATCCCAACAAGTCCCAATAGATTAATCCAACCGGTTAAATACCACAACAAGTCATTGACAACTCTAATATTTCTATCGGGATTTGTAGCAAGATATTTCTATCGGGATAAAAGTATTTTAACTGTCGTGTAATCTTGAAAATTAATTTGCAGTGGATTTGGTTACGTGATATATATGTTGAACTGAAGTGAACAGGAACAACAAAAAGTATATATGTTCGATTCGGTTGGCTTTATATGCTCATTCGTCATATACATAAAACATGCATTATAGTTTTTTCTTTCTAAAATTTGTTAACTCCATAGTGTGTATATACACATGCATATGTGGTTGACTGGTTGTGGTCCTTGTGGACACATGAACAAGCTAGGGTTTGGCATGCAACGAGGTCATGTGTGATGTTTTTGTTTTGTCAAACATGTATAGGTGTGCACTTCGATCAGACATATCTCTAACATCTATTATCGCTACAATAAACGCAGTTGTTCTCTCTCACACAAAGCATTTCATATTTCCCAAACAATACCAAAAATACAAAATTACAAGTAGATATTCCACCAACTTCGATCGCATGTAGAGTATATCATTCCACGAATCGGATCGGACGTCGATAATGCTTAGAACAAAAAGAAAACACTATCTATCTTATTACAAATACACTCGATCCAACAATTATAACCACTAAACCATAGAAATCTCTCTACGTCCGTCTCAAGATTCAAACTCATATATCATATAAACTTATGAAACCAAGCTGGAATTACTCGACATGATTAATCTATTTGCTTCGACGAGTTCGAGTTTGAACTAAAGAGTTGAAGTTGATCACCACCGAGAAACGAAGGGTACCTCGGAATTATAGAGCTCATAGTTTCCATCCCCTGTGGATTCAGATCATTATTATTGGACAATGTGACAGTAACGTTACCAGATTGGTCAAGTAGCGAGTACTGTTGGATATGTCCGAGGTTGTTGTAGTGATAAGAGCTGCTGCTGCTGTTATACGCCGACAAAGTAGGGAAACAAAGCTTGTTGCTTTGCCTTGAGTTGGAGAAAAAACGATGATCAAGATTACTGCTCTCATCGAATTTAACCAATTTACTTCTCTCAAGATCCAAACTTTCTCTCTGGGTCGTATCAGTTCTCAAAGAGGAGCTTCCAAGATCGAAACTTTCGAATATCCCGGGAAAAGATTTTCCGGCGCCGGCGGAGAGACTAGGTATGAATTGCAAAGGAGGAAGCAAATCGACGTCGTGTTTGGCAGCTTCTAAGAGCCAATCAATGACTTTGCTAGGCTGACTTAGCCCTAACCGATCTTGAAGGTCGTAGACCTGGATCGCTGTCATCGCCGACAATCTTATTCTCCTGTCTCGAAGACCACGAACTGTGCACACTTTGCTGTGTCTGTCTTTCCCTCCAAATTTTCTCGAGACTCGCACGATCCTCGGGTTTTGCCTCAACCATGACAAAGAAGTCGCTTGAGTATGATCATTGTCTTCTTGTTTTATTCCCATGTCCTCTCTCGAGGTCAAGCTCATCTTCGTTGATTATATTTAGTATATGTTCGATCTGTTAACAAAAACAACAGAAAGAAACAACTGTGAGATCTTAATCACATGAAATGAAAGAACCTTCAAAAGTAAGCAGCCAATAACTGGTTAAGATCATTAGATCAAGAAAGTATGAAAAAGCTTTTAGTAGATTATTCGACTTTCACATAAATTTCATTTGCTACATATTTTGTATGATATAAAAAGTTCTCAAGTGATCGATCCAAATCAAGATAGATATATATACAACTGAAACGATCCAAATATTTTAGGATTCAAAAGAGGTATTAAAGATTTCAAATTAAATTATTGCAAAGAAAAACTAAGAAGATGATATACACCTTACACCGAAAAAACCGTAAGCTTGAATTCGCCGGATTTAAACAGATGGAATGAATTCTCCTTCAAATCAGCTGGAGAGAAGGATAAGAGAATCTTGGTGATGAACAAATTGAAAGTTATTTCTCTCGTTTTCTACAAAAGTAAACGTGTATAATATATGGTCGAGGCTGAGCAAGAAATGAAATAATATATAATATATATTTATATATACTCCAATCTCTAGGGTTTTAGTTGGATATGAAAAGAATTTATAGACAAGGATTCAAAAAGGAGCAATTTATGTATGTATTGTATAGACACTCTTATCGAAATGTGTTGACGGAATCAAAGATGCTATGGTTTCACCTTTACTCCTAATAGATACATGGAGTAGTTGATAAAATACTTGATTAGAAAATTAAATTTTCATTACACGTTAATTATCTCTTCATTTTCTTTATTTCTTGTTTTCATTTGAAGTCATAGTTAAGATATAACGTAGTTTGATGTTAAGACCATAAACTTGTAGAAATCAGGGTTTGCTTTTGATTATCCCAACTAATTCTATAATGCATGATATATATGCTTGTAGATGTAATAATAGTCATTTAGATTGACAGCTAGAAAGGGTGATCTTAGATAGAGGATGGACCAAATTAAAGAGTATATATACTGGTCCACTATGTGCAATGCATGGCAGTGAGATTTTTAGCTAATTTCATAAGAACTCCGGACGAATATTGATATACTGGTCAGAAGAATGACGGTAGGCTAATGTATCAATTAATGAATTAATTTACTTTAGAGTACATCCGTGTGGATATAATTTAAGGCGATCGAGTATATATAAGAAATCCATTTTAGCCTCTCTTTTTTCCTAAAATTGAGAACGAACGATTCCAATATTTTATATGTTTCTTTTGAATCTTGACATTTTTTTTTTGATACAAAACTCCAAGTAATCATCACTAATGATCTCCACTATAACGCCTTGATTTCACTTCTATCAAAAGCACAACCCACTTCAACTAAACCGTCTTTATCTTTACCATTTTAAACCGGATCATTATCTCTGATATCTAATGAATAATGCATCTCACAGAGACACATTTTGGACCAAAATTGCAAAACGCAGTACTCTTTTTCTTTAATCCTGAGCCGTCGTTCTCTGTCTGTACGGCAGTGAATGCAAAAGGCACATGCCGAGAGAGAGAGATAGTGACATTTCCTTGCAAGAGACAGAAACAAAAGAGGTGAAAGTCACAGTAGTTTGGGGTAAATTCATAAAAAATCACAAACACACACATACATGCATTCTTGGAGACAGAGAGTTTGGTGGCATAATGGCTTTTCACAGTTTCTGCTTCTTCTTCCCCTTTTTCTTTTTAAAATTTTAATAACTGATACATTACGGTGGGTCCTCAAGTACACAGACTTGTTTCTCTCTGTGTTACACTGGCAACCATTTCTAATAAAACTACAGACTTGAAACAATCATGAGTTCATCATATAATATGTATATCTTGTTATATGCGTAAACATAGGGAAATGTGATTGAACAGCAATCTGGTTCTTGTGAAGGAAAATAAAGTGTTTTGTAGTACATTAAGCTACTAGAGATCTTATTAGATAATGCAAACCAAGGAGAATCTTTTGTCGGTAGAGAAATATCAAACGCAGTCCTTTGCCCATCAGCAGATTACTGGAGAAAGACAGGGATTCGAAAAAACCTACAAAGAAGGAAAAAAAAAAGTATTCAGTCTGGAGAAATGGAAATTAACCCAGATAAATAGTAGTCATTTAAATGGAATTCCTTGTGTTTCGGCAGTGAAGTTGATACAAGATGATTCCAAACATAGATATTTGGATTACTAAACTGTTGCAGCAGTATTATATTGTAGGCTAAAGCACAAACCGAGAGACATGATCTAACTGGTCAAATCTATTACAACAGGTAACTCACAATTCCAAACTACTCATCTCTTGATACTGCTACAAAAATATTCCAGAAACCATCTGCACTGTCGCAACTCGCAACTAAACTAATTGAGCATCACAAAATTCATCTAGTAGGCTCTCTGAAAAACTGAAGCAGCGGTGATAACTAGATGAAAACCTACAAAAACCATACCACTAATGCCGCAATGCACTATATCAACCAAAAAAAAAACATGTTCAACCCAGCTCAACCTCTAAATCTATTCCAGCTAATTGCGCAGGATCCAAACATCTCCTCGCAGATTTCAGTGATCTAGTTTTCAACTGATCAATCAAAATCATCCTAATCTTGACCATTTTAGATAAATATGATCTCCCAATAATCCAAATAAATGGACGAGTCCACTAACTTATTATGGCCACGATTTTCACTCGGGTAATTTCGGAAAGTCATACAGTCACTGGGGAAGAACTTGGTAAGAAAGTGTACAACTTTAGAAAGCAACGAGAAGCCAATGCTGCACTTGGCCATATAACACAAGCTAATTAAACATTCAATTGCTAATCGAGAAAATATAACTCGAACCATCTATAATCTAGAATTCCTTAACGAATACTTATCTTTGGCAGGCTTATATTTATACACGAACCCTCAAGGTCCAATCTTAGAACATAAACTGGACTATATCCAGCTCATTCTTCGATAAATCAAACGAATCCGAACAACATAAACATCAAATTTTTCATAATCTCGTTGACCCTAGAACCAGAAATCGAAATTCGTCACCTGATTGTTACTCGTAGCCTCCGCCACGCGCGTTCTCATCCTCCTCGACAGTGGTTGTCAAGTAAACTCTAGGGAAGTCCGACTCCTCGAACGTCTTCTTCTCATTCATCATCTGAACCACGTCGTCCTTCTTCAACACATAACGCCGGATCTGCGGGCGGTTTCGGCGCTGATCTCTGCCGTGGTATACGATGTTGTACACCGTCTCTGGATCCGAGCACGGCACGATCGCCTCTTCATCAACCGTGGCGGGGCATCGGATACGATACTCCGTCGCCTTCGGAACAGCTTCCAGGTACTCCGGGTGAGCGCAAGGTCCGGTGATCTCCCATGGTTTCTTTATGTATTTCCTAAGGTTTTGCACAAGCGAGGAAGTCGCCGTCGCCACTGATTTCGCCATTGATGAGAGACCTTCGCTTCGAGAAAGATAGATTTGGCCAAGGAAATGCGGAAGCGGAACTCCAAAACCGAAGGATTATAAAACCGGTCTGAGTGGTTTCGAATTCGATTCGGATACTGGTTTGGTTCAATTCTTAACCGAAACTCCATCCTCATGGATAAATGATTACCGGTTTTGAGACTACGAACCGAATTGAAAAATAGGCCCAAAAAGTTATTTGCTAAATCCATTTAAATTACTCCTTTTTGTCGACTACAGGTTTGAATTAGTGATCCACTACATTATCACTGTCTTTCTGTAAATCTATGATATCTCGACAATTATGTGATCCAAACAAATGTTACTTATTTCATTGGAGCCTAATGAGTAATGAGAAAAGGGATTCATTAATGGTGAACTTATTGAATGCAAAACGTTTCTCTTGGATTGTGTATATGAAACCATTTACATAGAAATAGTGAAATGAGTTGAAACGATCTATAAGATCAAATACACATGAGAATTTCATTATAAAGTTATATCTTGAAAGCAGAAAAGTCTCTTGCTAGGTCGTACATACACGAGTAAATCTGATACAAAAACCGACCGGTTTATCAATACCAACAAAAAGCGGACTAATCAGATTTCTGCAAATTGGAGACAAAACCAGAAGCAGCAAAAGCAGCAGAGCCACCAAGAACAGAGACCAGAGCCACCACGAGCTGAACCACCACTTCCCAAGGATAATCTTCAGGAACCAAGTAGACAAAAACTGGTCCAAGAAGGAGCAAACCGAGGCTCAGGGTGAATAACGTCCCAGGCGTTTCGGGGTTGGTGGCGGCAGACAAAACGCCGAATTCCTCTGCTTTAGTGAGTAATCCAAGACGCTCAATGGTCGCCAGAGAGAAACCTGATTTGTCAGCCAAGGACAAAAGTCCGGCTTTTTCGGCTTTGGTCAAAAGCTTGAGCTGCTCAACTCTTGTCAGTAGCTTAACCCGTGGAGTCGATGTGCCCTGTGAAGCAGAATTTTCAATTAGCTTCAGGAAATATATATATATATATATATAAAGAGATGAAATCAAAATTTCAGTTGTGTTTTACCTTCTTTGAGGTTATTGTTCTTGTTGGAGAACGAGAAGGCTTCTTGTTTACCATGGAATGCACTGATAAAGATGAACAGATTGATTTAGCCGCCATTTTGTAATTCTCTCTCTCCTCTCTCTCTATCTCTTTCTCTGGTTTTGTCGAAGCTTTAGTTTTTTTTCTTCAGTGGAGGAATGAGATCGAGAGTGTAGATGACAAGTTTTGATATTGCTAGGATTGTGTTGTACACGTGTTCGTCCATGGATGGTTTTATTTTCTCGGGGTTTTGTTTGGATGAAATCACTCCAAATCACACCATTTTTTACCAAAAAGAGAGAGTTAGTATTAGTCAAGGTTACTTCCGTAATTTACTAAACCCTATTCCCTTCCGGTTAATAGAGATGCTTTGAAATGACCGACTAATTTTCGATCCTTAAAACCCTAGCTCATTTTTTTCTTGCTTACGATCAAAGTTCCGATTTTAGCACGCAACAATGGTGAGCAATGCTGTTTCATTCGACAAGCTGAAAGCTTTGTGGCACTCTGAGGTCCACGATGAACAAAAATGGGCCGCTAACATGGTAATTTCTCTTTTCTCTCTCTCTCTATCGGTCTATCCTTCGCTTGATTACGGATTGGTTCTGAATTGAGTATCCGAGTCGATTCTCTTGTATGTCTTCGAGATCATGGGCTTTCTCTATTCGCGATTCTCTTACAGCGATTGTGAATCTCGGTTTAGTTTTTTCTCTGCTTCGTTTTAGCCTGAATGGAATCAGTTGAGTGTAGAATTTGATTCTTTGTATGTTTCGCCAAATCAAAGTTTCCCGCTGCTTGAATCAATAGTTTGACGTAGTTATGTAAAAATAACAAAGTCAAGCATCAGAAGAACGAGAACCAAACATTTCAAGGAATCGTCTCTCAGAGAAATTAGGATTTATCAATCAGAAGTCCATTCCTTGAAATGTTTGGTTCTCGTTCTTCTGATGCTTGACTTTGTTGTTTTTACATAACTTTCTGATTGAGTCATACCATCGAAATCTGTCTCACTCTAACACGAATACTTTTGTTTTTGGCTGGTGCAGAAACTTTTGCGAGCACTTGGGGTGTTTGCAGGAGGAGTGTTCCTCATGCGTAGCTATGGTGATCTCATGGCAGTCTGAAGAAATCTGATAAAAATGGAGAAAGCCTCTCTTTAGTTTATTACACTTTCTCAATTGATGTATTTCTTCAGTGTCTCTTCTCTCACTCTCAAAAATTGATGGTCTTGTTTCTGATTCACCAATGTGATACAACTATTCAGTGACTGGGATTTTCTGATATGCTAAAGAATTTTATTTTTTCATTCACAACCAGTTTTGGTTGTCATCTTATCATCAAGATTCTGATATCTGTTTAATGATATCTTTGTTCACATTAAAATGTAAATGGAAATAAAAACTACGTCAAACTATTGATTCAACCAGGATTTATAATGTAAATTCCAAGTGAATAGAATATTCTCTCAAACGACGATAAGCTGCAAACGAAAGAAGAGTTTATCTCCAAATTGGCATACTGATAAATTATGCATATCTCTCAGTGGAATATTCTTATATTGCTGATGGGTTTGTTACGTTTTTTTCTGGCAATATCTTTTATTTGTTCTTTAGATAATCTTTTACGAGTCGTATATATACACAGTGCTCGTTATACATCGAGAGAGTTAGACAGTTGATGGTATTTGGAGGAACTCTTAAGCACAATTCAGTCATGGGTTTGAAGTGTAAGTCTCAAATCTCCATCATCATAATTAAGACAGAAAACCTTTTGAGTATTTTTGTTGTTGCTTTCATTGTTTCTGTTTTTTTTTTTTTTTTTTTTTTGTCTCTTTTGAGTAAGATTTGCCAGATTAGAATTCAAAGTTCTCACCTTTTTGGTTAAGCTCGGATTGCTTCTATGTTTAAAGATTCTAAAGTCTGATTCTTCGTTTAAGCAATCTTGATATGTTTTTTTGTCAGGTCTTCTACCATTGCTTTTACTGTCATTGTTGATTGCTGATTGTGCCTCAAGGCCATTGTATCGTCTCCCAAGTGAAGCAAAAGATGGAACCAAGAAACCGCTTCAGACTTCTCGTCCATTCAACGTTGCACACAGAGGATCAAACGGAGAGTTCCCTGAAGAAACTGCTCCTTCATATATGGTATTGGAGTTATATAAAATTTTCTACCTTTACACTAATTCGGTCCGGTTTCATCAAGATTCTTATATCTTGGATTTTTTGATTTCTTGCAGAGGGCCATTGAAGAGGGCGCAGATTTCATAGAAGCAGATATTCTATCTTCAAAAGACGGTGTTCTTATATGTCATCACGACGTTAATCTCGATGATACAACCGATGTTGCGGACCACAAGGAGTTTGCAGACCGTAAGAGAACTTATGAAGTCCAAGGGATGAACTTAACCGGCTTCTTCACTGGTAACTTTAAATACACTACAAAAAAAAAAAAAAGAGAGATTGATGAGATTAACAATGAGATTGATGAACATTCCTTGAATAGTTGATTTTACTCTCGACGAGCTGAAAACACTTGGGGCTAAGCAGAGGTATCCTTTCAGGGATCAACAGTACAATGGTAACATATTTTCTCTTCTGTATATACTTTGAAATCTTCTTATGTGCAATTGAATTATAAAAGACAATTTTGATATAATCAGGTAAATTCCCGATTATTACTTTCGACGAGTATATTTCGATAGCACTGGATGCACCTAGAGTTGTTGGGATATATCCAGAGATCAAGAACCCGGTTTTCATCAACCAGCAAGTAAGCAAATCGTAATCCAATTCCAAAAAACCATATCAAAACTTTAACTTTCAAGTCATTGATGATAACAATTGGAGAGGTTGTTGAATTGGTTTTTTTGAAAACTTCTGCAAGGTGAAATGGGCTAATGGAAAGAAATTCGAGGATAAAATTGTGGAAACTTTGGAGAAATACGGATACAAAGGCTCATATATGTCTGAAGATTGGCTAAAACAGCCAATATTTATTCAGTCTTTTGCTGCAACTTCGCTAGTTTACATTTCAAACTTGATAGACTCACCAAAAGTGTTCTTGATCGATGATGTCACTATTCTAACCCAAGACACTAATAAGGTCTTTTTACATTACTATCTTCGTTTCTTGTTTACGTTTTCTAAATCAATCAAAATTGCTTAATATCTTAAGATTAATGAGTGTGAATGCAGACATACGCGGAGATTACATCAGACGAATATTTGGATTACATCAAACCATATGTGGTTGGAATTGGTCCATGGAAAGACACAATTGTTCCTGTGAACAATAACCGTCTCATGACACCAACGGATTTGGTTGCAAGAGCGCATTCTCGTAATCTTCAGGTTTGTGGATAGGAGGACTCAAACTTAATGTCTCTAGCTAATAATCATTGATTTGTTTCTCTAAGCTTCACTTTGAATAATGTTGTTGCTACTTGCTAGGTCCATCCTTACACATACCGTAACGAGAACCAGTTTCTGCATTTCGGGTTTTATCAAGATGCGTATTTGGAGTATGATTATTGGATCAACAAGATTGGTGTTGATGGCTTGTTCACTGATTTTACTGGCAGTCTACACAATTTCCAGGAATTGAGCTCTCCTTTGCCTAAGCTTCAGTGATTCTCCAATGGAATTGGCTCTTTTTCTTTGCCTTCTTTAGCTAGTTTATTTCTTCTCTTAGAAAGTTTTGTAGAATCCTTGGAACTTTTCATTTTCTTCATTTTAATAATTAAAAAAAATGCTACTATTTTGTTCCCAAAGACACTAGTTTAGCTGGCCGTAGAAATACTTATGATACAAAGCTTGGGACTTTTAGGTTTTAGCAAAAGCTTCTACAAAACATGTTAAGGTTAGAATTACTGAGATGTCTTGTTCTTGGAAATGTCTTGGAGCAATAATCTTGTTTCAGCAGCAAAATCAATCGGAGAAACACCTTTTACAGTTATCCGCTGTCTCTTCTCGCTGTTATACTCTTGTTTAGAAACACTAACGCGGAAGAGATGAGATGACCAAGTAGCTTCTTTCAGTTTTGTCTGAAACTCATTCGCTTCACCTTCCTGGAGAAACCAAAAAAAAAAAAAACATTATACAATTTAAGAGTTAGGAATGATCTAAGTCTTCTAAATGGTTTTAGTTTTCTTACCTCTGATGATTTTAGTTTATTGAGTTCATCAGCTGTACATCCAATAATCTTTTCTGCTTCGTCGTTGAATGCAAAACACCAGGCTTCACCGGTTGAATCAGAGGCTTTCACCGCCATTATATACCTAATCAACACCATTAAGTACACAATTAAACCAGACGAGATCCAATCTCTATTCTTGAATGAAAATTTTATGAATCTCAGTATCATCTCACCTTAAACTGCACTCTTCATCCTTTTTCTGACAACCTTCACACCAATAACCAGAGTCCATTGCTTCAGTCACTTTCTTGTTACAGGTCTTGCACGCACGGTACCACATTGTCTGGTCTGGCTTGATGAAGCTTATGTAAGCTCTAGTACTGAAAAATACAGGCTGCGATACAAATACAAGACCACATAAACCAACTTTCCTTTCTCGCAGTTCTTAAATTTTGCAAGTGTTTGTTAAGTACCTTTTCCTCGCCTAAAGACGGATTGCTTGTGAAGTGAGAAAGACAGACTCTGTCCGAGTACATGGATCTTGATCCATTATTGGCAGAAGAGCTAATACCAGAGCCAATAGTAGACATAGATGTCTCTTTACCTTCAGAATCATACCAAGATTTCAACTTTGCAGCTTCTGGAGAATCAGGATTTATCACCACATTACTCCTGCTGACAGTGGACAATGACACACCTAGAAAAATCGGTTTCTATCAGCACCCAATTTGACAAAAGTGTCTATTTTCACTTAAAATAACATTTAAGATTTACCTTGAAAATCTCCAACTTTGAGAGACTTAATTGCGATAATAGGATAGTTATCAGCCATATCTAGCAGTTCTTGCCCTAAGCCAGTTGCTAGGTCGTTCCAGAGGGACACCACAACAGTTTTCTTCGTCTCATCAGCTAAAGTGATATCCCTCTTTGGGATCATCTCATTGTCATTCTTCCTCCTAATGCTCATCGTCGGAGAAACACTTTGGACAACGCCAATAACATCTGAATATGAAATAACATTCATGTGGCTAATTATAATCCTAAACCAGTATTTACAAACAAGAAGAGTACTATAGACGAACTGACTCTTACCAATAAGCTCCTTCTGATTCACGTATGCACCCAACTCATCAATAGGTACAAAGTTGAATTTTGTTTCAGGGATAAACATTTCTTCGCTCCTAGCTTCTTCAACCTCTGAATTTTCATTGAGAGTCATCTCATAATCATTCTGAACCGTCTTGAACTGCTTATTGGCAAGCTTAAGTGATCCCCTCGATATATAATAGACCTTTCCCATCTGGAATGTGTCATAAAACTTCCTTGCAGCTGCGTTAAACATCGTTGCCTGAATCTGTGTTCCCTGGATTTTCAATCGATAAAGAAAATCAATCACCACATAGAGTGTAAGACAGTAATGAGAGCTATAGAGTTTGTCAAAGCAGCCTTACTTCCTCATCAGTTAGTTCTACATTAAAGACGCATCCTTCTCCTCTAGCATTTTTGTAAGTTCTCATGACTGCTTTGTTCGTGACGCGGACTTTAATGGTCCAGCTTCCTTGGTAAGGATTTAAGGAAACAAGCGGATGAACCCTCCTGGTTATAGCCATTCTTGCAGCTGGCGCAGCACTAGAAAAACCATAGAGGTTGTTTAAGCAAAATTCATAACAACTTGAACAAAGAATGTGAATCAAAGATGTTAAAGAAAGATTTGCCTACTTTGCCCTCTGCTCATTGATTATCTGTGAAGCTGATTTCGCAACAAACTCCTGCTTCGATTTCAACATTATGCCGGTGGATGCTTTAATCTCCGCCTTAATCTCAGCGTCAAGTGGAGGAGCAACAGCCTCGCATTTTGTTACAAGCAAATATCTGAAGGAAAGAGATGGACAAGACAAAAGATTAATTATGTATTCATAACAAGGCTCTGATCATCAAAGAAGCAGAAGAGACTATTACTTTTCTTCTGATTTGCCTGGAATATCGTTGGCGGTATAATCAAGGAGACGAATCAGACCCAGATTCTGGATCTTTCCAGAGATTATATCAGATCTAAAAGTCGCAGGTAGCATTGCTTTAATCTTCATCTTTCCGTCATTAGCATTAAACCTGAGCAACAAATTGACAACATCACATATCAAGACATTTCATTGAACTAATAAATTCGATATAACGCACAAATCACGCGCCCTGAACAAAACTCTGTATTATATTCAAATCTACAGAAAATTAAGACTTGGCAAGACGCTAACAAAAACCCAGATCTCAAACAGGGAAACCCTAATCTATAACCAGAATCGGAACTCTAATTCTGAGCATATCAAAAATATATCAAGGAAACAAAAATCAGCAAATCGATCTCAAACTCGGGTGATGAATTGATAGACGACAATAATCAAAGTAAAACCGAGACCGATCCCTAAAGCAAGGTAAGAAACTTACGTATATCGATTTCCAACAGGTTTAAGATCCACGACTTGAACGACGATCTCAGGTCGAACCGAGGACGAATCAGTGGATTGATTCGACAATACCGTCGCAATACCATTTTGGGTCACTGAGTTCTCCATCTAATCTCTATTTCTCTCGAAGAAAACCTAATCTGTGTGAGAAGAATACAGGAATGATTAAGGAAGCAAAATGGTTTTGTATACGGAACGCCTTGCGCGGGATCTATTAGATATTTTGGTTGATTATTCCCGCCGGTTTTTCTTCTCTTATTTTCAAAACTTCACCGCTTCTTCTCGTCTCGCCTCCTGTTTCCTATTTTTTTGGCGCCTTCTTTTTAAAACCTCTGAAGCAGCTAGAAGGTTTCACTTCTTTTACCACAAGTGCTTGTTTGCAAAAATTTGTACTTAAAGTTTAGCTTAATTACGCAGATATACAATACAATTACTCTGGCAAATTGAGGTATATACATTGAGTTTGACAAAACAGTTTTTCTTTTGTGTTCAGCTTGTTTGGAGCTGACAAAACAAGTCTCAGAAACAATGAGAACTTGAGCTGATGCTTTTTTTTATGGATTCTTTTCTATTTCTTCCATGAGATATAGCATCTTCTGGGCATTAAACACAGCAGAAGACCCTTGTTTTGTTTTCTCAACAATTTGCTTTATCAGTTGCTGCTCCATCTCAAACTCAAACTCTCTATCTTCTTCTTCTTCGTCGTCGCTCAGACCAAGAAGATCTTGCAGCCTGAAGAAATTCACGTCCTCTGAAGTTCTTGAGGAACCCTTTATGTAATCTTTATGGCTCCAAGGTGAGCTTTTGCTTGTGAAAGACAACTCTTCTTGCCGCTCAGTCTCCTGCATCTCATATGGTAAATCGTCTTCTTCCGAATAATCGTTTATATCCATCAGTTCCTCGTATGAGTCATTGAATGCATCAAGTGCTTCCCCTGCTAAATTCATAACCAGAGGTTGGATCTCTGCAGGATGATGCTTCTTCGCTATATGAGCTACAGTAACTGGACGGTTTGAGTCTCTCTTGTGATTCATCACTTCATGGCTTTTCCAAATCCTTGACGATGGTTTCTTATTATCCTCTGATTCCATGACTAACTGCTCCAATTTCCTCTGGCTCTCTTGTAAGGCGACCTCAAGTTCTTTTATCCGTTTCTCGTAACGTGAGTTGATAACTCCGTGCAGACGCAAGCTTAACTCACGAGGTGAGACTGTATAGTTTCCTGACTCAGGTGTCGCATTTCCACTAAGTTCCTGGTTGGATTCGGTGTCATTATGCTGCCTTTCAACCCGATCATCTCTCAGCTCGCCCTGCGCAAATTCTACTTCAAAATCCGGTTCCAGCTGCAGAATTGAGAAACAGTTTACCAACTGATCAAATATCAGCTTCAAGTAATTGCTTACCGGATTTTGATATCACAAGTAAATGCAATGCTCAATTTTCATAAATGAAGAAACCTGGTTCTTTACTAACGTGGGACAACTTATAGAATGAATGAACATGATCGACTAAAATGAGACAAATGATTGAGTGAAAGCAACGCAAATAGAATAAGTAAAAGTACAGAACTCACCTCAAAGACATCTGAGAGTCTTGTCTCAATGTTGGAGGACTTCATGTTCATCTCCAGCCTTTCAAGTTCAGCTTCAAGCTCTGCTTCAATTTTACTAATAGATTCCGATTTCTCTGCTGCCTTTTCATCACACTGTTTCTCACCATTGTGTAAATCAACTTTCACTGTCAATGAGTCATTCGCCTTCAGCTCATCTTCTAAACCCTTTACCAAATTCTCTGTCTGCTTTAACTCTGCTTTGGCGTTGTTTACTTCCGTTTGGTTTGCTACAAACGATGACATTATCCCAATCGAAATCCCAACGCATAGCAGCAATGCTGCATCATTTGATCCTGAAAAAAAAAACAGAAATCCAGCTTAACATGTGAAGTCTTCTCTTTAGTCAGTATAAACAAATCTATAAAAAGGTAGCATGAAGTTTACCAATCCCACTATCAGATCTTCTACTCGCATTCCCAACTCTCCTCTTAGCATAAAGACCCGAAGATTCCAACTTCCTTAGCTGAGGAATTCCACAATTCGGGACTCGCTGGCAAATACAATCTCCTGAGTTCTTGCTAATTACTTTTGTACCATCAGTAACAACCAATGGCCTCGAAAGTGAACCACAAGGTGATGGAAACGGGCTACGCATCTCCATGAAGATTTTCTCTCTATGTGACCGAGACATTACACTGTTCTTCTCCATAGAAAAAGGTTTGATCAGACTTGTATACCGCTGCTTTCTCCTAAGAAATGCTCTGTTCCCAAAAGAATCTGAACAAATTTCCTCATTACCCGAAGCTGCTTCCACTCCATATACATTTCCACATTCGGATACATATAAATTTCCCACATTTAGGCAATCCCCAATGTTTTCTTCGTTTCGTTTCTTGGCTCTTTCCAATTTACTAGCCGAGCATCTGGGAGACTCTGGCTTCACGTTAGTCAAATCTTCAGAAGAAGACTCGGGGAAGTTTCTTTTGCCTCTTGATACATTTTGCAGATGCTTGGTTATGTATCCTGTAGCAGCAGTGGCTGCGATTAACCATAGATCCATTTTCTTCTCTCTTTGTCCTCAACAATCATGAGAGCACTTGGTTTCTCTCCAATCCAACTCCACAGACATTAGACCTCATCGAAAATATTTCCATCAAATCAAAAATCGAACGAACTCACTCCAAGCTTTAGAAACAAAGACTCAGGCTTTCGATTTTTCAGTACCAACCCGAAGAACGAAGCTAGAACTAAGCATAAAAGCTACACACATAGGTTTAATATCACAGAACAGTCCCGAAGGCGAAAAATCCAATTCAAGAGCGAGGTTTAATTCTCAACCTCAGAAACCCGAGACTGTTGCAAACGGGTCTCGGTTAATTCGATCCCGTTTGAAGGCAATGGCCAAAAACCCTAATTTACCATTTCATGCCGAAAATCGAAGTACTGAGCAATACACATCGGAGAAGCCCAGAAAAAGGCTTCGATTTTCCGTCAAAGACAAGGTGATGGGCATTGATCAAAAGAAACCGAGAATGAAAAAAAGAATTTGGAGCTTTGAGAGTACAGCAATGGATAATCTGGAGGATTAAACTTCCAAGAAAGAAAATTGTCTTCTTTGTTTCGAAAATGGCGATAGGCCGGCAAGTCAGTGAAGAAGCCTTACGAGCTGCCAAGGGTTACTACTAGAACTAGTACTTCCGATTAATAAATTATATAATAAGATAACAGATAATTCATAATGTAAGAAATAAAAATAAAAAATATGTATAACTCTCTTAGAATGATAAATAAGAATGAAAACGATGAAGAATAAATTCATTCGTCTATGCTGTATGATGGAATGAGGAGAAAAGCTTCAATTATTCACTGAAGCAAAGAAACTTAGGAGAAGTTAACACTAATGTCTCAATCAAAAGCCAAAAAAATGTGGTTGTGAGCCAAAATTAGTCATGAATTAATCTACATGAGGTGTCTAATTTTGTTGTTGGGAATGTAAGAGAAGTAAATTCGTTGGTTATTTAGTGTCGAATGATGCATCACCAAGCAAGAAACAACTACTGCAAAGAAGCCAAACAAAAATAATATGTGGTTCTTTGTTTCTTGCTTGGAGATGTATCATTCGACACTAAAGAACCAACGAAGGTTTTTTACGCGACATAAACACATGTCTGAAATGTATTGTCAACCAATCCTTGTTGCGATAGCTGAGGCACATACAAGAGAATGATCCACTGAAACAAAGATACAAGAAATAAAATGATCATATCTTTTATCATGGCTCAAGTGTTTTTTTCTCCGATAATCATGACATTAGGGCATCTATGTGATGCGACGAAGACACTATGACATATTCGCAAAAATTGATTCAGATGTCGTTAGTTTACGCAATAAATTACAAAAAAAAAAAAGTCAATGAACAACAGTATATATATGGCGTATTGAAATCACCATAGCATATACAAGTTTGACCAGAACAGGATGTAACAAATATATTGACCAGCTCTACGCCAATCATAGGTTTATATAACAAGTGTGCCAAGAAAAAAAGGGTTCATAAGTGAATTAAGTAAATGGCAGCGGATCGACACATGTCTTAGACCAGGTCCAATAATGGTCCGTTGGACGGATTTGGCTCAAGTTCACAGACGAAATAGATTTAAAAAAAAAGAAAAAAGGCTCAAAGTCGATGGATCGGTCCGTCCAGAAGAGGTTGATGAACCCGCATCCCAGACATGTGGCGAAGCGTGAGAGGAGGAATTTTCGCGTCAATTTTGGGGAAGGAACAAAATTTTTGCCCAAAAATTCATCAGTTTTTTTTATAGTTTGTAATATATTGTATTCTTTTTTTAAATAAGTGATGTTTTATTTTATTTATAAAAAAATTCCAAAAAAAATAATTATTAATATAATATTACGGATGAATCCCATAAACGAATTTACTATTGGAACTTCAACCATAAACTAAATTTATTACAAAAACGAAAAAAAAAATTATATATTATTTTAATCAGATGAACCCCATAATAGGATTCTTACATTTATGGCATGTGTCATTAGCATTAAACTATGCAGTAAATTATGAAACAAGTAATGGATTGTTTTTTAGACGAGATTCAAAGAACTACTTATTGACAGCATACAAATTATGTGTACATAATTGCTGGGTTAATAAAAACTAAAAATGCATTAATTAAGCAAAAAATTATTAAATCATTTTAGATATTTATTTTAACATTAACTAAAAATGTATTAAAATGTTACTTAGCCAAAAAAAAAGTTAAACTGTTATATATATATATAGAGAGAAAAATATGGAAGGTTATTAAGCTCTTATATATAAAATTTTTAAATCTAAATAAGAAGTTAGTTTATCTTTTTTTAGAGAAAAAAATTGTGATTGCAAAATCCATTATTACTATAAAATTATCGCAAAACTGCCAACTAAACTTTTTAAGTACATTATAATAGATCTAATCAACCTATCATATTTTCAGCCGTATGCATTTTTCATTAAATCTCATCATTCAAATTATAAAACCCGCAAAATGTAATTGCGCCGGAATTTTTCATGACAAAATAAATCAGCATTTTGATGAGCAATGTAAAACCAGCATTCAAGAGTAAATCAACATTTTCTGCAATATCATTATGGGAGCTCACAAAAGAAATGTTGAACCAGATACAAATTTCGAGTTTAACCAACCAAAAAATACAAAATTTGAGTATATTTTAAACATTTAAATATGATAAGAATAAAACAAGAAAACCAACTCAATTACTCAAAAGAGTGAGTTCCAAGTGGGACGCAGAGTAAGAAAGAAAGAATGTCAATGAGAGGACTGTCACAAGACAATGAAGCCCAACCTTAATAAGCCGGTAAGTAACTTGAAACCCAAGGAAAATGAAACTCTAAGAACCCTAAATACTGAAACAAAGAAGCTCAGGAGAAGTTAACAATGTCTCAATCAATCCGACGAAATACACAAGGGTATGAGCTTTGAGGTCCTTAACGACGGTTAATATCTTCAATATCCTCTACTAACAAAAAAAAAATAAAAATTACAATATGGAACACAGGCACAAGATCATAACCAGATTGAACCAAATTTTGTGATTTTACCCGGAAACCGAGGAGTCCGTGGTTTTCTCTTTGGAGAAGGAAAAGCCAGAAACTGCGGTTTGCGTTTCTTTCTTGGTGATACATCATTCGACATCAAATAATCGGTTGCTAAATCCTTGATATCGTTGTCAACAAGATTCGATATGTGTAATGCACGACTTGGGGATCTGCACACTTGACATAGCCACATGTCTGGGACAGATCGTAAAGAGATCTTTGCGCAATAACTGAATTTACATAAGCGAACGATCCGTTGAAAAAAATGGAACCAGAATATTACATATCTTTTTATGTATAAAAGTTTACTCTACACAAATACAAGAAATGAGAGTTATCTTACGTACATATGCTCTCTGACTTCTCTGCAATTGAAACAAGTCATTATAAATTTCTCAACGCCGATATCCCCACATATGTGACAAGGCTCCTAGGTAACAAGATTGAATAAAATCAGCAGATCACAAACCAATCAATTAATTTTAATATAGAAAAGATGATGATCAAGAATTATCTGACCAGCAAAAACCTTTAGAATCTCGTGAATCAATGATTAAAACAAGAAAAAAATGATATGATGAGCTAATCAAATATGATTCTTCTTTACTAAAACAATAAAACAGTTCCAGATTCTTCTAGGCAGAGATCTTTGGTGAAACAATCAAACAGTTCCAAATGCTAATTAATGGATTCTTAAAGACGATCAGAGGAGAAATCATTTAGAGAAGACCTAACGATAGTTTCTTGTGTGTGTTTTTTCTTATAATTCCCTTTTACCGCAAGACTTAATTTTGTCCCAGTTCTCGAATCTTGGAGATAAAAGAAATCAGATCTTACTGATGGATTATTGTCTCTGCTCTTCATCGATTCTTTACATAAAAAAAAGGATCTTCAAATGGCGTCGAAAAGAAATTTAGATATTAGAAGAGCGGAAAAAGGAGAAGAAGGAGATCGTCTTCTTGAAGCAGTTTTCTCCCCAAGTCCAACTCTCGTATATAAAATAAAATCCTCTTCCGATTCTTTAGATTTTCCACAGAGGGGACACTCTAAACGACCAAGAGTGTTCTGTTCCACCAAGTACTCCACAAACCAAACCGTACTAAACCAGACAAGCTCGAATTAAACCAATATAGTTTAGTATATAAACGGGTTTTCAATTACTTAAAACCGAATTACAACCAAAACCAAAATAATAAAGTTTCATACTTAAATTTAATTTGTTGCTAAAGATCAAAGATATTGAACCGAAACCGAATTCGTACCAAGGCGATTTGGTTTTACATTGTTAATTGTTTTCCTACAAACCGAAAAATTAAAAAGCATGAACCGAAATCCGAATTGAACTAGAAGTACATAACTTTTGGCTTTAAAACAGTAAACTAGGGAAAGACATCCATCATCTTCAGAGCATCATCATCAAGACAGAAGACAAGAAGAGGAAGAAGGTGTTGGACTTAAGGAGCGCAAAACCGCTGTTTTCGGTTGAGTAATCCGGGTTAAACCCGGTTCCGGTAGCATCAGTGACATTGCCTCCTAATAATCCGGTGGTTGGTGTGCCAGTGTATGGACTGTTTCCGCCAGGAAATGTGGTGATAGTGTTGCTTCCTTTTGGACTGCTTTTGCCTGGCGTCACGGTGGTGCTGCTTCCTCCAGAGCCACTGTTTAATCAAAAATCTTTAACTGTTAGGCCTCGATTCTTTTGTTTGCATTTACATTTCATATGCATTTTTTTTTTCTATTCAAGCGAACACACATCGGTTACGATTTGAAACAAAAATTAATTTTAAATTGTTATGCAAATGCATACAGAAGGCTATTTAGCGTTTGAAACACTAATTTAGTACTAAATTAGTAAACTTGTTATTGTTTATCTTCATCATTAATGCGGTTTTGAAAGAGGGAAAATTATTAAAAAGTGCCTCAAATAAAGGTGAGTTGACCATATTTAAGCAACACAATAAAATTCCTGCAAAGAGACACAAGTCAAAACACTAAGTATGGGTCAAAAATTTATAATCACCCTAGAAACTTTATAAGCAATTGAATTGATTATGGATGTGATCTAAAGCTAGGTTACCTTAAAAGAATACAAAAAGTAACTGTGCACTTTTTGACCCTGATCAACCAGTGCGTTTACTTTTTCTCTTTGCAAAAAATAAGAATTATAATTTAATCCAACTTCAAAGCGTAGTAGTAAACACAGGAGATATAATTTGTTTGGCTCTTCTTCAATTTCTAGATAAAGTCAGCAAGAGAATATATATGTAGAAAGCAAGGAACCTTACCTTGCACTAGAAGGGAATGGACACCCTGAATAACCTGTGACAAAAAAGTTCACACACGAAAAATTGTCAAGAAAGAAACGATCTTAATCTACTGTAATCAAATCAAACCTTCAGACTTTACTAAAATCTAGTCTCTACTTGATTCTTTCGTATACTCTCTAATTTTTAATATTAATGAGTAACCAAAAAAGACCTTTAACGTTCTTTGACTAAAAAAATATAAAAAGTATCAGATCTCGAGAACTTACTGGGATCAGTGGTGGTAGGAGTTGCAGTACCAGTGAAATTACAAGACTCAGAAGCCTGACCTTTCTTTTGAAAGAAGCTATTGACAGCATAGTTACAGTGAGCCCTAACATTGTCAGGGTTGAAGCAAGAACCCTTTGGGTGAGTTGGGTTACAGTCCGCTCCATTCCCACAAGCATAGTCTAGTGTCTTTTGTAGCACTGAGTCACTCAGTCCTGTTTTGCACACACACCATGTGGCACCTACCAAAAGAAAACTGTAAGTGAAGCCAAGAAGATTTTAGAAAATCTTGTTTTGAGGGGTTTCAAACTTTGCTAGTCACCAACAAGATTTGCAAAAGAGAGTCAAGTAAGATAGTTTCTTCGTCAGGCAAGATTTCTGGCAAATGTGATATGAGTTCAAGGACATTACCGACTTTTAGGATAAGTTCTAATATTAGTTTTAAACTGGAGAGCCAGAAAGAACATGAAAGCTAAGAGGGAGAGAGAAAGAGAGAGACCAATTATATAAACAAGAGGACAGTGATGAGCTAGGAACCGAAAGGGTTTGATTGAAATTGAGTTCCCATCAATAGACACATTTAAAAATAAGAGATAAGGGATGTAAGTGAAGAGCGAGAGTAATTCTTACTACAATGGCCAGCCATGAGGAGACTCAGAAGATAGAGAACCAGAGCAGCCATGGATGGAGTTCAGAAACACAAATGTCAAAGAGAGATAGATAGATGGAAAAAGGGAAAGATAGAGAGATATTTTCTATTCTGATATTGTAGAGAGGAAGAAGAAAAGAGAGAGAGAGTGAGAGAGAGTGATGCAAGCAGACACAAGTGTGTACTGTATTGAGATTGAGAGTGACTACTTTGTTCCGTGACTCTTGTTTTCTTCTCTAGCCCTTCTTGAGTCAGCTTTTTCATTATTGTAGCTCTCTGTGTGAACTTGTAAGTACATATTTTTGAAATTTAAAATTATAACAAACCTTTATGATCTCTACTAAAACAAAAAGGAATGGGAATCAATGAGAAATTTCGACAAAAAAAATAAAATAATAATAAGTAAAGAGATATAGCCAACTGTACAGTATATACATGAATATACATATTTGTAGACCTTTAGAGCAACGGTCTTCATTATTTAATAACAAAGGGAGACAACAATTACTATTTATAATTTTCAATTGTCTACAAAAACTTACTATTTATAACTTATTGGAAAATGCCAAAGTGAATGTGTCATGTAACATGTGTTGCAGAATTGCAGGCTGTGGTGGTGTTCCACCTTAAATATTAAAGATGGAAAAGTCTGATTTTGCTTGCAGAAAAAATGTAGAGGCTTAAATGCATACGGTATTGTAAGGAAAAGGTTTTTATTACACTCTTAATACAACATGCTGTACAGTAAAAAATGAAAAATACACACGATCAAAATGACAAATTATCATATTATATGGACGAAACGTCGTCGTATGGAAAATACAGCAATCACGGGTCGGGTCTGCGGATTGGGTTTCGAGAGCCATCGTCTTCTTCCTCGGAATCGGATCGACGACGCAGACAACATCGCCTTATCTAGGGTATACAACAAATCACAACCTTTTAATCTACAAAATTTGGTGCTACACCTTCTTATATTAAGCTTACTCCGGACCAAATTACGCCATTTGAAACTTTATTTTATGGCAAGCTTTTAACTTTCCATTTTAACAAAAAAAAAAAAGAAAAAAACATTTTAACTTCCTCTGTGCAAGACCTACATTGTCCGGCAAGCAAACTTGAATTTAACCCGACCCGAGTCCGTAAATACCCGGGGCCAACCTTGGCTTAGGATGCACCACTAAAGGAACCGCTCTTTGCAGAGTAATCCCATAAGCCTCCTCCATATTCAGCTTCTCCGGAGTAATTCCTCCGGCCAATTCCCAATCGAATCCGTGAACCAGCGTCGCCGTCAGTAACTGAATCGTCCGTAACCCTAAACTCAGACCGGCACAAATCCTCCTCCCGGCTCCGAACGGTATAAGCTCGAAATCGCTTCCTTTCACATCGACGCCGAATTTTTCTCCACCGGGTAAAAATCTCTCGGGTCGAAACGATAACGGGTCGGACCATTGATCCGGGTCACGGGCTATGGCCCATATATTTGTCAAAAGAGTCGATCCTTTCGGGATATGATAGCCGTTGATCTCACAGCTCTCTGATGCGATGTGTGGTAACGAGAGTGGTGTTGGTGGATGCAGCCTGAAATTCTCTTTGACAACCGCCTGTTTAAAACCAAAACCGGTTTCAACAAGATTAGCTCTATTGATCATTAACCAAACCATTTCGAATTCCCGGTTTGATTGAACGGTACCTGAAGGTAAGGAAGCTGAGAAAGGTCCGACTCGTTAATGGGCCTCTCACGCCCCACAACGGTATCAAGTTCTTCTTGGGCACGGGTCATTATATCCGGGTGTCGGATCAGCTCAGCTATGGCCCAGTCGACAGTACTTGCTGACGTGTCAGTTCCAGCCGAAAACATGTTCTGTATTTAAGGAAACAAAAAGATCAAATAAAATGTTTCGCCACTACATGAACGATATTAAGAAATTAATAAATACGAACCAATAGCAAGGCTTTAATTTCGATATCCGTTAGGCTTCCTCCGTCACCGTCAAAATCAGTTCCTTTAAGCGAGATTAAAGTGCTAAGCATATCTGTGTGCTTTTGATCTTGACCGTTCATCATCTCGTGCTCTTCCAAAATCGACGATAGAAAAGCGTCGAATCTCTTGTGTAGCCGTTTCATTTTACCAGCGACGCCTTGTAAATCTAAACAATCAAGTGCCGGCACGAAATCTCCGATGTTGAATACTCCGGCGAGAGACATCATCTCCGTCACCATCGATCGAAACTCCTCAGCTTTGTGATCGGCTCCGGCACCGAACAATCGCCGTCCGATCATCTCTCTTCCAAGCGCGTTGATTACACACATGTTCACCAACTGGCCTAAGTTCACGGGCTTCGTGCCAGCACGCGATAGCTCGCGCATGAGCGTTCCAACCTCTTCCTGGTAAAATTCAGTTTTACTTCTTTAAACACAATTATAAATCTTTTTTGTCCTTCAACATAGTTATCACTGAAATGAAATCAATCTAAAACTCGTATCAAGAGTTATAAAATATATTATATCATATATTTTTTGTTAGTTACACCTTGTGCAGTTATTAGTTATTAGTTTATAGATTTTAATTGATCTAGATCCAAATATAATTGGACACTTTTAAAAAAATATGATTGGAAATAACCACTAAGTTAAAAATATTCAAGTGGAACTAAAATAACATGGTTTAATTCATATTTTAGTTTTTTATTTTATTTTTAGCTGAAAAGCAGTTTCAAATATGTTAAAATCCAATAAGAAATAAAATTACTATTAAAATTCTATCAAAATTATTAAAACGAACAGAACATGATTTTAACACACTACCATCGTGTATTTTACTCAGCATATTTTAGAACGAAATGCAGAAGAAAAACAAAAATTTCCCATAATAAGCCCCACATATTCTAAATTTGGAAAACTTGTGATACACCTTATTTAAGAAAAAATGTGGTCCATACATGATTTACTAAAGTAAGTTTTCCTTGCAGTTTATAAATTTTCAAGTTTACATGGATGTCATCAGAGTTACATCGTACAATACATATACGTCAATGACACTATTGCACAGTTGCACTTATGCCTATTTTTCCCGTATATAATATATGCGTACTTACTCGTTTTTTTTTCTTTGTTTTTGCTAAACATTGATTTTATATGCATACTTTAATACTTATTCGTTTACATTGATTTTATTAAAATCAAATCAAAAAGAAACTTTATACTTCTCTACGAAGATTTTTTCTTAAATACCAAAGTTAGTACCATAGTTATTTATAATTATATAAATAAATTTACTATAAATATAGAAATTAACGACATGATTAAAAATCCACAGGTGAGCTAGAGCGTTAGGAAATGAGAATAACGTTTATAACTAATTTTACCTGTCGAACATGTTTGAAATCTTCAAGGGCTTTAGCAGAAAATAGATGAACAGAACTAATCTTCCTCAACATTCTCCATCGTTGTCCGTAAGGCGCAAAGACAAGATCTTGATAGTTATACGCCATGTGTTTGGCTCCGGAGTTAGGTGGTCGGCTAGCGAAATTGGCATCGTGGATTTTCAAGAACTGTTCGGCCACGGATTTAGAGGCAGCGACCACGACGTCGGCGAACCCTAAGCGCAGGTAGAGGATTGGGCCGTATGTGGTTACCATGGCGGCTAGGGTTTGATGGGGTTTATGTCCCATGTGAGGGAGGTTTCCGATGATGGGCCATGGGTTTGGGCCTGGTGGGAGACGGTGGTTGCGGCGGAGAGAGAAGAGGAGGACAAGGAGAAAGATGAAAGTAGCGAGAAGGATTGTGATGAATAGAGTGGTCATAGTGTTGGGTTTGAATGGTAAGTGAGAAATGAGGAATAACAAACATAAGCTATAAATAAAGGGTTTTTTTTTTTTTTCTCAGTTCCATGCATGTCTCGGTAGTCGGTTAGGTATAAATTGGTTTTTAAAAAATAGTTCTAAGACTAGTAATTCGTCTCATATATATGTATATAAAGGTGCTTTTTTTCTAAGACTAGTAATTGGTTTGAATGAATGGTAATTGAGAAATGAGAAATAACAAACATAAGCTATAAATAAAGGTGCTTTTTTTTTCTCAAATCTATGCATGTCTCGGTTAGGTATAATTTGGTTTTAGAAAAATATTTACTGATCAAAGACTACTAATTCTCATATACAGTAATATCTGGTTTAATAATTTGGTTTTAGAAAAATATATCTATATATATAAAGATAGCTTTTCTCTCTTCTGGTGCTGCCACCTCAACAGCCACCTCAGCAGCCATCTATGCAATTATTTTTTTAAAAAACTTTTAGTTTGTCCGGTTTCTTCAGTTACGGCAAATGATGAGACACTTTAAATAAATCAAATATCACACTACCAGAAACTAAAATTAAACAAACCATATGAACGACAACAATCACGGAATCACCATCAAAAGAGAATTGCATAAACAGATTTTTCGACAGAAGTAATATTTTCCAGAAAAAAACTCAGCTCAGCTTAACCATAAACGCTGGACTTTTCTACCAATCCCAAAAAGGATCCATGAAATCCACGCCAAATTGGAGTCACCAACGGCACACCCAAAAAACCCATTCCAAAGCTGAGAAACTGATCAGCTCCCCAATATGATGACGAATAGAGGTATATCTAAGAAATCATGGGAAGGGGTTAGACCGGCACCGATTCTGGAAAAAAGCACTGCAAGAGTGGACAATACCGAAATAAACGTCACTGAATCACCCAAGGAAGAAAGAGAAGGAGGATGAAAAAAATGACTCAATTAGAGACCAAAGGAATGGGTATGAACAAAAGGTTGGTCCGACCAAAATTTCAATCACCCTCTTTCAATTGAAGCACCCTCTATCAACAATAGAAGAGTTTTGCCAACATTTGAGAGAGCTATCGATTAATACCTACAATTATGAAGGGCTAGAAACGGACACAGCTTTGTATAATCAAAATGAGATTTCATAAACATCGAACGAACAAATAAATATAGCTGGAAAATGAGCCAATATAAAATAATAAAAAAATTACAGACTAAAAAAAAACTTTCATACTAACCATCCAAACCCGATTTCAATATAGACATTTTGTAATTCTTTTGACTCAAGGTTTTATACAAAATATACTAACGGAGAAAGTGCTTTCACAATTACAAATTAAAAAAACGAAAAAAACAAATACTTCATAAACAAAAATAAATTAACAAGAATAAATATAGCACTTCCATAACATTAACCAAAAAATTATTAAAAAAAAACATCCGAATAACACCTTTTATAAGAGACATAAGTCTCCCATATATAAAACTATAAAAAAGGAAAAAACATGTGTATAATATAATAGAGAAGAATCGTAATATAAAAACAATGGTAAACGTCTGCGCGTAGCGCGGATCACACACTAGTATATATATATATGGAACAGTTTTTGGTTCGAAGCAGGGTTTTTAACTTCTAGGCTTCTAGTTCAGGCTAATTAAATATGTTTCGAATAATCAAAACTAGATACCCAAAGTTACTGATTTTAGTTTTTAATTCAGATAGAATTGGTTAGTCTTGATTAGCAAGGTATATATATCTTATTTATATATATGCATATGTATTGTATATATATACAATTACATAAGCATACACGTACATATGTACACATTAACACATATGACGTGAGCAAAAACTTCTTTCAGTGTTTTGTTTTATATGAAAAGAAGGTTGTTTTTTTTGTAACAAAAACCACAAAATTTGGTCATTTATCCCTGAAAAGAAGGTTGTTTCTTCTTAGATACAAGTCTATGCAGATAGTAGTACTAAAACCTTTATATATGTATTTTTTTAATTTCATGCGTAGTTGGGATAAATGACCAAATTTTGTGGGTATGCAACATATCATGTTAAATATTTATACTGGAAGAGATTAAACACCATATTAGCGGTGATCCCTCATCCCGTAATCCTGTTTCATCTAAAAAAGTGCAGACTTGTTTTTTTTGGTAAAATAAAAATCCTCCAATAGGTACAATGCAGAGACCTTATTAATAAAGAAGCAAATTATAAGCGGAAATCGAACCAAACTTCTCTAAATTTACGTACGTCTTAAAATCTAGGTTATCATCTAACCACCAAGCCTTCATATTATTGGCCTATTCAGCTAGGAAAATACTTAATTATATTGAAAAAAACGTAATATTAACTTATAAAAAAAAATAGTTACACAATCGAAATATATACGTTGAAAGAAAAAAGCTAATACTATCTAAATATTGAAGATCACACCATCAAAGCCAAGAAATGATTGTTCTTCTTTATCTAGATAATCCATTTACGTGGCTTACGAGTTACGGTTATAATAAAGTAATACCTTTATTTGTTATAGGGTAATATTACACAGATTATTGTACTCTTTTTTTCTTTCATCTCACACAAAAGGAACGGGGTCGAACCCCTGTGACATAGAGACAAAGTACCAATGTACTAAGACTATATACTGGCCCACGTAAATGGATCCCCACCACGACCTCAAAATTAAAAAACATACGAATATGCAGAGATAATTTATCATTGCATTTATTTATGTAGAAAAAGTTGGACGTGGCTCGAATGGTAGGTGAGCTTTCTGGTTCGTAAGATTTGATTGATAAACTCTGAAAGGTAGCTAAATATCTCCTAGAGTCGTTTGTAAAACGTAAGCTGAAAATACAAATAAGAACACTTTTTTTTTTGTTAAGAAAACCACTAATATATATAAGTTAGAACATATCAATTATAAATACTGTATATACTAAATTATACTCCTGGCCTAATATTTGACCATGGGCTCGATTAAAAATAGTATATTCCCTTACGAAAAGGGGCGTGGGCGATACTTTCCGAAAACTACAGTCTACTGATTTGTTTTTTTTTTCTTTTTTTTTTGGGTGAAATTTCAAATTAAATAATCAACAAAATGCTCATGCGTTACATGAGCGCGTGTAAAGTAACAATTGCTGGGATTCTATACTGATATTTTACTCTCGTTATAATTGGCAAAGTAATTAGATTAAATATATATAGATTACATCGTACACGAACCCTTGTTATTGATATAGAGATTTCTAATTTTTTACTTTACCTTTGAGTCAAACTATTTTTTTTTTCCTGAAGTAGCTATACGTATGGTTTTGGCCTTTTGGGAATATACAGAAACAAATAAGAATGAGAAAACTAAGCAAAACTAATAAATGTGTGACATTATATATGAGTTGGTTAAACGTAATATTCATTTACGAAATTGACACTAAAAATATAGTCCTAAAACACATTTTCTTCGTATTTAGAACAAATATTTTTTTTTCGTTAATCCTAAGACACTCTAACCGACACGTTAACAATTTATTTTTGTTTTTTTTATGATACATAAACGGTAACACGTTAAAGTGTACATAAACTTTTTTCAGTGTTATTTTTTTATTTTTATGTTTGATGTCATTTATGTCATGAATGCAGGGTATGAACTGAGAAGATCCCTTAAGTACGGACGTTCCTAACCACAAGATTTCAACAAGATTCAACGAAATTAGAGATGATAAATAAGTGAGTTAATTATTACAGTATACTTATAATCCTTTAGAACGCAAAAGTCACTTCTGTGCTTAGTGATTTTGAATACTAGCTAATCATTCGGAAATTAAGTCTGGACCGTATATTGATGTTTTAACAAAAACAAACTCTAGACCATATATTACTCGTCTATCGTGGTAGCTGGGGAGTACTCGTACGTGAATGGTAGGTAAGTTATGTGGTTCATAATGTTGGGTGATGATATATGTTATGGCCACTAGCTAGGAGATCAATTTTCGTTAGTAGTTCAGAATTCTTCTCTTTATAGCACTTCCTTTATTTATTTTGTCTTTAGGAGTTTTGTTTTTTCCTTGAGATGGGGGCTCGAGGTTTTCATGAGAATTAATTTACTACATCATGCAATGTGTTCATAATCAACCAACCTAGCATATTCGTTATATCAATCAAATAAGTTCAATTTATATTTTATAACATTGCTTAGATCAAAATATTTCCCATATTTACTTTTTTTCTTTAAATTATTAAACAAATATATATATATATGTATGTAAATTCAACAATATTTTTGTGCATACGGTACGTTTTTGCCTCCTTGCATTGGTGTCCGTTTGACAGAACATTTTAGTATTATTTTTTAATTGCCATTTGCCAAACGCAACCGCAGAATTCGCGTCGCTGTTCCAAATCCCAAGCAAGTGACGGAGACGGATGATTTTTTTGGGTTAATCCCAAGGCCACGTTCCTGGAATATAGACCGCATTTGATTTCCTAAAGAACTCTTTGACAATATTTTTATTTTTTGTGCAACGAAAACAGAACAAAAAAGGTACTCCCTTCACATTTAACAAACCCACAAAAACAATAAATATGCATATCAATTCGTAGTCAATTAAACTCTTTAAGAAATAGTAACTATATTTCTTTTTGGTCCCAACAAAAACAACTACTACTACGTACTCGACTACAGAGAAAGATCTATTTATGACCATCACACTACGAGTATGGACCCTAGGCATGGAAATATCTGTTTCTCCTTTTGTTTTGATCGATCCGGCTCGGCTTGGTTATTATATGGATTCCAGAAATTTATTTTTTGGGGAAAAAAATGCTTAACGAGATTTTATTTCAATTCAATTTAAAATTTTAAGTTTTGTTCGGTTTGGACGCTGCTTCAGTTCTAATTAAACAATATTAGATACTAATAATTAAGCAATTTTAATTAGTATCATATAGGCCAAGTTTTGGCAACAATTTTTATGATGTGGGCAACTTTTCTAACCGTCTTGGCCATCGTACCTTATATGGTTTGTTAAAGCACTTACAGTTCAATGCATGGCGGCAATCGTTGTTAAATTTTCTTGATTGATTTCAGTGTCAGGTTCAATTATGTCCATTTTAGTTTATCTTCCTATGCCTAGAGTTATAATTTTTAACTTAATTTCCATACTAGGCCATATATTACGGCTAAAAACAATTTAACAAATTATTTCATACATTAAAAAGAGATTACAAGTATGAAACAATAAACAATTTGTTATATAATTATACCATACATGTTAAAAATTATATTAATGCTTTGAATAGTTATATTATATATTTGATATAAACGAATTATATATATATATAATATATATATATTATATATATAAGCTGATTTTCAAATTAAAAAATAGATTATAGAAAGATTTATCTTTATTGTAAAATGCTAAGAGTATATAAAATTGAAATAAATAAAGAACAATACTCTCTCTGTTCAGAATTATTTGATGTTTTAGAATGTTTTTTTTTTAGAATTATTTGATGTTCTCACTTTTCAATGCAAAATTTAATGAATTTTTATAGTTTTTGACCTTTTATATTCTGCAGATTGTATTCTTATTGGCTGAATGATATTTAAATGAATTATAAATAATATTTTTAATATAGAAAAAATAAAAATTAAATGAATCCTTAAACTGTGTGCAAAAACCTTAAACATCAAATAATTCTGAACAGAGAGAGTATATATTAAAAAAAAGAACATTCGGTTTATTAGTGTTCCAAGAAAGACCTTTTTTTCCCATTAACTATCCAAAACTGTTTTATTTCAAAAAAAAAAACTATTCAAAACTGTTTGTTAATAATGGCAATAAATTATCGAAAATGTCAAAACGTTCAATTACATAATTCACGAAACGGTTCATAAAGTGTGCTTTATTTTTTGATTTAATTAAGCGGCAACGCATCACACGGTGCCGTTTTAACGTTTACTATAATGGTCCGCCATAACTGGCACACACTACAACAACTCAAGTCTAACCTTCTGTCTGCAAAAGAGTGTTTGATAACACGAGCCAACTGCTTTGGACCCGAGCCTCGGATTTGCTCCTGCGTCCGCCGTTGAAAAATTTCCTACTGCTTTCGATCACTTATCTCTCTCTCCCTCTCTCCTGGTATTGTTAATTCTTGGATTCGAAAACCCTAACGTATTCTTAGATATTGAGGTCGGAGAAGAAAGTTTTTTTCAGGGCTTCAATTTGCTGTAGACGTGCCAGAAGTGTGTAAGTTTACCATCTCTCTCTCGTTGTGGAAACCCTAATTCTGCTTAGTATGAGAAAAATGATATAGAACCAATTTTTGGAGCGCGTCGGTAGGATTAAAGTCTGGGAGGCTCTCGTTTGAGGTTAAATTCTCGGTTATGGTTATGTTCATGCTAAGCAGAGCTTCGATTTGGTGTGAAATTGTATTGCGGCAGTTTTGATCTCGAGTGGGCTCGCGAGATTTCCTAGAAATCCTTTAGATTTTCAACATTAGCTTAATTTATAGCGGTATAAAGGGTCTATGGCGATGAAATGCGACTTCTGCTGGCTTTTGTCTTAAGATCTTGATGACAGTTACTGAAAATGAGCTCTTGAGTTTACTGGATTAGGAGCACATTGAGTGTGTCATAGTTTCAGATGTTGATTGGAGCTTAAAGGTTCGGCTTACTGGTCCTTAGACGCCGGTGTGCGGGTTTCTATCTAAGGAAGCAATGTTGACTCAGGTTTCGTTGTAACCTGAGGACGTCGCATCAATCTTCGAGTTTAAAGTCTCGCTTCCATTTGACGCGCTTTTGTTTCCTGTTTGCAGAAACAACAATTGTTTTAGATCAATGGGGATGCAATCTTGAACTCTTTTCTGTTTCTTTTCGGGGCCCAGATATTTAAAAATTATTCATAGGAGCTGAAGCTATGCCTGGAAACGAATTTGGAGAGAGGATCCACAATTTCTTTGGACAGGACGGCCTATCTCAAGACCAGCATCAGTCTCAGGTTGTTGACGGAAGCTGGTCCAGTTTTAGTAATGGTTTAGTTGGAAACCAGAGGCAGATAGACCCATCCCTTATCACCAATCTGAAGAGTTATAGCACACAACAATCTGGTATGGATTTTATTTTTTTATAGTGGGGAATTCAGCAGCTTTTGCTCTATATGTATGTTTCATTCATAGCTTTTATCTGATTAAATTGGATGTTGCTCTAGTTTTAAACGTAGCTTTCTTGCTTACTCCAGGCGATCCTGAGAGAGGGCAATCTTCAAATTCAAAGCATCAGCAGCCTATAAGGCCGGAGTACTCAAGAAGTTCTTTGCAACAGAACCCCACAAATGGTTACATGCATGGGCAGGGAATGCCAAATGAGGCAAATTTTTTGGGAATGGATGCGGGATCTAGTAGGGATAAATTATCAGCGAGAGAATTCACTCCAGACCTTCATAAAAGCCCTATGAGGTTTGAGATGGGACAATCTCCGGTTAATTATGATTTCTTTGGTGGTCAACAACAATTAAACAGCCAGCTCCCTGGCATCCTCCAGCCTTTTCCAAGGCAGCAGATGACGTTCAATGATATGCAACTACTAAAGCAGCAAGTTATGGTCAAGCAAATGCATGAGTATCAAATGCAACAACAGCTGCAAAAGCAACAGCTAGAGGCCCGGCAGCTCAGTTCTTTGAATTCAAATGCTGTTAGTGGAAGTCGCTCAAGTGATAATCAATCACATCCTTTGATTAATGGGATCCCTCTCCAGGATGGGTCTAATAATTGTTGGCAGCCTGACCTTATGACAGGAAATACAAACTGGATGCATCTCGGTATTTCGCCAGTTGTTCAAGGTTCATCAAGTGGGCTCATGATTACCCCTGAGCACGGGCAGGCGAACTTATTGGCACAACAATTTGAACCTTCCTTATACGGTATGCCTCTTGGTGGGGCAAATGTACCTCAGCATGCTTTTTCTTCCGTTCAGATGAACAGATTACCTGCGCAAGATGGATCCTCTCTCACCAATCAGCCAAATTCATTTGTGAATCAAGGTGATGTACAGGATAGTCATATGCTCCCTAGATCCACGTACCAGGAGAAACTGTTGTTCTCCCAAACATCAGTTCCAGGCTCAAATAATAGGCCCAATTTTGAAAGTTTCCAGCAAGATGATTCCCGCAAGAGGAACATTTCAGTGCAGGAGAAATTTGGTCATATGGAGGGTTCTGGTCCATCAGAAAAGTCATATTTTAAAGTGCCTGAAAATACAACTGCGTTGCAGAAGTCGACTACATTAGATCCAACAGAAGAAAAGATTTTGTTTGGTTCGGATGACCATTTGTGGGAGGCGTTTGGAAACAGCACTGATATGAGCTTGACAGGAAATCTTATGTCCAGCAATTCTGACCTTTATGATGCATGCCCCTCTTTGCAAAGTGGGAGTTGGAGTGCTCTTATGCAATCTGCGGTAGCAGAAACTTCCAGCGATGACGCAGGCGTACATGAATGGGGTAGTAAACAACAATCTGGATGGGCTAACAACAATACTGCCCCACATGCAAATTCTCATATCGGTAATAAGGCCCAGGAGTCGGGTGTCGAGGTTTCAAATACACTAAGTGAGAGAGTCCACAGTGATTCCACTCAGACAGCTGTTCAACATTTGCACAACAGAGGACATAAAGGTTCAGATCATGACCTGTTGGAGAAGGCGATGGCTCAACGCAGTCAAATGGCTGGAAATATGTTTCATTCTTCAAGTTCTGGTATTGATGGGTATTCGAGTTCTATTCGAACGAGTGAGGGCATTGAAGATAGACTTGGTATATGGAAAGTTGCTTCTAATCCAAATCGAGCTGCTCTGAAGGAACAGAATAATCATTTCACACAAAATCTACCAATGCAAAGGGCAAGCTATGGATTTGGCATTACTGGTGCAGAAAATGTTTCTAACGTTTCTAGGGATGTCAAGGAAAATATCCAACAGCGTTTGAATAATAACTCCGTGGAGAAGGCTATCCCTCAACTGAAATCTAGAGACGGCAGTCAGATTCTTGAGTCATATGCGAGTAATAATGCTGGATCAAATGGAATGGTAAACGCTCGTGATATGTCTATGTTACCTGGTGGGAAAGAAACACAATCTGGTCATGTTGGTGTTAGGCCGTCCATACCTCGCAAATTTCAGTATCATCCCATGGGTAATATTGATGTCACTGATGAGCCTCGTCGGGAAAAAGTTTCTCATTTTGGGCAGTCAACGTCTCTTGGTCAGCCAGCTATGAACATTGGAATTGACAAGGTAAAATTTTATCCTTTAATTTTTTGATTATGTGGTGGTTTAGGAATCTGAATTCTTCTCAACATTCTTTTTGGTTTCATTATGGTAGGGACATGTTTCACAAAATGACTTGAATTGTACAAATGAGGCTTTTAAAAACACGGGTTCAGCAAACTCGCCTAGTACATCTGCTTCAGCTGACAATCAAGTGAAGAGTGCTTCGTCAAGGTACTTATTCCTTGGGTTGAAAGGTTTTTTCAATTATTGTTGATTAAACTATTCACTCTTTGAACATGTTTGTTAAGTTATTTAGTTAGTGTGACCCTTTTATAGATAATTTGTCAAATAATTGACAGAGTTGCCTAACTATGTCACCATAAACTCAATCTTCTCATTAATTTGTCAACTAGCTAGTATTCCCTAATTCCTTGCAATTGCGTTTCTGAAAAAAAAAAAAAAATCTGTGCAGGCTTGAGCTTCTTCACAAAGTGGACCAGTCGCAGCAGCACTCAATGGAAACAAATGTTTCTAGGATTCCTGAAGCGAGGACCTCTGCAGAGTATGGTGGTCAATTTCGGAAGAGTCCTTCATCTGCTTCTCAGGGGTTTAGTCTACAGCTGGCACCCCCATCTCAACTAGCTCCCTCTCCTGATAATGTGCAGTTTTCTCGGAATTCTTTGCATCCATTGAATTCACTTTATACTGCCCCTGAAAAAGGAGGAACAAGTCAATCAAGGTTTGCTCCATGGGCATCTAATCAGTCTTTTCTTCCGCATTCCACTTATCAACGATCATCTCCTGGTATCCCAGAGGAAAGCAACATTACTTCTGGTTTCCCTTATTTCGGAGGCCATCATCAAAATCAACTGTTGCCTGTTGCAACCCGAAATTCCGCTTCTAACCATTTAGTCAGTTCATCTTCTAACAATTTAGTCAGTTCATCTTCGGAGTTTTCTACCCCTCAAGTGAAAGAAAGAGATGAATGCAGTGACATTGATCAACGTGGACATTCAGTACAAGCACCTTCCATGCTAAATCAAACAACCCACAACGATAAAGGATTTCCTTCTCTGTCTGGTTCTCACCCTCCAGTTGCAGCCAGCTCGCCTCAGCACAGTTCCTCTTTTGGTATGATGTCTGACTCGCAAACCGGTATTTCAGCTCCGCAACATCGATTTTGGAACCAGCCATCGAAACCTCAGCCTGATATTTTACGTCCGCATCCATTTCCCAACAACCACGTAGAAGGGAGCATCTCAAGGCAGGAGAAGACAAATCAATTATCCTCCCATAATGGAGGAGACGTGGTATTCAATGGGAGGGACAAGGTGAATATGCATGAGTCACAGGGTAAAGATATGGGTGAAAAGCAAACAATTGGTGTTACTTCGATGTTCTCCAAAATGGTTCAGAGCAATCATCAAACCTTTGGTCGTTCTCTTCCTTCAAATAACCTTCCCAAGGATAACTTGCGTCACGATGAGCATAAGGCTGCAAGTGGGGAGTGTGATGCTCCCAAGATGACTGTGAAAAGAGTTGAGGATAGTGTTGATCTTCAAAAGGTACCTTCCAAAGGGGAGCAGCAATCACCTTCGAGATCTGATGGTTTAGTTAGAGATGGATTAAATCACAAGGAACCAGTGAACCACATGCTGCATTTTGGCCAAACAGTTTCTCAGAGTTTCTCCAAGAAGAATCCTTTAGCCTCGGCTGGAGCAGATAATCAACAAATCAGTCCTCAGATGGCTCCATCCTGGTATAGTCAATATGGGACTTTCAAGAATGCACTGGTCCAACCCGTTAATGATACAGGGAGATTCACCCCCTTGAAGATAGTTGAACAATCTTCTAATGTTGGGAGTTTGGTTGATGGTACACATTCTGTTCAATCTTCGAAGCAATCTGATATGCAGAAAATGTCAGGCACCAAACCAGGAGCAGAGACTCCCTCATCTGAGTCATTGCCTCATGGTGAAAATGACAAACTTCTGATGGTTGATAAACCAAAGAAGCGCAAAACCGCCACATCAGGACTTCTATCTTGGAATAGAGAAGTTATGCAAGGTCCTCAGAGGCTTAAGACTTTTGGGTGTGTGCCTCTTGAGCGATAATATTACTCTCTTTTTTTTTTTCTTCTTTTTCTCTTTTATAATCATTACCGTTGTTAACTATCTATATTCTTTATAGTGAGGCCGAGGTTGATTGGGCAAGAGCAACTAATCGATTTGCTGAAAAGGTGAGTTTCCTCATTACATGTTTTCATGCCTGTCTCTTTGTACATTGTTGTTGAAAACGTTGATGGCTTATGTTCTCACAGGTGGAATTTGAGACTTTACTTGAGGATGGCCCACCAATCAGATCAAAGAGAAGGCTTATATATACGACACAACTTATGGAACAACTATTTCGGCCCCCTCCTGCGAGGGTGATATCTTTGGTTGCTAGCTCGAATTATGAGTTCGTTGCGTATACTACTGCAAGGGCTGCAATAGGAGTTGCATGTAGCTCCACTTCTACCGACAGGAGTGAACACATTTCGCCCCCAAACAATTCAACCCCGTAAGAATGTTTTCTGTTTATCCCCGAAATGCTGGAGCCTAGGTTTTGTATTGACACAAATCTTTCCACTCTTGTGTAGGCTGTCTGAGAGAACGAAAACTGAAAAAATCAGTGACCAGTACATTTCCAAAGCTGCTGAAGATTTCATTAGTAGAACACGGAAGCTAGAGACGGACTTTGCAGGGTAAAGACCAAAGACCATTAGCTCTTTCATATGATTTTTTTAGCTTTAAATGGGTGCTTATCTGGGCTGTGTTGATCTCATGAGTATCTGGTCCTTCTTGCAGGCTAGAAAATGGAACTAAAATTGCAGACCTGAGAGTCGAAGTCGAGGATCTAGAGAAATTTGCAGTGATCAATCGTTTTGCGAGGTTCCACCCATCATCTACATCTACGGACCGGGCCGTGAGTTCACTTAGGTTAAACTCACAAAGATATGTTACCATAGCTCCAATGCCTCGGAATATTCCAGACAGGGTACAATGTCTCTCCCTCTAACTATTAATTGATGAATCCATATGATTCAGTTTTTTGGCCAATCTTACCCCATCATTGCTTTCATATATATATATCTTGCCCCAAATCTTTATCTATTTTTGGGTGGGTTGGACTAGGAGTTTAGTTGGCCGGAATCCTTAGAACAGTTGAAAGACCTCCGTTGTTAAAAGGTCGGAGATTTCCTACTAAATATGTAGCATTACTGTATGCATTATCACAAATATTGTAAGTCAAAAGTAAATCCATTTGTATACTTCAGTTAAGGGAAATTGCTCAGTACAAAAATCCACACTAGACTCTCTTCTTAAGTAAGTTAACTCCCGTGGCGCTAACAGGGAAGCACTGAAAATATAAACTATCTGCAATCATAACTTAAAGAAATGTCACAGTGATCTAATATCTAAAATGTTTTCTCTTCTCGATGCTACATCATTTTTTTCAAACTCTAAAATTTTGACACATAATCAATTCATATTAATTTATAATTTATTATATTTTGTGTTATTATATTTTAATACTCATAGTAACTATCATCCATTAATATATCAAGAATATGAAAAGACAGTCTTTATAAATAATAGTTTATATATTAATGCACTTAATCATTATTATTTTAAATTATTTACTTTATTTATATGATTCAATAGATATGTATAGTAAAACATAAAATTTTAAGATAACCAGATTTGGATCCAGTTTTGTCAAAATTAGAAAAACAAATTCTCGGATCCAATTTTTTTAATATCTAAAAATATCTAAATTCGTTTTTTTTAATCTAAATTCGTTTTAAAACCGATATAAAACACTAGAATATAACAAAAGACATAAATTTAAAGAAAATTAGAATAATATATTATAAAATTAAAATGCATATAGACGGGTTAGGAATATTTGCACGAGTTTCAAAAAACTTAAGTGACAATTATATTTTTTTCTTTTTTAATTATTTTTGTTATTTGTAATAGAATATTATATAATAATTTACAAAATAAAATGACTACTTAAATAATAATATAGAGACGTGAGAATGCATATTTGTGAAACAAATTGTGGTATCACAAAATGTTATCATGTTCAACCTAATCTTTGAAACATAAAATGGGTGAAGTTTCCCTTAAAAAATTATACAGAGCTCAGGTTAGAGATGTGACATTGAGAGTGATTAGAAAAAAGAAAAACCTGAGAAAGATATAAATTTCAACCGGTCCAATATGTTGTGTGTGGTTCAACATGTTGCATTGATGAGAGAGGGAACTTGAGAGGAAAAATGAGAGTGAGAGGTAAAAAGATAGTGAGAGGGAGATGGAGAAGGAGAGGGAGAGGGAGATGGTGAAGGAGAGAGAGAGATGGAAAGGGAAATGGGTGTAGAAAAAAAAGAAATTATGAATATATTTTGAAAATATGTTAGGGAATTGAGATAATTCTAAATAATTAATTGCCTATTACATATATTTTTTTTCCTGAATGCAACAATCAAGAATTGTATATGTTTTAAAATCATAAACATGCATAAATATAAAGATATCTATAAATTAAATTTGATTTGAATTTTTAATTGATATATTATTTGATTATTTTTTAAATATTTAATATAAAATTATTAAAAATTATAAATATATAAAAAATTGAAATACAAAATCTAATGAAAAAAATTGATATTGTAGAGTTTTGTCTGTCAATAAATACAATATAAAAATCAGCCGCTAGTATGATATAAAAGATAATCCACAGTTTACTGTAATCCAAGGAAAGATTCCAGAGTTTGCCAAAGAAGATATTTTCTGACTATAACATAAAGATATATTTTTTTATATTTTTGGACATACTATCCGACATATATCTAAATAAATGATTGATGAGCGATAGCGATTTAAACGCACTCGTACGGTGTCGTGTAGACATGTAGTTGGTTATTGGTCTGTCACTGGGCCACATGACAACAAGTCAACAACGCTCGGGTCCGGGAGTAAATGTGAGGCTCGGATCCGAAGCAGATGATGGCTCGTTGAACAGAACTCTCTTCTGCAGAAAGAAGGTTAGACTTGAGTTTGTGGTCACTTTCTTATAGGAAAAAAGAAAGTTACAAATGTTAAGCAACTCATATATAGTTTAGGGCACAATTCGAGCTGAGCTGCTTAGTCTACCTTATACATCTCTTTGATATCTGGTTTTGCACAATACGATTTGAGTCATCGTGTTGTTTAATATCAATTCTGGCTTCTCCATCTCTATCTCTCTAGCCACGATTTTCTCTCTTGGAAAAAGCTTTCTGAACTTAGAATTTAATTCTCTCTCCAGAAACTTGGAAATCACTCTTTCGGTCTCGAGTCTGGACTGTCGTATTGACACTTGTAACAGAACCCGGACTTTTGAATTGTTGGCTTCTTGGGCCTTTTGGGCCTGTTATTTATTTATTTGGTGTTAAAGTCACTGTATACTTTTAGCAGGATTGGCACAATTCACCACCCTATCACCATCTCGAATTTTCGTTCCGTAACTGGAATGCATTCCCATATAATATAATATTTCGGTTTACATGGGAACCGAAACGGAAATTCCCACATTTCATCCATAAACAATGTATTATAACTGTTCTGCCTCTGAGAGTAGCCAAAACCATTACGTACCACCATGTCTGCCACGTTATGCTTTGTTTTTTTAGGCTTTTTTTTTGTGAAACAATTATGTGCTAATTAATGTATATGTATGCACATATACGCAGAGATCGCTGGCTAGAATCGATGGAATGGAATATTTTAATTCTGTTTTGACTTTGAAGTTTTGGAACATTAGCTGGTCTAATGAAGAGAATTATGGAAAATGCTATGTTACGAATGTTAAAAAAAAAAACGATGCTATGTTATATTCGTTTTGGTGTCATAACCAATGTTAGGCGTCGGATTTAGGCTGAGAGCTACAAGGGAGGCAGGGCCTCCAGACAGTGTCTTTCCCAGGAATATCCATGAGGGAGACTCCTTTAACTGCCAACTCCTCTCTAATCTGGTCGCTTCTTTGAAAGTCTTTGTTCTTTCTTGCAATTCTCCTTTCTTCAATCCTCTGCAAGACCTCTTCTTCTCCTATTCCTGCCCTTACCAATGCCTTTTCTTTCATTTCTTTCAAAAACTCTGCATAGCTCAGAGCAGTGAGCAAACCCAGCACATCAAGAATTTTCCTAACTGCTTTCTCGACCTCCACAAGTGACACAAGCACCGACATCCGCTGCTTCTTCTGCATTTTCTTGAGCTTGATGATTGAAACGTTAATGAATTTCATCGCGTCTTGCAACGCGCCAGTGAGTATAGCAGATGTGTTCAAGTCGTCTGACATTTTCGTTTCAAACTCGGTCTTTACTTTCTCGATCGTGTCTTTGGCTTCTGCGGTCTCTTCAGCCTTTCCATTGTCATCTTTTAGTTCTTCCTGATATGGAGAAAGAGCTTCAACAAGCTCTTGTAATGTCTAAAATAAAACAAAGTTTAACAGGAGTTATAGAATTAGAAACATTGCAACCAAGAAGGGTAATAAAAGTTTGTGGAGCACAGTACCTGATACACATAATATAAAGAGTCAGACGACCTCTCTAGCTGTGGCCTGGAATAGTTCAGGGGAGAGCGGTAGTGTGCACTCATCAAGAAGTATCTCAGGGCCAGTGGATGATACTTGGCCGTGATCTACACAGATCCAACAATTCTGAATTACCCATGAGAAAACACACACACCCAAAGAGGACTCAATTTATGATATTAGAACAAATAAGAAACATACTTCTCTAATAGTAAAAAAGTTATCCAGTGATTTCCCCATCTTCACGTTGTTGTTAGTGACATGCCCATTGTGCAGCCAGTAGTTCACACGACCATCTTCGCAAGCAGCACAAGTCTGGGCGATCTCATTTTCATGGTGAGGGAATTTCAGATCTGCGCCACCACCATGGATGTCAAATCTTGGAGACAGGTAACGGGCACTCATTGCGCTGCACTCGATGTGCCATCCTGGTCTTCCTGGACCCCAAGGGCTCTCCCAACTTGGTTCACCGGGTTTAGCAGCCTGCTTACACATATCAGCATCAACTCCACAGGCAGAGAGAAAAGTTCAAAAAAAAGAAAGAAAGAGAGATTGTAATGGTGAAACCTTCCATAGAGCAAAGTCAGCAGGATTACGCTTCCTTGGATCAACAGCAATACGCTCACCAGCTCGAGTATGATCCAAGAGCTGGCCAGATAGTTGACCGTAGTTTGGTGACTTATCGACCGAGAAGAACACATCACCACCACCCACTGGATACCCACAATCTTTCTCAATGATCTGCAACAAGGGAGCACATGGATCATAGACCTTACTGAGAACTATAGCTTCATCTTCATATCACATCTTGTAACCAAGAGTATTGAAGGAAACCAAAGAAGAAGAGAGAAGACAGCAGACCTTTTGTATCATCTTTATTATGTGATCCATATGGTCACTGACACGAGGCTGGTGGGTAGGAAGGAGGCACTGAAGAGCACCCATATCTACAAGATACTCCTCGCAAAAACGATTACTCAAATCTAACGGGTCCACCCCATCCTTGCGAGCTTTTTTGATTACCTGCACAGGTCCAGTATTCAGATTTTAGAGTGTTTTGAACCAACACGGGGAAAAAATGCCAACAGAGAGATGAGCAGAAAAAGAGAAAAGAGAATAGCACAATCTGCAAATCACTGAACCTTGTCATCAACATCTGTAAAATTTCGGACATAAGTAACTTCATAACCCAAGTGCCTCAGGTATCTGCATAACCAGTACAATACTAGAAAGATTAAATGGTTTCAAATATCGTACTTGAGACAGAAGTCACCCAATTTCTACCCAGGCGGTCTTAAGAAATTCTATTCGGCGACAATCCTAGCGCGAAACCGACAAAATTTGAAATCTTTGTTAGAGGAAAGAAAGAGACCTATAAAGGATGTCAAAGGAGACCGAGGCACGAGCGTGGCCGAGATGGCTGAAATCGTACGCGGTAATACCGCAGACATACATTCCGATCTTGCCGGGATTGATTGGCTTTAAAACTTCCTTCATTTGGGTCATCGTATTGTGCAACTTCAATTCCGGCTTCTCCATCTCTCGGCCTCTTGGAATGATCAGAAACAAAGATATCAAAGAGATGTATAAGACAGACTGAGTAGCTCAGCTCGAATTTATGCCCTAAACTTATATACGAGTTGCTTAAAATTTGTAACTTTCTTTTTTCCTATAAGAAAGTAAAGTGACCATAAAACCCCTAAAATTCTTTTTTATTTTCTAAAATACCACACCAACTCAAGTCTAACCTTCTTTCTGCAGAAGAGAGTTCTGTTTAACGAGCCATCATCTGCTTCGGATCCGAGCCTCGCTCCCGGACCCTAGCCTCGTGTTTGCTCCTGCGTCCGCCGTTCAAAGATGGTTCTTTACGAGCCATCTGGTTTGGATCCACCAATCAGATCAAAGAGAAGGCTTATATAGTGAATGCCTCCATTGTCAAGAAACTGGAGATTTTCTAGTAGACATGTACATTAATGTATGCATTATCATCACGAACATTGTAAGTCAGATCCATCTGTATACTACCTAGTAAAGAAGAAGAAATCTGACCAGGTACAAAAACAGTAAATGGCAATAATTATGTTTTGACAAAGCTACGATTCTTCTCTCTCAAGTCATTGAGTACTCTGTAGAATCAGCCATTTTATTTGTTGCAAGAATTTCAACATCAAATTTTATTTTAATCTTCCGTCTGATCCTATCAACTATGATCCTAGTCCAGTCATTCGGTTTCTTAACTGGGGTCAAAATTAATGGAGATCAAACAGAAAAGTCGGAATTCAGATTCTTTGTATCTGAAATGAGAATCTCTTCTGAACATGAACTTGGAGAGTAGGAACACAAAAGTTTCACCAAAATTAAAAAACACTAGCTCCAATGGCGCAATCTCTTGATAAAAATTATAACTTGAAGGTCTGGAAACAAGAACCAAAACAAGTTGTCATAAAAAAGCAGGATTATTTCTTTGCCGCCGGTCTATTAGGACCTAAGTAGTTTGTGACCAATCCCATTATAGCAAACCTGTTTCAATACAAGAAAACTGGAGTCAACATCAACAATCCACACCATGACAAGTATAAACAATCTCTGGGAGTAATCATCTTTTTGCCACAAGCATATCATCTAATCAACTCAAATCTATCTTCCATGGTTCCATAAAAGATTGCTGATCCATCTTCTTCGAACTTCAGGGATTTTAACAGAAACTAGTATTTCGCAATGGTCACCTCTCTTAGTTGATGAAAAGACAAGACAAGAAATCTTAATGAGTGAGATGGAACATACATCATAGCCATGGAGACCTGCTTCAAATCATTCTCCAAGTTCCTCATATTGGCCAGAGACTGAGCACAGAAAATTATTGCAAGCCACGAGCAAATCTTGTACTGAGACACAAACAAAGAAAAATGAGTGTGATTGATGCAACAATAATCCACAGTTTTCTTTCATTTTCAACCATTAGACTCCAAGTAACAAATGGCCATCTCGAGCTCATTATCTCTTTAAGATCTAATTTATCTATAGACTATAATATTGATACAATCACAGTTTTTTATGGTCCAATTAGACTTTGAGGAGTTGGAATCTGCCCAATTGCGAAACTAAGCAGCCAAATCAACACTCCACAATTACTAGTGAGTTTGAAAAGATCCAATTGTCAAAAACCAGAAAAAACACGAGTTACAGATTTCTGTTGATGAATCAGAGACTTAAACTATGAAATCCGACGATCTAACTCGCCAAATCTTAAGAATTAACACCCGGAGTGAGAGTTTCTACGATTTTCTACTGGCGACCAAGGATCAAGAGAGATAAGATTTGATGTAATTTACCCTGAACATAACGCCAGAGACGCCGAGGATCACGGCGATGAATCCGGAGTAGTCAACGGGAAGATCCTCCGGCGCAACAGGCCGCGGAGTGTAAGGTTTCGCCGCCAAAGGTTGCCGTGGATCGTTCGCCGACGATGCGTTCCCATGACTGTGAGACATCCTCTCTCTCTCTCTCTCTAAACTTCCGATGGTGAAAATGTGATCTACTGTAATTGTTCTCGAGGGATTTCTATATAACTAACAAGTAAATAAATAATTATTACAGCAGTTAATTTTAAATAATCGAGCTTTCAAATTACAATTGTAACCTGTGCATCCTTCTTCTTCACAAGCCCTATAAGTTGGGAATACAAAAGAAGGTGTCGCCGGCGTCTTTACGCCGTTCAACTTCCGGCATCGTACCCGTCGTGCAGCTCTGAGTAGTTTTCTGAATATAGCTTTAGCTCAAGAAGCTCGATTCGTGTCGCCTTTTTGGATTACGATGAGCATCTCACAGTTTCCTCCATCTGCCTCTCCATCTCCGGCGTCTTCTTCGCGATTGCTGGCTTCTTCATCTCCATCTCCATCTCCGGCGAGTTCATCATCGTCGATGAGGCTATGGAGACCGGCTGCTCAGCGGAATCTTAGGAACCAGTGGTCAAAACTATCAACTTGTCGGCAACAATGGGTCGCCGCTTGTTCTGGAGGAAGAGCTCACGCTACTTCGCTCGTCAATTCATATCTGTCCCAAAAGTGTGGAAACTTAATTTTTATTTTGTCTATGACTCTGTTTTGTGTTGTCTCCTTCCTGCTTTAGAATGTGTTAAATCAATCTTTTTGGAATTTGGTTTCAATTCGAGTGGTGCTTGATTCATACTATTTTGTGTGTTTCATGGCAATAGGTATATCCCAATGATGGAATTTGGTGTGTTATGTGACATGTTTGATATCAAAAAGAAAGCATTGAAGAAGCTGTTTATGCAACAGGTGAAATTTTTTATTTCAAAACTCTTTTGGTCTTCTATTCATTCTCATTCTTACCAATGTCTCTCTTTCTATGTCCAGAGTTCTTATCGAATCAAGCTTTTGTCGTCGTACAAGGAAATGGTGAGTGTGGTCCTATTCTGATCATCTAGGATTGGAATGTTTAGCCTGTTGTGATTTGGAATCTATAAACAAATCTTTAGAATAATGCAGGTAGCTGTTGTTGTTGAGATGGTAAATGCAAGTAGATCTCTGAGATGTTATATGAAGACGAGTAGCGGGTCACTTATTCAGTTTTCCGGCTCTAACGAAGATTCAAATGATGCTGGAGATTGCGGTGGGATCCATGTGTTTAATTTTTGGAATGTCTCTGCATTTGGTAAGATCAAAAACAAAACTTCTATAGTGATTGACTACTTGATTCTCCTATTATGTTTGTTGTGGTTGTAAAGTTTGGTACTTGCAATGTTGATATGATCACAGAGGCGATGGCCGAGGAGCTTGTGGATATGTTCAAACGCGAAATAATGCTAAAGGTAGGCATTCATTCTGCATATATCTTAGGCTCTAGATTAGCCTCTGATTATATTTGCAATTCTGATCTACAAAACTATTAACAGAGATTACTCATAATGGAACTGGCCTCTTTAAGCTGTGAAGAAGTTCCTCAACCGGTCAAGCTCAGTTGGTCAGCTGAACTTTACAACGGGGAATTTGATGATCTCTCCAACTGTTCGTTATATTCCATAGAAGTAGCTGAGCCAATTCTCCCTAGACTGAAAGAAGATAATCTCGTTATTTCTTTTGTATCACAGACCAACCAGCCAACCGCAGAAATTTTGCAGGTATGTGGGATTTGATTCGTCACAGGAAAAAGCTTTTGTTAACATAATCTTATAAGACTTAGGTTTCTTTGCTATACAGATGTACTTGACAACTTGGCTTGCAGAGGTAAACATTGACACACATAGGTAAATGTTAACAATTTAACCATTGTCATTCCCGAGTTCCAATCTTCTGGGCAAAGAATGAGTTCTGATGAGCCCGTGTTGCATATATGTTACAGGATGGATGAGATATTAGCGATGGTCGGGGAAGAAATTAGAGTCACCTTCTAAAGTTTGATTACTATTCCTCAGTGCAGCTTCTGGTCAAGTTTCAGTGAGTTTAAAGCATGACTGGTTCTACAAAGCACTCAACGACTTGAGAGAGAGAAAGAGAGAGAGAGATCATTAGAATCTTAGCTGTGTGAAAACAGAAAACTGACACCTATTACTGCTATGCTTTGTTTGTTGGAGGAATTACCTTCTGGGACTTGTCATGGGTAATTCTTCTTTACTAAGTATACATATGGATTTGACTTACAATATTCGTGATGATGCATACATTAACGCTACATGTCGAGTAGGAACTCTCCGGCTTCTTGACAATAGAAGCCTTCACTGTTCTCAGGATTCTGACCAACTCACTCATACCCCACCCAAAAATAGAAAAGAATATAGAAAGATTTGGGGCACGAGATGCATAAAACAATGAATGGGGAAGATTGGCCAAAAACAGAATTATATGGATTCATCAATCAATAGTTAGAGGGAGAGACATTGTACCCTGTCTGGTATATTCTGAGGCATTGGAGCTATGGTAACATATCTTTGTGGGTTTAACCTAAATGAACTCCCGGTCCGGTCCATAGACGAGGATGTTGGGTGAAACTTCGCAAAACGATTGATCACTGCAAACTTCTCTAGATCCTGGACTTCGACGCTCAAGTCGGCAATTGTAGTTCCATTTTCTAGTCTGCAAGAAAAACCAGATGTTAATGAGATCAAGCCACCAAAACGAGTACCCATTTAGAACTAGAATCAATTACAAGAGAGCTATGGTTTTTTACCCCGCAAAGTCAGTCTCTAGCTTTCGTGTTCTACTAATGAAATTTTCAGCAGCTTTGGAGATGTACTGGTCACTGATTGTTTCTGTTTTCGTTCTCTCAGACAGCCTACACAAGAGTGGGTCAGTTTGTGTCAATACACAACCTCGAACTCTAGAAAGTCTCCAGTATTTTAGGGATAAACAGAACATATCCTTACGGGTTTGATTTGGTCAGGGGCATAAAGCGCTCACTCCTGTCGGTAGAAGTGGAGCTACATGCATCTCCTAGTGCAGCTCTTGCGGCAGTATATGCAACCAACTCATAATTTGAGCTAGCAACCAAAGATATCACCCTCCCAGGAGGCGGACGAAATAGTTGTTGCATGAGCTGTCTTGTATATATAAGCCTTCTCTTTGTTCTGATTGGTGGGCCATCCTCAAGTAAAGTCTCAAATTCCACCTGTAAGAACATAAGCCATCAACGTATTTAACAACATTGTACAAAAAAAACCGGCGAGAAAACATGTAGTGAGGATACTCACTTTTTCAGCAAATCGATTAGTCGCTCTAACCCAATCAACCTCGGCCTCACTGTAATGAATATAGAAAGTTTAATACGGTAATCGATATGAGCAGGTTTAGGAATATCAGTGCTTATAAGCTACACACCTGAGAGTCTTAAGCCTCTGAGATTCCTGCACGACTTCTTTATTCCAAGATAGAAGTTCTGATGTGGGGGTTTTGCGCTTCTTCGATTTCACAAGAAGTTTGTCAGTAGCACCAAGAGGCAATGACTCAGATAAGCGAGTTTCCGCTCCTGGTGCGGAGCCTGGCATCTGCTGCATTTTAAATTGCTTCGACGATTGAACAGAATGTGTACCATCAACCGAAGTCCCAGCATTAGAAGATTGTTCTCCTTTCTTCAAGGGGGTGAATCTCCCTGTATCATTCACGGGTTGCACCAGTCCATTCTTGAAAGTCCCATACTGACTATACCAGGATGGAGCCATCTGAGGACTGATTTGTTGATGATCTGCTCCAGCCGAGGCTGAATGATTCTTATAGGAGAAACCCTGAGAAACATTTTGGACAAAATGCAGCATGTGGTTCGCTGGTTCCTTCTCATTCAATTTATCTCCAACTAAGCCATCAGATCGTGAAGGTGACTGTTGCTCCCCTTTGGAAGCTACCTTCTGAAGATGAACAGCACTCTCTTCAACTCTCTTCACAGTCATCTTGGGTGCGTCACCGTCCCCACTAGCAGCCATATGCTCACCGTGACGCAGTTATCTTTTGGAAGGTTGTTTGAAGGAAGAGAGCGATCAAAGGTTTCATGGTTGCTCTGCACCATTTTGGAGAACACCGAATCAATATCAGATGTTTGTTTGGCACCCATATCTTTACTCTGTAAACCAGGCATATTCACCATGCCCCTCCCACTTAATGACATGTCTCCTCCATTTTGGGAGGATAATTGATTTTTCTTCTCCTGCCTTGAGAAGCTCCCTTCTACGTGGTTGTTGGGAAATGGATGCGGCCGTGAAATATCAGGCTGGGGTTTCGATGGCTGGTTCCAAAACCGATGTTGCGGAGCTGAAATACCCATTTGCGAGCCAGACATCATGCCAAAAGAGGAACTCTGCTGAGGCGAGCTGGATGCAACTGGAAGCTGAGAAGCAGACAGCATAGGAAATCCTTCAGCTGAATCTCCTTTGTTGTTGTGGGTTGTAGGATTTGGCAGGGAAGGTGTTTGTGATGAATGTCCACGTTGACCAAAGTCACTGCTTTCCTCTCTTTCTTTCACTTGAGGGGTAGACAACTCAGAAGATGAACTGACTAATTGGTTGGAAGCTGATTGTCGGGTAGCACCAGGCATCAGTTGATTTTGGTGATACCCTCTGGCATATGGAAAACCAGAAGTCATGTTGGATTCTCCTGGATAAGTGGATTGTTGCGGAAAAGATTGTTTTGCCCATGGAGCAAACCTTGATTGACTTGTTCCTCCCTTTTCAGGGACGGTATGAAGTGAATTCAATGGCTGCATAGAATTCATAGAAAACTGCACGTTATCAGGTGATAGGACTGGTTGAGATGGCGGAGCCAGCTGTAGACTAAACCCCTGAGAAGCAGATGACTGACTATGACGAAATTGACCACCATAGTCTGCAGAAATCTTTGTTTCAGGAATCCCAGAAACATTTGCTTCCAAGGAATGCTCCTGCGACTGGTCCACCTTGTGAAGAAGCTCAAGCATAGTCTGCCTGCACAGGGAAATATATTTCAGAAAAGCAATTACTAGCACGAATTGCAAGCAATAAGGGAATGAAACTTAATGAGAACATTGAGTTTAAGGTGACATGATTAGGTAACTATGTCAGTTGCTTGACAAACTATCTATAAAAAATCATACTAACTATATAACTTCACAAACGCGATCAAAGGGTGAATTATTAACAAAACCTTATCAACCCAACGAACGAATACCTTGACGAAGCACTTTTCACTTGATTATCAACACTCCTGTCTGCTGAAGCAGATGTACTAGGTGAATTCCCTGAGCCCATGCCTTTGAAACTCTCATTTGTGCAATTCAAGTCGTTTTGTGAAACATGTCCCTACCATAATGGAGCCAAGAAGAATTATTCAGATTTCTAAAACACCGCATAATCATTAAGCAACAGATAAAAAAGTACCCTGTCATTTCGCATGTTCATAGGTGGCTGACCAAGAGACTTTGACTGCCCGAAATACCCTGCAGAAACCTGCTCCAATGTGGTAGACAGATGAGAAACGTTTTCTCGACGAGGCTCATCAGTGACACCAATATTACCCATGGGATGATACTGAAATTTACGACTTATCGACGGCCTACTACCAACATGAACAGATTGTGTTTCTTTCCCACCAGGCAACATAGACGAATCACGGGCATTTACCTGAGTATCATCTTTTAACCCACGTGTAAAAGACTGTTGTGAGATTTTCAATCGAAAACTGTCTTTTGAGTTCTCCTTTCCAGAATTCTCCATTTCGTTCGATTCAGCCATGGCTTTACCAGCATTATTACTCGCATATGACTCAAGAATTTGACTGCCATCTCTAGAATTCAGTTGAGGGATAGCTTTCTCCACAGACTTATTATTCAAGTGTTGTTGAATATTTCCCGGGACATCCCTAGAAGCACTAGAATTATTTACTGTACCGGGAATGCCAAGTCCATAGCTTGCCTTTTTCATTTGTAGATTTTGTGTAAAATGATTCTTCTGTTCAGTCATAGCAGCTAAATTTGGATTAGAAGCAGCCTTCCAAATACCAAATCTATCTTCAAGGCCCTCATTTTTTTGAATAGCACACGAATTATTCTTTCTATCGATCCCAGAACTTGAAGAATGAAAAATATTTCCAGCCATCTGACTACATTGAGACATTGAATGTTGAGCAGATGTCCGAGTGGAATCACTGTGGATTCTCTCGCTCTGTGCATTTGAAGCCTTGACACCCAAATCCTGGCCCCTACTACCAAAGGCTGCGTTATCACTGGATGATTCTGCTACAGCAGACTGCATAAGAGCACTCCAACTCCCACTTTGCAAAGAGGGGCAAGCATCATAAAGGTCAGAACTGCTGGAGATCAGATTTCCAGTCAAGCTCATATCCGTACTGTTTCCAAATGCCTCCCACAAATTGTCATCCGAACCAAACAAAATCTTTTCTTCTGTTGGATCTAATGCTGTTGAATTCTGTAATGCAGTTACATTATCAGGCACGCTCATAAATGACTTCTCTGATGGACCAGAACCCTCAATCTTACCAAATTTCTCCTGCACTGACATGTTCCTCTCACGGGAATCATCATCCTGGAAACTTCCAAAGTTGGGCCTATTATTTGCACCTGGAACTGATGAATGGGAGAACAACACTTTCTCCTGGTATGTGGATCTAGGGAGCATATGACTATCATGTACATCGCCTTGATTAAGAAATGAAGTTGACTGATTGGTGAGAGAGGAACTCCTGTTTGCAGAACCATGCTGTGCAGCTAACATGTTCATCTGAACGGAAGAAAAGGCATTTTGAGGTGCATTTGCCCCACCAACAGGCATACCGTATAAGGAAGGTTCAAATTGTTGTGCCAATAAGTTCACCTGCCCGTGCATCCAGTTTGTATTTCCTGTCATAAGATCAGGCTGCCAACAAGCACTAGACGCATCCTGAATAGGGATGCCATTGATCAACGGATGTGATTGATTATCACTTGAGCGACTTCCATTGACTGCATTTGAATGCAAAGAATTGAGCTGCCGGGACTCAAGCTGTTGTTGCATTCGATATTCATGCATTTGCTTAACCGTAACTTGCTGTTTTAGCAGTTGCATATCATTGAATGTCATCTGCTGCCTTGGAAAAGGCTGGAGCATGCCAGGGAGCTGGCTGTTTAACTGTTGTTGACCACCAAAGAAATCATAATTAACCGGAGATTCTCCCATCTCAAACCTCATAGGAATTTTATGAAGGTCTGGAGAATATCCTTTCGCTGATAACTTATCCCTACTAGATTCTACATCCACTCCCAAAACATTTGCCCCATTCGGCATTGCCTGACCATGCATGTAACCATTTGTGAGTTGCTGGTTATCTTGCAATAGACTTCTGGAGTACTCAGACCTTATAGGCTGCTGCGTAAAAGTCAAACCCTGCTGTGAATTTGAAGATTGCCCTCTCTCAGGATCAACTGGAATAAGCAAGGAATCTACGTTTAAAACTAGAGCAACATCCAATATAATTAGCTAGAAGCTATGAATGAACAGACATATACAGGATAAGTTGCAGAATTCCACGTTATAAGGAAACAAAATCCATACCAGATTGTTGTGTGCTATAACTCTTCAGATTGGTGATATGGGATGGGTCTATCTGCCTCTGGTTTCCAACTAAACCATTACTAAAACTGGACCAGCTTCCGTCAACAACCTGAGACTGATGCTGGTCTTGAGATAGGCCTTCCTGTCCAAAGAAATTGTGGATTCTCTCTCCAAATTCGTTTCCAGGCATAGATTCAGCTCCTATAAATTATCCTAAAATATCTGGACCTAGAAAAGAAACGGGAAAGAGTTCAAGACTGTGTTTCCATTGATATAAAGTTCGAAATGTAAAAAGGAACATTTTCAACACCTTTTCACCCGAGAAGTCATGAGCTACCTCCAACTAACATGCTCGGAATCCTCAAGATGTCCTGTTAAACAAAACAAAAAAAAAAAACAGATAAAAAATCAGAAGATACCATCGGTTGACAAGAAAGCTAAAATAAATGCCCTTTCAAATGAAAACTATTGGGCAAGTTTAATAAATCTTCACGCAGGAGAATCCTCAGACCAGAATGTGAGACTTTAAAACTCGATTATTGATGCAACGCCCTCAGGTTACAAGAAACTTGAATCAGCATTGTTTCCTTAAAGAGATAAATGAAATAGTACACTGACGTCTAAGGACCACTTAACCAAAGCCCAAGCTCCGATCAAATTCTGAAACTATAACACACTCAATGTGCTCCTACTCCACTAAACTAGAGTGCTCATTTTCAGTACATGTCAACAAGATCTTTATACAAAAACAAAGCTTTCATGACAGCTGAAAATCAAAGCTAATTTTGAAAAATGTACAGAATTTCTTAGAAATCTCGCGAATCCACTCGAGATTCCTCAACACAATTTCACACCAAATCGAAGCTTTGGTTAGCATAAGCACTACCACAACGAGGAGTTCAACCTCAAACGAGGAATTTACTCGTAGAATTAGGTAAGTATCATTTCCATTGAGGACATTAAAACAACAAAAACAAAAAAAAAAAACACACTAGGGTTTCTAAAAAGGAAAAAAGAGATGTGAACTTACACTTGTATCACGTCTAGCCGTGTAGCAGATGGGAGCCTTTCTTCTCCAGCCTCAATTTCTAAGACTGCGTCTGGGTTTTCGAATTCAAGGGTTAACGAAAGCAGGGCAAGAGAGAGAGAAGAGAGAGATAAAGTGATCGAAAGCAGTGCGAAAATTTTCAACGGCGGACGCAGGAGCAAATCCGAGGCTCGGGTCCGGGAGCCAACGCGAGGCTCGGATCCGAAGCAGATGGCTCGTAGAACAGAACTCTCTTCTCCAGGAAGAAGGTTAGACTATAGTTGTTGTAGTGGGGGCCAGGACGGAGGACCATTATATACCAAACCCACCTAAACATCAACACGACACCGTATCGGCACGTTTCAACATTATTAAATTGCAATATATACTAGTTCATTTCGAATGATAATAAGAGAAATAATTATCTCATAAGACTTCTATTAACATTGTATCATGAGAGTTTTACTGCTTTATCTCTTACGACTTTCACTGATTTTTGCTAAGACCTTTACCTATTCATCTCATAAGCCACAAGAATAAGCTTCTTTTTACAATTAGCTCATAAGATTTTTACTGAGTTTTATTACTGATACGAATTATTTAACGGTAAATTCGGAAAAAGTTAAGTTACAAATAGCAGGCCAGAACATGGGCTAGTAAATTTGGGCCAGTAAAACTTCTGAAAAACCTAATTGTGTCCATCTTCTCAATTCCTCTCTCAGTCAAAATCTCGCCGACGCCATAGCAGGAGGAGGAAACAAATGGCGACAGGAAGAACGGTGAAGGATGTCTCGCCACACGAGTTCGTCAAGGCTTACGCCGCCCACCTTAAGCGCTCCGGCAAGGTAATACTCACAATGAGTGATTCTATGCATCAACCACGCATTCGTAGATTCGTATACGAAATTCGTCAGTGTACACTATAGTCTATGCAATTCGTTGATGTTAAGGATTAGAATGCTGCTTCAATCTGAATTTGATGATCTCCATTGAATTCGCGTTATTTGGCTGAGATTGATTTCCAATTTTGAACGAAACTTCGATTAGATGACTCCTTTTGTAGTATTGTGCAAGAAAATTTTAGTGATCGCTTTTTTTTTTTTCGTAACTGAGACAATAAGTAAGTAAATGGGTCATGTTAGGTCAGCACAGAATATTGGCTAACACTGAAGCTATTTGCTGGTTTACTCCATTTTGTGACTACTAGCCCCTAAATATGGTTCCATTCATGTAGATTGAGTTGCCTCCATGGACAGACATCGTCAAGACTGGTGTTTTGAAAGAGCTTGCCCCATATGATCCTGACTGGTACTACATTAGAGCCGGTAATGTTTACGATCAAATCTTCGATATATGTGGATGCCCATAGTGACTTTATACAGTCGAATTTTTTTGTAAGGCTTTGTAGTGTATCTTTTCTGAGATGAATACCATTTTTATTTTAGCTTCAATGGCAAGAAAAATATACTTGAGAGGCGGTCTTGGAGTTGGTGCATTCCGGAGAATATATGGAGGAAGTAAGAGGAACGGAAGCCGCCCGCCTCATTTCTGCAAAAGCAGTGGCGGTGTTGCTCGTCACATTCTTCAACAACTCCAGACTATGAACATTGTCGACCTCGACACTAAAGGGTTAGTATCAGTAGTTTCCTTTCTTTAATATATAGACAGATTATCATCATTCATGGCGTAAAGGTTGATTTAAAACAATGTTGTAAAAAAAGGGAAAAAATTGTTGTAGAAAGAAAACCCCTGTCATCTACTTTTCCTGTATAAGGAATATGCACAAACCTGCGAAGTTGGTACACATAGATTTTCTTTCTCGTGTAATGTTGTGTAAAGTTGCAAGTGATAAGCAAGTTTTAGATAGATAGATTCGGCAATCTGATCCACATTTCTTACAGTTTAAATACAAAGAATCATTTTAGGTGCAGCACTAGCCCGTTTGCGATGTGTTTAGACATACAAATCAAGTCCATCGACTAATTTTCTTTCTTCCGGTAATGCTGATGTATAAAATAATGGGTTTGTTATGTAACCAGGGGGAGGAAAATCACTTCTAGTGGACAGAGGGATCTTGACCAAGTGGCTGGAAGGATCACAGCCGCTCTCTAGAAGCACGTGACCAGACAGAACAAATGGCTTGAACAGATCACTTGTCACTCTAATTTTTGGTTTGTTTTGGTCTTTAACGATATATCTCTTCTGCTCCTCTTTTCTTGGTGCCCGATAAATGAATACCAATTTCGTATGTTCTCTGAATAATTCAGGCATTTTTGCCAATTTTGATACAAAATTTAGTTATCTACTACATATTCTCTCAAAAAAATAGTAAGAAATAAGAACAAAAAAAGGATTGGAAAAGGAGAAAAGAAAAAAGAATGTGAACAAAGAAAATTGTTCATGGAAAATAAATAGAATTGAAAGAAAAGATAGAGGTTGAGAGAAAAGAAAAAAGAAATAGAAAAAGAAAACTACCTTTTAGTCACTTCTTCTCAGTCCATTCTCCTATAAGCGAAGATTTTTGTCAATCTAAACCTATTGAAAAACTGTCATGTACAATACCAAACAAAAAAAAAAAAACAAATAAACAAAGAATGTCCAAACTGCAAACTCCCTCACAAAAAGTAGATTCCTGTGCAAGATTCTGTAGTATGTGTTTAATACAACTTATACCAGAAAGTGGGATGAGTTCAAATAATTCAACTTTTTCCGTTGGTTCCCAAAAGTCCTAAGAGCATTATTATCACTGAAACTTCTAATGAGTTTCTTAAGTGTTTTTTATTATTAAACATAGATTAAAAAACCTGCTTAAAAAATCTATTGTTTTTACTTGTACATTGGTAAAACCCTTAATAAATTTTTTAAGAATTGTTTTTTTTCTTAATAAAGATGAAAGAAAGAAGAAAGCTAAGATGAAGAAACAGATGTGTAGAGAAAGAGCAGAAACAAAGAAAAGAAGCAGAAAGAAGGAGAAGAGCCAACGTTTAGAAGTAGAAGAAGCAGAGTAGACGAAATGGTGTGATCGGATGGTAAGAAAGAAGAGAAGAAGAAGCAGATGAGAATCAGAAAGAAGAAGAAGCAGAAACGAAGAAGAAGAAGCAGATGAGAAGCAAAAAGAAGAAGACGCAAATCAGAAGCAGAAACAAAGAAGAAGAAGAAGAAGAAGAGAAGCACTGGCTTTAATTAGTGTGAAAATGGGTTTGTCCAAAGAAATCTAGTCGAAGAGAAGAAAGAGAAGATTTCATTTCCTCTATTTTTTTTTAACCAATGCGAACATGACACGTAACAACAAGAAACAGTTCCTCTTGATCCCAAATAAGAACCGATTTTTCTACTAATTTATTTTTTTAATTAATTGGGTAGGAAACTGCAGTAAGAAACGAAAGGATAATGATGCTCTAATATCTTAAGTATCGACCGTTGACAAAAGAAAAGGATAGTCTTAATATCAACCGCCAATATCAGTGAGGTCATTTTTCTGTTTCCTCTTAAATATTTTTTTTTCATGCGATCACCCTCCAAGTTAAGAGCTCGTGGCTTAAGATTTATTTAGAATGTTAATCGATGCAAATAAGATTCCGTTGTAAACAAGACCTATTTTTCTTCTCTCATAGCTTGATTTTGCACTAACAAATTCAACCAATTTTCTGAATTTTAGAATAATCATCAACACGCAAGAGAAAAACAACATTATATAAAATTAAACATCGACAGTTCAACGACATACATAGGCTAAAGAGAAACATGCAGACACTCCATCTAAACACTAAAGAAAAAGTCAAAACTCACACACATCAAAAACCAAATCCAAAACTAAACATTTCAGCGTTTTACTTGGATTTGGTTCGGTGTCTGAGTCTTTTCTTTTCCCTTTACTTCACCTACTACTCCTAGTTCGATGTTCTCCCATCACACACACATTCAAAATCCTACATATATAAACGTGATATACGAAACAATTAAACCCGTATCATTGGCTCGGTGCATTTACCGACCATGATGGTTTCAACTGTATTCTTCGGTCCGCTACGAGCTGGGCTGAAACACACCGCACTGTATGCCTCAACTGGATATGTCATTTGTTCAAAATGTTTTACCAGCTCATCTTTTCCCTACACACATTTGTTATAATTAGATCGATATAAAATAATACACATTATAGTGAATATATGGAGAGGAATGAGTAGAGAACTAGCCTGAAGCCTAGCATGAGCAACTTCAAGTACTTTTTTTGAGCCGAAATGACACCATGCCTTGTGGTTGCAAGCAGCCTTAAACTTGGACACTGCTTCAGCATTTGTGAAGTTCACAAAAGCATACCCTTTGTTCATTTTACTCCTGTTCAATTTCGTACCAGTTATTTAGTTTAAAGTTGCTAATAAAATGAGTTGTCACATTGTTATATCTAAAAGTTAAAGAGTTAATAATATCAATTTCCGAGATTTGGAGCATCATTTCGTTGTCTTCTTGCATATACGAACACAAACACACACATACACACACATATATATATATATATATATATGTAGTAGATGTATATATCTACATAAATCAAAGAAATTAAATAACTAACGGATAATAACAAAGTTAATAATGATTAAAAAGACTTACATGAAATCGATGGGAAGATATAGGAAATCATAGGCAGAGACTGGAAACTCTTCATCTTTCTTCTTTTTGTTTTCTACTTCACAATGCTCATCCAAGAACTCAATCATCATATCTCTCCTGCAAATACAGTAATTAGAAGCATCGCTATACATCCACCATCATAACTTTGCTGCAGCCTAAAAATCAACTTAGGCTGGTATGAAACCATGTAAAATGTGCGTACGTGTATTTGTTTGGTATATTACGAAGCATGACAGTTGTGAGGTGATCGCCGATAGATTCAACTTGATGATGGATCTTTCTCTTCCACGTCACCTTCTTACAATGTCCGTTACCTCCTCTCCGGCCAAAAACCCCTTTTCTAGTGGTCGGAGAAGAAGACAGCTCTTGGCTGGGATTTTCAAGGTAAAGATGAGGCATTTCTTGCACATACACAAACGGATTAGGGTTTATGTTAAGAGGATAATACAAAAAGATCGAAGGAGGAGGAGGGAGATTAGTTTCCGATATGAAATAAATCGGCGGTGGCGAGAAGTAGAAACGATGAAGGGAAAGGTTTCTAGGAAAAAAGAAAGGTGCGGTTGGGTTTAGGGTTCGTCTAACGATGACGTCAGAAGCGCCGTCGTTTCTCGCCGGTGAAAGATGGTCGGGAGAGTTTGGAGAAGCCATTGGAGAGGTTCTCTGTGGAGTGGAGAGAAGGAATGTTTGTTTTTTGATGGTTCTTTGTTGATTATATATATTATTTTCGTAGGGAAAACAGATTTGATATCAAAAGCCGACGGCGAAATGTCTAAATCTTTTTCTTCGTCATCATTTCGTTTATGTCAGTTGAGTTTAGAACCGTCCGATTGTTTTTTTCCGAACCTCGAGATCCGTGGCTCACTACTTACATGCCTTGATCTACATGAGCTTAGTAATTTACGGGAAAGCTGACGTATACGATCTCTATATTACTAGATAGTAGATACTAGATTTGGCAAATCTTTGTAATACATTACTGTATTTTAAGGGACATACTTTTAAGATATATACTACATTTATCCTTTCCGTATGTTTATTAACGATGTTGTTTTTACAGGAATAGTAAACAATTACATAAACTAAAGTTTTTTTCCTCAAAAAGAAAAGAAAAAAATTCTTTTAATTCTATACTTTTTATTTTGATACATTTTTTTATCCGTTTATACTATTATTTATATTTTAGTGATTTAAATTTTTTGATAAAATTAACATAATTGTATACTGCGCGAGTACGCGACACTGTTGTCCGTTATGGTCACTGTTGTACTAGTGACAATGAAACAAGCAAGGCCGCTTACTTATGTAATTATGTTAGACCCATTTTTCGTAATACCAATCTTCTTGTAGTTACCTTGGTAAAGTGATTTCTTGTTATTTATACGTTTTTATTTTATTTTTATTTCTATAGTAAACAGCATAATATTAATAAAACTACGTCGAAAAGACAGTAAACAGAAAAAAGTTATAAAAAAGTGCATTTCATCTATATCGGTTTTTCTCCCACTCTTTTCTAAGAGCATCACCAATGCTCATACCCAATTTGGATATCTTATCAATTTTTAATTTTGTTTAACATTTATTTTTTAGTTAGGAAGGACTCCATGTTTTGTACCCCTCCAACTCTGATATCTAATTTAAAGGTTGTTTTGATTAAAATATTATTATTTTGATTATTTTTTTAATATTTTTAAAAATACGAAAATAAAATTACATAAATACATGACATAAAATGTGATTAATATAGGAATACATGATATATTGAAATACAACTTTTTAAAATTTTTAAAAACATACAAACTTAATTTCAAAGAGTGGTTCCTCCAAATTTATGCCAAATGTTCTACGAGATCGGGAATCTTTACCTTGTTCGTCGCGACGTTCCGATGAATCAGCTTCGTCGTCTCACCAGTCAAAATCGCCGGTAAACCGATTCATCGGTGACAGAAAAATACTCAGGGAAAACCACTCGTTTTCTCTCTCGAAAACAAAACGAGACGGACAAAAAAATAATGAAAATACGCACCACTTTCCTTTCCATTCCAGCCACTCACCTTCCGCCACATCATCAACGATACTGGCTTGAGACGGGCTCGTCGGTCTCATCCGGAAGAGATAGTACGTCCAAATAATTCGGTCCAAAGTATTTTTTAATTGCATTCTAGCCCTTCGGACCAACTGACGTACCGTGAATGATACCGCGTTGGAGATGGCCTAACATCGAAATGTTTGACGTTAAAAACCGAGACATACGAGAAGATGCGGAAGAAGGAAGAAATGAAATGATTTGAGAGTGACGACAAATGCTTTATAGCTTCGAAAGCTGTGTATAAGTTAAGTGAACGTCAATTCCTTTTTTTTTTTCTTTATTTCAATGCCTCGTTTTAGTTCTAATTATCTCTTTTATCCTTATAATTTCTCGATGTGTAAGTTTTTATGATTTTATCTTTACTAGAGATTGTCCGCGCTACGCGCGGATTTGTTCTATATTTTTATAATTTAAAAATATATGTATGAAACTACTATGTTTGTTTTTTTTTAGTAAAATTCTATACATAAATGTTGTTGAGATTTTTTTATTTATGTTTTTGTTTGGTATATTTTTTTTTGTATGTTTTAAAGTAGAATTAATTTTTTTTTGGTTCAATACGTGTTTGGTATTTAGTGTTTTTTATATGTAATGTCTGTCTTTAGTTTGGTTATTGTATTATTTTTTGTTGGTAATTTTGCTTTTGTCAATAATTTTATTTATATTATTCTAAATGGTATTATTTTGTAGATATAGGGGTAATTTTATTAAATTGTTGCATACATTTTGTATATACGTTTTAAAAGGAAGACTCATGTTGCACTACCTCAGTCTTATAGTCGTTCAGCCAGCAACGAACAATAGTTAAAACAATATCTAAATCCTAATTGCATTTCGTTCAATATAGAACAGAACTAAAAACCAATATAATTCGACTATATTTGTGAGAATATTCTATCAGACAATGGTCTTCTATCCAAACCGAATCAGAGGCATGCAGTATATATACTGAGGAATCAAACGCCTAATTTTACATTAGTAGGTCAATTAGCAAGCAAGAACATATCGCTAGGGTTTGTATGTAAAAGCCTAAGTCTAAGAAGATATAAATGCACAAAAATTCATTCAAAAGATTAGATGTTCTGGTTGCTTGATAACTGAGAGCCCCAAACCTCAAGTCGTTCAGTTGAGTGTTTCTACAACCATCATCTCGATCTACCACCAACTCAACCACTTGATTTTTCACTGTCTTCTCGCCACATTTTTTAATGCCTGATTGTGGTAATGGTTCCTCAATCTTTCGTTCATTCCATCTTAAGTATATCATAAACAGAACAATTAATAGAAGTGAGCATATTAATATATCACAAACAGACCACATAAAATCATTCAAAGAAACAGATTTGCGGTGATGCGAGTGAGCATATTAATAGAAGTAATTACCACACGGATTTTGGAGCTAAAGTCAGAGGTGAAATCAGGAGGAATATCAACTTGAGTCTTCAAGAGACAAACCTCTGGTCTCACCTTCATCAACACAAACATTTGGAAGACGTCACAAAAATAGAAATCAAATGAAAGTCTTCAAATTTTAATACCAAGAATCGAATATTAATGTTTCAACCCTTATCGACGATATTAAGCAATTGAGCGACAGTTCCAACATCAGCGGCTAAGCAGAGATTGGTTTCTTTCTTCAAGACAGTCTTAAACAGCTTCTTCTCTGCTCAATTTCTGGCACTATCTGCCCCCAAAATCCTATGTTTAGGCAGCAAGGAAATATCATCACACTCAAACCTGAGATATTGAATATCAAAAGAAGCCATCGACCTCATCTCTCTAATTCCAGAATTCTTTTGAGAAACATGTGCAACAACTTGCGTACTCTCACCGATGATTTTTCATTCATTGTTGAATTTTGGTAGAATTATAAGCATTGAACTTGAAGATCCTTAATTTTAAAAAGAAGGTAGTGCTCCTAAATCCCGCTTAAAATTCATTTTTATTCCAACTTTATGTCTTTGAGAACATTGATCATAATGAAAATGAATATTCTCTTAAGACATATAATGAGCAAGAAGAATCAATAATTACTCTTACTTTATCCTTGATGAGTCCACCACGTCGACAATAAATTTCCTCATTCATTGCAGCCGTTTTTGAACACTTGTGAGATTCAACAGAAACAGATCAAAGAAATTCGAGAAAAGAGTTTTATATGTAATGAGAAGTTGAATAGTACATTAATGTTATAAATTGAGACAACAACAAACCATAAATGAAATGATATCTTGATATATAAGCTCGTGGTAATCTAAATATCTTAATAGTACCTAGGTTATCACATAGGAGCTATGGCGAGTAAATGAGACATTCTTGCTTCTCCATATGTTTGTTGAAGACTCAAGAGTGCTGCCTTAAAAAAATGGAAATGATTCATGAGAGGCTGAATATGGCAGGCAAAATATACAGAGACTCACATATTCATATTTACATGCGTAAATTCACATAGAAAAGAACCATACCTGGAGAGAAAATTAATGAAAGCTTGTTCAAGTAAAAGAAATGTCCTTACATTTGCCACAAAAAATAGCTGTTTATCAATTAGAAAATATTGTCTTATAGGCAGTGGCATATAAAAGAGAGTTGGGTTCCTCTTATTCTTCTACCTCTATAGCATGAGGGGTATCTAACAGCTGAGCCAAATAGGTGACTATCTCATCTCTCAACACATGATATTTTTTTTCATCCTCTGATTACATAGCTGGCATGCGTAACTATTAAATAAGGAGTAAAATAAACATGTTTTGTGCTCAACTATCTACAAGTTGGTGCCCTGCCAATAATACTTTTGACCTGTAATTCCAGTATGTGTATAGATCACTCGGAACATATTAAGTACCCATCAAAATCAAAAGAAGAGTATGACCTGCATTTTTCTTTTGCTTTTCCTCATAGATGCTAAACACTCGCTTGAGAACATGTCTTGTTGTCTCGTTTCTGTCTCTCGCTTATGCAGTGACCCTTACCGAAAGATCTCTTGCGTTCAGCTCTGCTTCTGATTTGGTCAGTATCTATATAAGGCCTTGTTGCGTGATGATGCTCCTCAAATTGTAGTGATCCCTGTACATGAGAAAAAAGGATTTCATTACATAGATTAGACACAGATTTTGGAAGTGACAATCGTATTTAGAGATAAAGTGTGATAAACAAATTGGATCAATCTAGAGATTAAGTTGAGTTGATGGGTGTTAAAAATGAGTGATCGGGAAGGCATGGGAGATGAGAAGAGGTTGAAACTGAAGAGGTAGTGGGGAGGATACTGGTTCTAAAGTAGTACGTTTCATATGAGTACTGAGGATGAGAAGGGGAAGAGGTGAGATTAATTGTAATAGAATAACGTAGAGTTTCTATCAATTGGTTGATGAAAATCATTTTCACGAGAGGAGAAGCAGATGACGTGGCGTTTTTTCATGAAAGTTTTAAAAAGCTGATGTGGTTAGGTTAAAGAGCCTCAAATAGCTCCTTTTATATAGTATAGATTTCTCTTTTCAACTATTTAGTTTAAAGTTACGTTAATTATCCACATAATGTATTGTCTATTGATAGATATACTTTTATAGTATTTTTCTATATTATAACCACCTAAAATGTGAAACAAAATTTTATAGTAAATTTACTTTCTACTCATTCTAAAAACAGTTGAGATGTGCTATAATATAAATAAAACTACATATACCACGTCAATCTAAAGACAAGTGCAACTTGCAAGTTGCAAGTATCTAGTACTATCTTTATTCTGTTTAGAAATTTTTTGACTCAAGTTATAACGTCAACCTAAACAAGTGCAAGTATCTAGTACTATCTTTGTGCTGTTGAAAATTAGCAACTCATGTCATAACGTTACAAAAACAGACATATAAGAATATTATGAAACAACACAAGATATGAAATTTTACCCAAGAAAAAAACACATGATATAAAAATAATCCAACTTAATGTAGTAGAAACGAAAACGACATCAATCAATCTTGTTTCCTTTCTGTGTGGAGTGGGTCAATGTCAATACATACTGAACTAATTTTCAAATCGTGTCATGACAATAAATGGGCCGACCCCTTTGCCGACGGAAACCTGTTCTCCGACACGTGGCCACCCTAAATTCGAGATGCATCTATCCTACGTGGCCCAGCCGTGTAATTCGGATACGATAGATTAACCCTCTTTTTCGCCCAGAATCTTTCTCTTTCAATTCCTTTTTTTCCCTTTTTTAAAGAAAAATCAGGAGAAAATATATATTAGTCCGAGCGAATAAATCAAAGGAAGATTAAAATATAAAAACTCGAGAGCATCTCTGCTTTTCAAAAAATTTTGGATTTGGGAATTTTGTTGGAGTAAAAGCTTCGTGCTTGGTGCGTCGATTGTGGTTTCCTCTCCCTTCGCTTTTCGCGTTGCTTGCTCGTTCTCTACGGTTTTCATCTGATCATCACCTCTTCTCCTTTCTCGCTTCTGGAGGTTAGGGTTTCCTGACGTTTTTCCCCCTTTTGGCCTCGTGTTCTTCTTATTCTAGATTAAAATCTCTGTTTGATTTCCATTGGATTAATAGAAATCAGTAGTTTATGCCTTCCCTTTTTTCTTTATGCGAGATTTTGGATTGTTGTGATCCGAGTTTGTTTTTAACTTGAGTTCGATTTTTTTGTTTTCTAAATGCAAGCTCAAAGTTTTTTTTTTTTTTTTGTCTCCCCTCTTTATAGTATGCGGAATGAGGAGCAGAATATGTATCAAACATGAATAATTTTTACGAACTTGAGCTGATTTTCGGAAGGTGTTGTCTTAGCATGATTAAGATTAATAAATAGTTAAAGCGTGGAAAGTCTTTCTGTTCGATTGAAGTCTGAATCTGAGTCAATTACAATTAATAAAGTTTGAATCTGAGCAAAATTTGAATGACCAAACATTCATATTTCGAGTAGTCTATTTTTTTTCCTTCTTTTTATATTGTTCAGAACCTTATTTGTGGAAGTCTGTGATGCCATGTTTTATTTTGCTCTCTTACGAAAACGATTGTGTTGGTTTGGTGACAGGTACTTTTTCTGGACAGGGCAGAAAATTTAGTCTTCTATAGCTGAAGTGTGATTGTAGTCTTCGACATAAGTTGTTCATAGCCTATCCAGGATCGATGGATGATGGGGATATGGACTTTGAGGAAGTATATTTGATTTCCTGTGTCTGGACCTGACGAAGCCAAGAATCTTGTGGGGCTTCTCATTGGCTCGAACTTCAGGGATTGCCACACGTGTGGAGTTGCAACATTAATAAATGGAGGACGATGGAGAACTGGGGATGTTCTTTCCTAGTTGGAACAGCAAGAATCCAGTCGAAACGGTTGAGTCTCGCGGTTTAATGTTCTCTTGTTTTGTTGCTGCCCTTGTTGGTATTCTGACCATAGCCTACACTGCTTTTCAATGGCGAAGAAATATCAACTTAAGTTGGACAAAAGCCATAGCCAGGTCAAAGAAAAATCCAAAGGCACGGCATAAGATTCCTGTTGCCCCACATAGCTGGGACCTCGAATCTATATCTCGTTCGAAGAACTTGAACTGTTGTGTATGCTTGAAGTCGATGTCACCATCTCAGACAATTGTGGCTTCAGACAGTGTTATCCACAAGTGCACGATCTGTGGAGCAGCAGCCCATTTTAGTTGTTCTTCAAGTGCGCCTAAAGATTGCAAGTGTGTCTCCATGACTGGATATGAGCATGTGGTGCACCAGTGGGCAGTGCGGTGGACAGAAGGTGCTGATCAGCCTGATGAGTCCTCATTTTGTAGCTACTGTGACGAGCCATGTAGTAGCTCCTTTCTTGGGGGTTCTCCTATATGGTGCTGCTTGTGGTGCCAACGTCTTGTGCATGTTGATTGTCACAGTAGTTTATCAAATGAAACAGGTGACATTTGTGACCTAGGCCCGCTTAGAAGGTTAATTTTGTGCCCACTTTACGTTAAGGAATTGACACGAAATCCCTCTGGAGGATTTTTGAGCACAATCACGCATGGTGCAAACGAACTTGCATCAACCGTCCGTGCCAGTATCAGGAGTAAAAGCAAAAAATACAAGCAAGCCAATGAAACTTCAGTTGACTCAGGTAATAGTGGTAGCAATTGCGATGAATCAACGGAAAGCACAGCTGATACAAGTCCAGCGCTTAATGGCACCCATGCCATGCTGGAAAATTCTAGCAGCCTTATGAATGGGGGATCCTCTCACGGGGACAGCGACAGCAATGGCAGGCTGGAAAAGAAGCCTAGTGTGAAGAGAAGCGAGTCTTTTGGTCAGAAGGATGAATATCAAGCACTAAGGTCGAAACTTAAGTATGAGCTAGCGGATTTGCCTTCAGATGCAAGACCATTGTTGGTTTTCATTAATAAAAAGAGTGGTGCTCAACGAGGTGATTCCCTTCGTCAGCGCCTTCATCTTCTTCTCAATCCCGTGCAGGTAGAGTATGCTGCCTTGAAAACTTGTCACAGGCTTATCTTTGGACTTTTTCAATGATTTTTTAATTGTTAGTCTTTAAGCTTATTGATGGAGCTATTTCGTGTAGGTGTGTGAATTGAGTTCAGTGCAGGGACCAGAAGTGGGACTCTTTCTCTTCAGGAAGGTTCCTCACTTTAGAGTTCTTGTTTGTGGTGGAGATGGCACTGCTGGTTGGGTATTGGATGCCATAGACAAACAGAATTTTGTCTCTCCTCCTGCGGTTGCTATCCTGCCTGCTGGAACCGGGAATGATCTAGCCCGAGTATTGAATTGGGGTGGTGGTTTGGGTTCTGTTGAGAGACAAGGAGGCTTATGTACAGTATTACAGAACATAGAGCATGCTGCAGTCACTGTCCTTGATCGTTGGAAAGTATCGATTCTGAATCAACAAGGAAAGCAACTTCAGTCGCCGAAATATATGAACAATTATATAGGTCAGTTAAATTCGAAAGCTCTAGGTGCAAATTTTCAAAGCTTTGCTTTAAATTTATATCCTCAAAACTTGTAAGGATATAGGCTCTTTTAATAACGTCATGCTTGAGGTTTAGTTGAACCACTCCCATTGTGTATTGATCCTTGTAAATGTTTTGACTGCTGTCCTGAAACCCATAGCCTGTAAACTTTTGCGAACTTTGTGAATCTTAACAGGAGTTGGGTGTGATGCGAAGGTCGCCCTTGATATTCACAATTTACGGGAGGAAAACCCAGAGAGATTTTATAGCCAGGTAACTAAATCAATGAAATTTTAATATAACCTCAGGAGGACTGTATTTCTACCTTTCAGAATCATGGTTCAACTGTCATCATTGTAGATCAGCTGTGTACTGTTATACTTAGTCCGCGAAACTGACATTAGTATGCTCTCGATATGCAGTTTATGAACAAAGTCCTCTATGCTAGAGAAGGTGCAAGGAGTATAATGGACAGAACATTCGAAGATTTTCCGTGGCAAGTTAGAGTTGAAGTGGATGGTGTTGACATCGAGGTTCCTGAGGTGAGTCACAGAATACTACCTTACACAATAGCGCATGATAATTACTGCTATAACGTCTCTATACTAAATCTCTGAAGGATGCGGAAGGAGTACTTGTTGCAAACATTGGGAGTTACATGGGAGGTGTGGATTTATGGCAGAATGAAGATGAAACATATGAAAACTTTGACCCGCAATCTATGCACGATAAGATAGTAGAAGTCGTGAGTATATCTGGAACATGGCACCTTGGGAAACTTCAGGTATAATTATTATCATCTTACAGGTTCTATTTGCATTCTATCTTACTTGTCAACGTAACATCAAATGTTTATTTCCACATATTCAGGTTGGGTTATCTCGAGCCAGAAGGTTAGCTCAGGGGCAATCTGTCAAGATACAACTTTGTGCGCCGTTGCCTGTGCAAATCGATGGAGAACCTTGGTTTCAACAACCATGTACCCTAACCATATCGCACCATGGCCAGGTCTTTCACTCCACTTCCCTCTAGATTCAAACCGAGTTTTATACTAAAAGTTGCTCTAGATTGTAAAAAAGCTTGTGGTTTTTTGCTTTTTCTTGACTCCTCTTAAGGTAGACTGATCTTTTTTTTTTTCTCATTTACTTTCACTTGGAATAGGCTTTCATGTTAAAGAGAGCCGCAGAGGAGCCATTGGGTCACGCAGCCGCTATAATCACAGATGTTCTAGAGAATGCAGAAACCAATCAAGTGATAAACGCTTCACAGAAACGAGCTCTGCTTCAAGAAATGGCTCTACGGCTAACTTAAAAAGAAGACAAAATGCAGAAACCAATCAAGTGATAAAAATTCGATTTACAAAAAGGAAGACAAAAAGCAAAAACCATCCCTATATATCGTCCGGTTTGAATTTGAGTTATGGGTTTGGTTGGAATTTTTATAGGAGAAGGTTTATGGGAAAAAAGTGGGAAAAACCAAAAGTAGACATCCGTCCGTGCCTGAAGGACATGCCTGCAGTTGCTTGGGGAAGGGGTTAATGATTTTTATTTTTGTTTTAAACGAGGTTCCTTGTTAATGTGTGTATCATAGTATGTTGTGTTAATCAACAAAATCATTAATTAGAACCAACAGTGAGCAAAGAAGCATTAAAAAAAATATATATCTTTCAAAATAGTTTGGTAGGTATGGTCAGCTTCATCCTCTTCTCTAACGAGGAGTATGCTCAGGTGAAACTGGTGGTGATGCCGATCTCTTCTTTCTCGATTTCTAGTTCCGTTTCGCCATTGTTGAGGAAGAAAAGTGATCCGAGACTCAACAAATCGAAGAGAAAAGGAGACTTTGTTGATTCAGGAACTGTGAAACGGACGTCTCACCAGAAAGTCATTGCACTCTCTTTGAGAGGGCTTCCCTTGTAAGCAAAGGTA